TGCTGATACACTGCTTTTACTAGAGATGAGATCCAGCATCCACTGGCTAGGCTTTCAAATATGTCTGGAATAGGTTTTTTTAACTATGAATTGGACTGTAGGCTGAGCTTTGAGTGTAGGTGACACCTGTGATGGCTTTGCAGTAGGTGGATTAGACTGAGTTTTTGATGTTGATAGAATCTTATATAGCTCAATATCTTCCTCCCCTTTAAGATTGTCAGTGGCAATACAAGTTGTATCAAAATAGACATTTCACTTGACAGACACCATCTTGCTCTCTGTCTAGTAGACATGGGATCTATTGCTTGTTTCATTGAATCCAATCTACTAACCTTCACATATGCAGCTATCCAGCTTCATAATCTTAGTCTCAAGACATACCCAGCATTTCTCTCCTCATTTTCACAATCTTTTTAGATCTGACTTCTTCTCTGTGACAGCCTCATAAGGAGTCATTCCATCTAGAGTCTTTATTGATGTTCTGTTGAGAACCCAGACAGCATAGTGAACAGTCTCAGCCTATAGAAAGTAAGGTAAGCCACTCAAATGCAGTATAGCTCTGATTTTTTCAATAACTATGTGATTACAGTTGACTATCTCACAATGCATATGGTCAGGAGATGCCAAAACCATATGCATTTATAGATTTATGCAAAACCAAAATAGTATATGATGTGACATGTGATATGTGATAACATTGTTGTTGCTCCAAAATGCTATCAGTGGCTTTTGGGTCAGCTTTCCATGCATCTCCTTGAATAATGCACCTCTGAAATTCCTCAGCTGTGGTACTAATCCACCCTGATCACCTTGTGAAACACAAAATGCCTTCAGCTTTTGAATAAGCTCAAATCCTTCTCTTGTAGTTATTAAAGTCTGTTTGTTTCCAGCAGTTTGCTATCATTTCACTGCTGACATTTGCCCAAGCATCATAAGCAATAGTCATAGCTTCAAGGAGATCAAGCTTAAAGATCTCAGACTCTCCAAGATCATTGAGATCAAATGCATAGATACACATGGCATTCTGATAATGTGCCTTGAAGCAGCAGATAATATCAGCATCTAGTGGCTGAACATATAGAGTTATATTGAGCTCGAAGAACTCCAGCTTTGTGTTATAGGGTGTATAAGCAATAGAATGCCCTTGAAAGTTGTCTAAGATTAGCAGAACCTGTTGCATCTCTCTCTTCATCTTTAAATCAAATATCTTCACCCACTCTGTAAATATTTCACTCATCATCCAGGCCTTTTTGTTATTCTGATAATAGAATTCCATTGCTGTTGGACTCTTTTTTTTGAAACACTGCAGTTGCTTCAACTTTCCAATAAAAACAACTGGTATCTGCTCACTCCCATCTGCATTCACAGCAAAACACATGGTGATATAGAACTTGTCCTGTTTCTGTCCACTCATAGGACCAGATGCCAAGGTATGATCTGAGATGGCAAAAATGACAAGATCAGATTTATCAATATTCCATCTGTTCCATATTGTATATTTCACTATAATGCTGTGAAGATGCATACATTCTTTTTCCACTGCCACTATATCCACTGAGCCTGCTTCTCCATGCCACTGAACCTCCTGAATCTTCCATGCCTTGCAGAATGATCTCAACCATCTCTCTTTTTTCAAACACTGATCCTCTGAAATATTCATCAGATTTTCAATCTGATTTCACTTCTCTATCAGCATTGCATCAGTCACAGTTTCATCTCAAAGCTGCATATTCTGATACCAGGATGCAACAGCATGCTCCACATCAGGTCAGATGACAATGTGAGACTTTTTAGATGATAGTGCATTAGAGTTCTCATTTGCATGCTGTTCAATTTTTGTATAAGATGCTAGTTTCCATAAAAGAGTTGATTGAGTAAAGAGCAGTGCACCTTCCTTTCAGTTTGCAAAATGTGCCACAATGTCAGCATGTTGATGAGAAGAATGGTTATCAACATGTTTGAATACTATGAGCCAGTCTCCTGTTGTGAGGTGTGGGTGGGAGATCTGCTTTGAAGGCTAAGCTGATGATGTATACATTAGGACTTTCTCCTTCTGTTTTGTATGCTCATATGGATTTCCAGGTTTAGCACATGGTTTTCATGTTGGTTCAGAAGGCATGTTTATAGAGATATAGGCTGCATTACTTTACAATAATTTTTTTTGTGTTTGTCATAGTCCATACAAACAAATTATGTTTATTGTTCTAATATATGCACAATGTTATATTGGCTTACTACAATTTTAGATCTGACAATGCATATTCCCAACTAAAACCATATGTATTATGTGATATGCATTTCTAGCCTATTTCCCTGCTTCTCAACTGCATTCCAGCCCAATCCATATGCAAAGTCAGAATTATGCATTTCAACATCATGCATTGTGAGATAGTCAACTGTATATCTTTCAGCCACTCTATTATACTGTGGCATATCATGCACAGTCATCTTCCTTGCTATGCCAGCAGTTTTTAGATGCAAGACAAATGCTTTGTTGAAGTATTCACCTCCAGTCTGAATAGAGGATTTTTACAGAGTGATCATGCTGGGTGCAGATGTGAGCTTCATAGGCCTTATATGTCATGGAAGCTTCACTCTTCTGGTGTAAGAATTCAAGGTAAGCTCAATGAGTGCTGTCATCAATAAAGAAGATGAAGTAATAGTATTTATGCAGAGATTCCATGGATGCAGGTCTCTATAAATCAGAGTGAATTTTGCCTCTAATATCAGTTGCATATTCTCTCTCTTGAGCCTTAGACACTGGCTTTTATGTAGCTTTAGCATAAACATATGACTCACAGAACTGTGGTTCTCCAGATGATTTGTCAAGCTTTACTCTGATTATGAAGCCTTTTTTGACCAGATGACAAGCAATTTCAGGTGAAATGTGGCCTATGCAGCAGTGCAATTAGTCTAGAGTAAGCACCTCTTCAGCTGTCCCAGCCAAATCTCTCTCATGACAAACCCGATATTGGTCACCATCATCTTTTGAGACAACCTCAACTACTTTTCCATCCAGTGCACAGATAATGTATTTTCTATTATCAAAAGTCAATTCAAAACTAAGATTGTCAAGTCAGCCAACTAAAATAAGTGTATAGCCAACTTCAGGAGAGTACATGACCTTAGTGAGTTGCAGGTTGCTCACATTTGCATCATTTGACACATCAATGCTCATCATGCTCTTTTCAGCTGCAGAAGATTTTTGAGTGTTCACAGCATGGAATACCTTGAGTGAGACAGACTGGAATGAGTTGAAATCATCATGGTAAGGGAAAATATGGCATATACAGCCAGAGTTATAGAGTTCAGTATGAATTTGAATATCAGGTGAGTTTACAGTGTTGGTAATGGCTGTGACTGACTCTTCAGAAGCAGATATATCCTCCAAAGTTGGCATACCAGATGTGGTATCTGATTGTCTGTCAACAAAGGAGTTCACATCACTCTGGTCAACATCTGAGGATAATGCACTGTTTAGCTTATCTCACAACTCATCATCAACCTCCAAAAAAAGGTCAGTACTATTGTCTTCATCCTCTAAGTCCTCTGACAAGCCCTCAACTTCAGATTCATCTGACTCAGAAACTGCAGCCAGCAATGGCATGTCACTAGCATCATCAACTCTGAATGCACCACCAGCTTTCCAGTCTGAATCTGATAATTCCTCAGCCACATTGGCTATTTCACTCTTTGATCTAGAGGCCTTGCTGTCATTGTCTGATGACTTCTTCTCAGAGCATTTGTTTTTAAAGTGTTCTTCCTTTCTACATCTCCAGCACAATTTTTTGCCAGATTTCTTGCTCTTCTTATTGCCACCTAAGCTTGATGAAACAGACATGGCTTTATCTTGCTCTGAGTCCTTTCCTTTTCCAGACTGCTGATTATGCTTGGCTTGCTCATGCTCCAGTCAGTCATATTCCTCAGAAATGGCATAGATCAGATTCTCAGGATTGACTTCCTTGTTGAAACTAAAAAACTTTGCCACCATAAGGAAAGTCAATGCATGCTTGGCAAGATAGAGAGGGATAGAGGTGAGAATTGTTGAGTAGTAATCCTTCTCCTTGATGATGACACTGATAGAAGCCAATGACTTCCATTTCATTGACAGACTGTCAAGAAACTCATAAACATTGCCTTTGGCCAGGCAATGTGACTCTATAAACTGCTGCCAAAGGTTGGTTTGTGCATAGCCACTCTTATCAGTAAACTCTTTTTTGATCTTTGATCAGGCTACAGCAACTGTAAGAAGATGCTGAATCTTCATAGTGACTGAGTCAGAGATCTTTGAGAGCAGGAGGTTCTTGGCTACAGCCTCATCTTTCTCCTATTCATCTAGCTCAGCCATAAGAGCTGTTGTGGGTGCAGCGAGAGAGAGTTTGGACTTTGATCCATTGAAGTGATCCCATTTTCCTTTGGCTTGAACACCAGTGGAAAAGCAGAGGTAGAAGATGGACCAGTTGTCACCAGATGTGTTCAGTGTGGGGACATTTGATGGTAGGCCTGTAGTTAAGGCAGCAACAACAGAGGTCATTTGAGTACAAAGGATGGGATAGAGTAATTCTCAGGGCCATATAACCTCTAAGAAAGTGACATGTGTTTGTAGCACCTAATAGAGTATACTGTTAGCTATAATGTAGACCTCACACAGCATAGCAATAAGCAGAAACACAGTGTTATATTCACTGTACCTAATAGAGTATACTGTTAGCTATAATATAGACTACAGGATACCAATCAGTAACATAAACAAAGTAATATAAGTAGATACTCACCCTCACACAGCATAGTGATAAGCAGAAACATGGTGAAGGTGCTTGATGGACCATATTCAATATATATAGTCTATTCTGACATAAAAGAGTATTGAGCTCCACCAGCAGGATATGATGGAGCTCCTGCTTGCTAATCCAACACCTCTGTCCCTTATATTTGAGAAGAATGTCACCAGATTAAGGTCTCATAGACAGACCATCATCAGGAGTCAGAGAAAGCAAGAAATGTCTGACATATGTATTCACAATCAATGCCAGTGGGTCTGAGAAGCATGTGCCATTCATCATTGGCAAAGCTGAAAGACCATGAGCATTTCTAAAGAAATCAGGTGCTCAACTCTGATTCTATTATTGCAGTAATGCAAAGTCCTGGATGACAACAGTTCTGTACAGGGAATGGATTAAAGATTGAGATTTGAAAATGTGACAAGCAAACCACAAGATATTGCTTTTTCAGAACAACTTTGGTGCTCACAGTGTTTCAGATGATCTTACAAACATCCATGTTGTGAATTTCACACCAAATCTCACTGCCCATGTCCAGCTAGATGATACAGATATCATTCAATACTTCAAAGCATACTATCAATGTTATTTCATGCAATGTGCCATTGATTGTTATGACACTGGTGTTTCTCCTGCTCAAATCTATGATATCAATCAGCTCAAGGCCATGCAACTTGCTGACCTTGCTTGGCATGAGGTGGATGCTTCTATCATCCATAACTGCTGGTGCAAGGCTGGCATTCTCTCAGACTTATTTCTTAATCCCACAGCATCAACTTCTACTCCAGTTGTTTCAGTTTTATCACTTCTGAACACAGGAGATTCAGACACTTATCTTGCAGCAGCTGAGAAGGAGGTTACAGACTCATTGTCCCATCTCCAGAGAATTGGTGTGTTGCAATCACAGAACATGATGGCCATTGATGAGCTCATTGATTTTGCATTGGAGGATTCAGATGAAGACATCTTTAATGCAATCAAGGAGTGTCAAAATGCAGAGCAAGAAAAGGAGATGAATGGTGGTGGTGATGGGGGTGATGATGATGCAACAGACAAGAAACCATCATGGAAAGAAGCACTCACTGCTGCCTCTGCCTTATGGAGATATGTTGCAGATGTTGATGAGCCATTTGCCTGCAAACTTGAGACTGTTCTCACCAACTTTGGTCACCAGACACACCTGGAAGAGTTTCATTCCATGGAATTGACCACTATTACTGATTATTTCCCTTATCAATTGTTGCCATACCTCTAGATGATAGATACATACATAAAATAGATGAATTGTCATGTTAAATTGCTAAAAATACATCCTTATACTGACTCTACTGTAACCCATACTCTATAATAACCCATAGTTTTGGGGGTCCACCGACTGCCATGGGTTAAGGCAGAGTCGACTGTACATACATGTTCAGTGCTGAGCGGGGGTTCCGGAAACGAAGTACGTAGGGCTAACTTGAAGATACCTCACCATTAACCATATTCCATCTTGATCATCAGATGGAAAATTTGGGGATTCTAGAGAATGCCCACATTGACCCTCAGTTGAGGGCAAAAAATTTTACTTTGCCCATCCTGCCAGTAATGTTCCGCCAAATGAACATTCACCGGAAAGACATCATTTAATGGAATTTGATAGATGCTTGCGAGCCAAACTGTTAGCGATGTAGTAGACACTTCATCATACACCGGCATAAGATACTAGTACATAGATAATCCAGATCTACCCAAACATAACAATCATTAAATAGGGCAACACAAACAGAGCTCACCATGTAAACATAATTAAGCAATTTTCAGAGTGTCCATGCAGTCTTCGTAGCTAAAGTTTTCCTCCTGTTTCGACTCTTCTGAAAATAAACAGGCATCAGTCTCTGTCCTTGTCCTAATCCTTATCTCTGACCTTGGAAACCGAGTCCTCATTCTCATCCTCATCTTTATGGACTTCATCCTCGTCTTTATGGACTTCATTTTCCACGAGGCCCTTCTCCCCCTTGCTCAGTGCCTTTGCACGGGATTGCTTTGCCTTGAGAGCAAGCGATGCTTCATATGTCTGCACCAAGTTTGGCCGTGCCTCTCGCACCAACACAGCAGGAAGCCACATTTTCAGCGGGGATAATGGATCCACAGGCTCTTTAGGCGCCTTCCAATCCGGCAGCGGCTGTCTTGTGCCAGTCACACCCGCCTCTGCGAGATATACCAGCATACGTGGATCCACTTCGACGTAATACAACAACTCATGATTGAAAAACGGATCCTTTTTCTTGCTCGTAATCCTTAATATCCAATCATTATCCATCCCTACGCGTTGGGTCCCAGCAAAAGTCCCTCCGAGTGTGAAGACAGGTTGTTTGGGCGACAATGCGTACCGCCGTATCGCCCGAATCACAATCGACGGCCATATAATCGTCCTAAAACGCTTCACGATCTCCGACTTCCAGCCCCACTCGAAATATCGCTCGCATAGCGCCGCGAGGGCGGGCAGGGACGGTTCTCTACGGGACCATTGTATGTCGTGGGATATGGTGATGGCAGGGTTGGCATAGGCAAGGAGCATATCGATGTTGGGGAAGAAGGAAGAGACGCGAGCGAACTGCGTGAATTGGGCCAAGGAGGGAGAGAAGACGTCGGAGGGTGTAGCGAGCTCCTGAATGAGCTCAGCGCGCCAGGATGGTATAAATGCTTTGAGTTCTGTTCGGTTCATGGTAGTAGCTGCTCTGAGAAGCGAGTCGGCGAAGCCCAGACGGGTGAGCTCGATAGCGATTTCCATAAAGTTGCAGTCGAATGCTCCGATCTGGGTGCAGAGTCGTGAGATGAAAATAAGGCTTGCTCTATTATACCCGAGGTCGGGAAGGCGATGGACGAGATACTGCTCTTGTTTGCCCTTATCGTATGGTACGCCGCGGTGAGTCGATGATGGGTTTTGAATGACAGTGTGAGCGCCGTACAGAAAGGCTTCCAGATCGTCGGTCAGTATGCCATCGATGACGCCGTGCGCGTTGAGTAACGCCAGGTCGATGACAGCGTCACCCGACGCAGTCCTGTGCTCGATGCCAAACGCCTCTGCCAATTCCTTCATGCCACTCGTCAGCTCCTTCTCCATGGGATGGCGTTCCTTCGTAGCATGAGGTCCATCGAATACAAATAGAGGAAGAACTGGGCGCTTTAGAAGCGCAGCGATGCGAAAGAACAATACTCTAAGTTCTTTGTTTTCGCCTGCCTGACCATACTCTGAGTGCTTAAACCAAGGAGATACCTCGATACCGAGTCGAAATGCACGTAATGAGGGATCACCATGGCGGAGAGAGAAGGCAGTGAGCGAATTTAAAGTGCCAGAATTTTGGAACAGCGGCCTGAACCAGTCTCTTGACCTCAACATCACAGTCAATCCGAAAGCATCAAGTGGGAAACGTGGGAAAGCCGGGGGAAAGCCGGAACGGTAAGCCAACAAAATCTCGCTTTGGTCTATATAACTTTTTTTTCTCGTTTTATTGCTTCCAATGAGGGCGATGTGTGCGCTGCTAATCAACAATAATTAATGCCGTCAAGCGCGTATCGTCTAACCGTCACCGCGCTACGATATAAAGTAAAGTATTGGTATGTATACAGAGAATCCTTTAGAGCTCATCGTGGTCTCGGAACACCTCCTGGTCATCATCAGAGGGTCCAGCCGTGTTATACAATTTTGTCGTTATAGGGTTGACGATGGCTTGAACCTCTGCAAGACATGGTATTAGTCCTGATCATTACGGATTAAAGAAGAAATAAAAACATACCAGCCAACTTCTCTTCAAGGTCCTCTTCAGTTGCTGAAGAGCCATACTCGTCTAACCAGTCAGTCGTGTCCTTGACGGCATCAAGGATAGTCTTCTTGTCGTCATCACTGATCTTCCCTCCTAGACCCTCCTGGTCAGCGATCTGGGACTTCAATCCATACACAAAGGCGGATAGGGAGTTCAGTGCTTCGATGCGTTTGCGCTGGGCCTCATCCTCAGAAGCAAACTTCTCAGCCTCGGCCACCATACGATCAATCTCTTCCTGTGAAAGACGGCCCTTCTCATTTGTAATGGTAATCGACTCTGACTTGCCACTGTCGGGATTGATAGTCAAGACAAGTTAATGAGACATCAGGACAGTCCACTTACGTTCCCTTGTCAGCGGCAGCGACCTTCATGATACCATTGGCATCAATCTCAAATGTAACCTCAATCTGAGGGACACCACGAGGCGCAGGCGGGATACTAGACAACTCGAACTTGCCAAGAAGGTTGTTGTCCTTGGTCAACGAACGTTCACCTTCGAAAACCTGGATCAATACGGTAGGCTGGTTGTCAGCAGCAGTCGAGAAGCTAAAGCAAGTAGTCAGTCCGAGAAACTTGCAAACTTGTGAAACAAACATACATTTGGCTCTTCCGGGTGGGGATAACAGTGTTCCTAGGAATCAACTTCGTGAAGACACCACCCGTAGTCTCGATACCGAGCGTGAGCGGGCAGACGTCAACGAGGACGACATCGGCAGTTCCTTCAGCACCAGAGAGAATACCACCCTGGACGGCGGCACCATAGGCAACAGCTTCATCGGGGTTGATACCCTTGGAAGGTTCCTTGCCACCAAAATACTCCTTGAGGAGTTGTTGAACCTTGGGAATACGAGTGGATCCACCGACGAGCACAACCTAGATCGATGGTCAGTACAAACAAAGCAAAGCTAAACCGGAAACTCACTTCGTCAACATCTTCCTTCTTAACACCAGCATCCTTGAGAACCTGTTCAACAGGCTTCATCGTCTTCCTGAACAAATCCATGTTCAATTCCTCGAACTTAGCCCTTGTCAAAGTCTCAGAGAAGTCATTGCCATCCTCGAAACTTTCGATTTCGATGCGGGTACTCTGTTGGTTGGAAAGCGTCCTCTTGGCCTTCTCAACCTCCCTCTTCAGTTTACCCATAGCGCGGAGATTGCCCGAGACATCAGTGCCGGTCTTCTTCTTGTACTGCTTGACGAGGTACTCGATGACACGGTTATCGAAATCTTCACCACCGAGATGAGTGTCACCGGCGGTAGCCATAACCTCGAAGACACCGTCATCAATGGACAAGAGGGAGACATCGAAGGTTCCACCACCAAGATCGTATACGATGATCTGGGACTCGCCGCCTTTCTTGTTGAGACCGTAGGCGATGGCGGCAGCGGTAGGCTCGTTGATAATACGGAGAACCTGGAGACCGGCGATAGTGCCGGCATCCTTGGTGGCTTGACGTTGAGCGTCGTTGAAGTCTGCCTCAAAGAGTGAGAACACCCTCAAAGGAGGAAGTGAAAAAAAAAAAACGCACAGGCAGGGACAGTGACGACGGCGTGAGTGACCTTCTCTCCAAGGTATGCCTCAGCAGTCTCCTTCATCTTCGTAAGGACCATGGCGCTAATCTCCTCGGGAGTAAAGTCGCGGAATTCGCCCTTGTACTCGACGGTGATTGCGGGTTTGCCGCTCTTCTCTTGAACCTTGAAAGGCCAGTGCTTGATGTCCCGTTGGATGTCGCCATCGTCCATTTTACGACCAATGAGACGCTTGGCATCGAAGACGGTGTTTTTTGGGTTGGAGTGGAAGGCATTCTTGGCGCTGTCGCCAACAAGACGCTCGTCATCAGAGAAGGAGACCCATGACGGCGTGATACGGTGACCCTGGTCATTGGCGATAATTTCTACCCGACCACCTCTCTGAACGCCGACACATGAATACGTTGTTCCAAGATCTATTTACACAAAGTAAGAAAAATACATGGTCGAATAAGAGGAAAGTAGTGCTCACCGATTCCAATGACAGTTCCATATTCTGAGTGGAGCTCCTCTGCGCGTACAGAGCAGAGAAGAGCTATCAAAGCGAAGAAAGCGAAAGAAAGAACGGATACCATCCGTCGTGTTGACGACATTTTAGGGAGGAAAAAGAAAGTGCTGTTGGAGGTGATGGCGGCAGCCTTTATACTGGTAAAAGGAACGGGTGACGTGTCGCTGCGTTGGCATCGACGTGAAAGGCATTATATTCCCACAATAGAGACTTGGCTTGTGACGAAGGATGGATTCTCGCGTACTCGCCGGACAATTAAACAACGCCATATGGTACTATCACAGTAAATCTGCTGGAATACTAGAAATTCCGTGCAATCCTTTTCAGTGCTCCTTTACATTCGTTTCACCTCCTTTCAAGTTGGCTCTCCTCTGCAGCTCCTTCACGCCATCGTCTAATATAAATCTCGCAAACATGCGATGTGCCCACTCCACCCATCTGGGGAGGACCTTGTTGTCACCATCGAGCACGGCGTAGTCATGCGCGCTCGAGAACCCAACAAGAACATCATTGCCATCTCTTTCTACGGGCATGTCATGTCTCCCGCCTTCCATCAGCCGCCATGGATACCCATATCTGGCGACGGTCTCGAAAAATTTGATGCTTCCCTCAGGAATAGCCCAACGCGTGGTCAGCTGTGATGTCGAGCTGGGCGGCTGTACGACCTCCATCACTCCCCCAACCAACTTGGCTCCTGGCTTCATCTCTGCTTCCTCTTTGGCGCCGTTTATCCACCCAATTACTCTGGCTTCGAGACTTATCAAGCGACCGTGCAAGAGCGTATCTGCCCATATCTTTCTCGCTTCTTCGAGGCTGAATGGCTGGGGGAACAAACTGGCCGGCACGCGAGCGTAGTATGTGACAGGAGAGTCTGCGGGTACGTATGTCGGCCTGCTCGTGTCTTGTTTATTAGGTACCCAGAGATGCGATGTCGGTGATGGTGTATGTGGAGGGTATTGGTCCAACATACTTTTACATATATGAGTGGACTGGTATACACTGTAGGCAGCCACCACTGCTCCAAAAACTCTGAAGCCTGTTTTTATCATGAAAGGCATTGTTATATATCGTAGTCGAGGTCGAGGTCTGTATCGCTAATATCTAATATCGTCGTTGGATTTCCAATTTTGGCTCCGGCTTGGTCCGGATTGTTTCAGGATTGTGATCCAAACGCAAAGATTTATCTTGTTGCGTCCGAATGTTTTTTTCTGCGTGGTATTATCGATCATCGCCAATACTTAAGTAAGTCCCTTGGGAGACTTCCTATCTAGTCTTCGCCCTTCAAAATATCTCTGGATTAACGTGGCTAACCTCCGGATTCGGATAGAAGAGCTGATGCTCTTTGATGCACCGAGTCAATCAATTCCCGGCCCGGAATGAGGACTCGGAGGCCTTACTATTCTTTTTAGATGCCCGGCGAACCCTGGACGAGAATTCCCCCTTTCTTTTCACGGTACATCCTCGCGATATCCTCAAAAGACAAATGTCCAGCAGCCTGGACGCCCTTATTGACGCGTTCGCGCTATTGAGATTTGTTGTGCAAAGTCCTCTACCACGTGAACAACGTCACGCCGTGCCACGTCCATCTGTCTTCTATCTTCTTTCCCCACACCCATCATGACCTCCGAAATCATGTACCGCCAGTACATTGGCGAATCCGACCTTCCCCACGTCATGGCCCTCGTGCAAAACGAGCTCAGTGAACCCTACGTTATATACACCTTTCGTTATTTCCTACACCAATGGCCAGTCCTCAATCCTTCTATCTATTGCTTCTGTAACTAATGCTGGTCTCTGTCTGCAGGCCTCACCTATCATTCCTGGTAAGCCCATCGGCGCACGAAGCATCCCAAGTCTTTAACCCCGTCATCCTTAGGCGTACCCGAGCGATCCGTCCAACTCGGATCCAATAGGTGTTATCGTCTGCAAACAGAGCATGCACCGCGATACCTACAACAGAGGCTACATTGCTATGCTCAGCGTTAGTAAATCCTGGCGAAAACGTGGAATCGGTTCGTATACCTTTCCATCTCTTTTGCTACCCTCACGTGAAATTCAGATACTTAAAACCCCTACCAACTTTTTGGTGCGGTTTTATGTTTTTTTTTTTTTTCCCTTTAGCTAGTGCGCTTGTCCGAAACTCTATGGATGCTATGAAGGAGGACGGAGTCGAGGAGGTCCGTCTGCTGTCGTTTTTCGGCACCGCCAAACGTCATCCTTATCAATGCCTTTGAACAGATCGTATTAGAAACCGAGTATGACAATCATGCCGCGCTTTCACTTTACGAATCCCTTGGCTTCATCCGTGAAAAACGGCTCTATCGCTTCTACCTGAATGGCAAGGACGCTTTTCGGCTAATTCTCAGAGTTCCACCCGACGATAATGTAGCTCCTGGCAAGGTTAAGAGAGGAAGTGTGTATGGGGCTGTACAGGTATCTGATTATACCGACGATGAGGATGACGATGACTCAAGTGTGTCTGAGCGTTGAGTCACTAACAGGCAATTTCATCTCATTTCTCGATTTACCTCTTTTTGGTTTGCCTTACTTGGGTTGTAAGTTGTTGTTACCCCTTATGCCTGTAGCATTTGTATTTGTACTATAGAGACCACTCTACTCAACCTTCTCAAGCGAATTCGATAGTGCAATTGAAACGAAGTACGCAGTAACAATACCTCAAAACCACCTCTTTCAAAGAGTACCGAAGACCCTGTGCATGAAACTATACATATTCTCCATGTCGCAGGAAGGGTCCCTGTCGAACAAATGATCCACGCCTTCCAGCTCATCATAATGTACACGAGCATCGAGCCCAGCAGCTGCAACGACATCTCTAGATTGTTGCACGGGAACCTTATCATCGATGTCCCCATGAACGATATACGTTGGCGGTAGCTCGTAGTTACCAGACTTGAGAGCTGGAGCAACACTATACGCCGATGGTTCAATCGACTCGCCCGCCAACAAAAGATCGGCCAGGATGGCTCTGATAAGAAGGTCAAAGTTGCCCAAAGTGATGATATATCAAGTCGCAACGCACTCCTGTATCATATAATGATAGAATGTATTCCTCGGGCTATCCAACGCGCACGAAGCCACCTCGTCTCCATTGTGATCAAGGAACGATCCGAGTTCCTCCTTATCGATGACGCGTTTATAGTATGATACTGGGTACTGCTTCGTCGTCCAGAACGGATCCAACAGGTCCGTGATAGGATACAACGGTGCGATACCTTTGACACGCTCCTTCTCGGGCGGCTCAAGGCCACTCGCTTTGAATCCGATACCAGTCCCACACAAGAGTGACAACCACCCGCCTGCGGAGCTCCCGCTGAGGATGAGCTTGTTGGGATTAACACGGTTGCCTGTAGCAGAGGCAAACTCGGGTGTGAAGAGAAAGTCGATAGCGGCCTTGCAGTCCGAGAGAATGGCTGGAAACTTGGATTGAGGTGCTAAGCGGTAGTCTGCAGAGATGAAACAGAGATTGTGGGATGAAGGCGAACGGAGCTGGTGAGGTGAGGCCGCTGAGAAATATATGAGTGACTCTGTGTAGTCTTGATTATAGGCAAATCTGACCTTTCCGAGTTCCCTGAACGTCAGGTGTAGGGTGATGAGTATAAGTGAATCCTTAAAAGACGCTCTGACAGATTTTACCTGCAACAATCCCCCTCCTGGCGTTCTTATCAAAATACCTGCAGTGCTGATAACGATAAAACACTCACCGTGCCACCAGAGAACAACAGGTGCAGGAGATTTGGGCGTAGCAGATTCCGGCACATAGACGTCCATGGCAATATCAAGGCCATCGACGTGCTTAAAAACGATTTCCTGAGGTTGCACTGAAGCCATGATGAGAATGTACGTCGTGGATGTGCTGACTGAGCATAGGCGTTATTTGAAGAATTCCCATGCCGCGCTGCTGATATAATTCAACATACATGAGAATACCTGCGCCATTTTGGGCGCCTGTTGCCGGGGTGAAACGGCGAGGAGAAAACAGGGTTGTACACAGTCATTCAACCGTCTCGGCGAAGTGGAAACGAGCAGAAATAGATATGTTACAGGGAACGTCGCATCATGTGAAAAATTCTTGCCCCAAGGAGCAAATTTTGCATGTTTCGAGCTAAATAGAAAGACGACGTAGAGACCATAGACTAAAAGAAGAACTGCGCCCCATGACCACGGTCCACTTCTCCAAAAGTAGGCGTGGTCCGTGCGCTACAACTTGGAAAATATATAAAGTCCGTCCCGACATCCGATATCCTTACCACTCTGGCCTTTTGGCTTAGATCAAGTGTAGTATCTGTTCTTAATAGTTTAACCACTATTACGGAGGCACCGCCTCCCGTATTGGTTATCTAATTTTTGCCGCCCCTGTCCTCCGTGCTCTGCTTGCAACATGGAGGCATGATGACCTTGCTACTGCAGTACTGGCTTGTGTTGTCGGGGGATCTCCTTTTTCTTTGCTGTTTACTTGCAAGGACTTCTGTTTGGCGGTCTTTGGGTTGTAGCAAACAAACATAGGATTTTTTTTATGTATTTTGAAAATTGGAACTTGGTTTGTAGATTGTTTGAATTGTAGTTTTTGCAGTGTTATAAGGTGGTTCTCAAGCATGTGTATGCTTTTTAAAATTACAATGCATAGGTAAAATGAAAGTATATAACATGGGGATAAACTCAGAAAAGAGATAGACCGTCCTGAAGTCAAATAGATCAACAAAATGTGTACACTGGTGGTAGCTCATTAGGTACAAGTGTTGTTGTATCAATATCATCCGCCGACGGCCCACTACTTGGGTCGTTCGTGTACCGCAATCCACTGTCTGTGTGTACTATAGGGAGGGTTGATGTCGACATACCCTCCCTCGAAAGGGTCATCAGAGCGCCTGACCGTTTCAAATCAGCGGCGCCGGGATCAGGTCCTGTGAGATTGTCGGTTCCTTTTCGCGCAACACGAGGTGTATACGTAGAGCCGTTCTGAGAAGATGAACCAGAAGGAGTAGGGAATGAGGGTGAGGATCCTGGTACAGGTAAAGGACGAGAGGCTGTCAGGATAGCGACAACATTTGAGACTACTGTCGTTGACTTAGGAAACTTGGACTTACCCGGCACACCCGTGCCATGAAATTCTTCATGTGCAAGTTCCGACTGTTCCCTCGGTCGTTGGTTTGGGCCCGGTTCTGGTAATTGCCGTCTTTTGAGATCAGAGATTGACGGGAAATAATCGTTAGCGTCAATAGATGTGACGCTGTGCGGAAGGTCTCGGCTGGATGGTTGGGATGGTTGATAGGACGATTGATATAATGACGTGCCAGGGGACACTGGGAGTGACCTTAGGCCATGGTCTGCAGGGTAAGATGGACCATCAGAAAGAATGTGCCTATGGGTGCGGGTTTTACGAGGAGAGGAACGGTATAGGCGAGAAAAGACAGATCGTCCGGCTGGAGGAGATTCAGGTATGCTTGTGAGAAAGGGTGACGAACTAGTTCTTGAGGTGGGAGTTCTTGGCGTGGTTGGTTGAGTCGGAATGTGAACTGGGAAATTAGGAGAAAAATGGAATCGTTATGAAGAAAAGTAATTGAAAGACGATACAACTCACATGGATCGTCATAGGTAACATATCGATCAGGAGAGGCATACCTCCCATGGGATGATGCAATGGACGAGCCTATAGAAAAGTGTGATACCAGACGTCGCTCCGGTGCGGCGGAAATATCATCATCAGAAGGTGTAGCATGAACACTCCGCATGCGTGTGTGCTGGCCATGGGAGTAGACCATTCCCGAGAGCGAATAACTCCCGTCTACGGAGTTCCTGACCAACACGGTACCTCTTCTCCCGGTACCAATGGCTGATGGCGGCGGGGTCACTTCCGAATAATGTTCAGACAGCATACAGGGAAGGAGACATTGCACATACATGAATTAAGATCTTTGTTTTTCCCTGGTTGCTTCCCTCGCTTAAGTAGAAAGCAGACAGCAACTGCGATGGCTACGAGGCCTACAACTCCACCGATAGTTCCACCGGCAATAGCCCCAATGTGACGTGACCTCCCTGACGACTCAGTGGGAGTGCCTCTAGAAGAATCAGATTGGGTGGACCGAATAATAAAATAGTCGATATAAATAGCATCCGACAGCGCAGTCATTGTGAGAGTATGTTCTTGCTGGGAAAGAGCCGCAGAAGTAAAGAACTGTTCATTAAAAACAATTGCGTTTGGAGCTGAAGCGTTGAAGGTTTCCCCCGCTCCATCATCGATGGCAAACGCAGCAGAGGTTGAGCTATTTGTGACGTTGTTCAACCGGCCGTAAACTGTGATAGCTGAGCCTACAGCAGTATACATCAAAAGGACGAAGAAACGTAAATGAGGAAACATACCTGTAAACTTAAGTTCAAGCGACGCGCCCTCGCTGCTTGCATGGGCAGTGACATTAAAATCCCCGTCTATGCCAGTTCGTGACCAGTTGCCTGCCCATTGGATATCCGTGCTGGTATCATCGATAACATACTTCGCAGTAGGCAAGGTACCCGGGGATGGTTGATACAATATGTAGTCGAACCAACTGTACGTTCCAGATGAATTAGCATTCACCCTGTGACACGAGTCAACGGAATAAACGAGTGTGTGGTTGCCATTGCTTAATTGCGAAGACGCCCATATCTGGCGATGGTGCGCTGTCGCATTAATCTCCGGAGTATAAACCGTCGTCGACTGTCCATCGAGACTAAAAATCAAAGAACACGAGCCCCCTGGATCGTAGTCGCCGTAGATGGAAATATATGTCCCTGAAGAGTTTTAGGCAGGATCATATTCCTTACACTGAAACATACCTGTGAAGTTATACGACATCGACGCTCCCGTCTCGTTAGAAGCGTGTATCGTTTCACTGTACTCCAGTGCAGACCCGGCGGATATCCACGAGCCCGTGTACGATACATCAGCATCCTGGTCGTCAACTATGATTAAGCCATCGGCATTGGACATGAGCTAGAAGAAACGACAGTGGCGGGTAGCGAGCGAGAAAGAACAAAAGAGCGAACATCTTCCCTGGGACAGGATTTTTTAGTTTGATCTCGGCTCGTCGTTTCTGATTGGCGCTGAGGGTCGTTCCAAGGAACGCCGATTGTTTTCGGGGAGCGTTCAATGTCCTCAAAAAGGAATAGGGACCCTGCGGTGTGGTATGTTAATTCTGGATCTCTTTCGTTTGCATTCATTTCGGACTGATAAATGACCTTCGATGCTGGACGTCCGGCTTGCTTGCATATGCTGGCATTGGCTTCTCGCGCCGTTTTAGAGGCAGTATTTCCTTTGGGATGCTTTAGGAGGTTGCTGGGTCCAGGCCTTCAGACATACATCAACATGATTGATCGGGATCTGTGAAAGCGAGCGTTTGGGATCGGGAGGGTGGTCTGCCGAGAGATTTGACAGTCCACCTAGGGGAGACTAGTAGGAGGAGGCCTCAAGGCCTCAATAATTATAGTAGCGTGCCGATATCGTGATGATGATGGCGCAGTATTAGAACAGTGCATGGTCTTGAAACGCGGTGGGTACATCAGATGGAGATATAAACACATCCTTGACAACTTACATGCAAATCCGGGGGAGATAACGGAGAGCCGCCCTAAGCAATCTGGGATGAAACTGAAAAGCAGATGAGAGATACGAAGTATTGACCGAGTAGCACTTTGTACGACTCGAAAGATCATCAAGACGTCGTGGACAAACAAGCGTACCGGTCCTAAATGCGGCCTCCCGACATGTCGTGCTGATAATGTACCCACGACCCGAACTTCGGTAGATTAAAGACGTTACTCAAGAATGAGAATTTGAGATGACCATGGCAAGTATGAGACGCAAGTCGTAGAAGAATATATAGACTACCGTAAATCCAACAGCCTGAGCATTGCAGAAATATGATAGTAATATAGAGATTAGGTCCCGATCACCAACTCCCGCTTGGTTGGCTTTACGTGCCAGAGAGACTAGGACTGCAATCTTTCACATTGAAAGTGTGTCAGAGTCTAGCCCGATGCGCCTCGTCGAACGCCGCACCCTTTTTCATGAGGTGCATCAACTCGAGTGCCATGGGATGATCAATAGCGATGTCGTCGATATCTTTGGCAACCCTGTTAAATCCTTCCTCGAAAACTTTGCGGGAGCAAAGGTGCCAGCGTGCGCTGGAAACACGGGCAAAAAGCCCAACTACCAGCTGAGCATCCGATCTCTTCGATTTGACGATTTTTCATACCAGCTTCTCAACGAAGAGGTAATGAAACCCTGGGGAAAGCAAAGAGAAATAATGCTCTGCCGTCGCCAGATCCCTAGTGACAAACAACTCGTCCACGCCCCGTTCAATATTCTGCTTAGCATCAGCCGAACCCCCCTGAATGGCCTTCGTTTCGCTTATCCGAGTGGTATCAGCATCGGTATCAAATGATGAAGCATCCGGTTTCGCAAAACCTGATTCCAAAGGTCCAGTTCGAGGGTAGAGACGAAGCGGTTTGCGCTGGCGGGATCCTAGTATGAAATTGGAATTGAATAACAAGAACTTATAGGTTGCCGATGATGACTCACTTACCTTGGGCTGTGACTGAAGGAGAATTGCTGAGCATAGAAGACGTGCTCATTGTCGGAGAGTCTGTCCTCTCATGCATATTGTCTTCCTTGCTTGCATCGGTACCGCTTCGACGCCAGGAAGTAAAGGTTGTCCTCTCTTGTATCTGACCAGGATTGGACAGACCCCAAGGATTTGAGGGACGTCGAACATCCAGAATTAATGCCCTACATTTTGACTCCCTGTCCAGTTTTTGAGGAAGCTCCTCCTGTCGTCTGGCGAATATTTCCACATCTGCGGCACTGAAGGACGAGTTCGCTACACTCCTCGACTGAACATGATCTTCTGGACATCGACTTGTGATTTTTTGGTGACAGCGCATCTTTGAATGGTCCTGGAGTCGATGGCACAGGAATGGGCACGTATTGGCCACAATTTAATTTGGCGCCGCTGAAGTGTCAAAGAGTTAGCAACGTGATGCCTAAAGAGTTATTGGGGACTTGCCATGGCTCCGAGCATCCGCCATCAGGGCATCCCTTTTCAAACTGTACCTCTGTACCAAGCAGCGTAGTCCGGTATGGATGCTTGTTCACACTTGACCGGCAGTCCATCGTAGATATGGCCTCGGTCTCTCAACACGGTGAAGAGTTGTTGCCAAGTGCTCTTCCTTTTCGTGCCTGTGTAAAAGTATCCGAATTTCCGATCATGATTAGACCATCTCTAGCTTGAGAGAGCAAAACATTGACCTGTTCGGGGGCGAACATAAAACCAACGTCACGATCAACGTTACTTCGAGTTAATGATACAATGACGCGTCGCACTCCTCGCCTTGATAATTGTCTTGAAGAGAACTAATCAGAATTGAAGGAGGAAATCAAATTCATCAAAACGTTCATACCGATGGTTGCAAGTCGAAGACGGGATCGCTTGCGTGATTGTGCCTCTTCGAGCGTGAGAAGATCGGCTCGTACGAGTCCATATGAATCAATGTCATTCAAGACAGGGTCCACTTCATTCTTGAGCCCTCTCTGAAGCTTATGAAGCTGAACAAGATACGGAGTCAACACAACCATTTGGCTGGAATCATATCCTTGCTGAACGAGATACTTGACGATCTTCAGTACCATCCTGCCCTCGAACAGATTCTGCTTCGAAGATGTGGAGCCCAGGTCACGACAATCCATGATCTGCAGACTACCATCTTCAAGGTGACGGTGGTTGATGAAAACGATGTTATCACGGAGGCCACGTACAGGAGAACGGTTCTGGGTTTTGGGAGCATCACGAAGATTGGGGTATGTCAAATGGCGAACAAGAGCCGAAATCTCAGGGCGCATGCGATGCTGAGTATGGAGCGTCTGATGTGGGTACCCCTTTAGAACAAGGCGTTCAAACAAAGACCGGTTGAGGTCGTAGACTTCGCCTTTTTCCACTGTGAGATCATAATTATTCACCTTGGGACGAAGTTGCCTATGAAAGTCATTGTTTCTTCCCGATGGTCATGAATCATGAATGGACTTACTTGTGATCGCCGATTAGGATAAGCTGGTTGGCTGCCTTTCCTAAGGCCGTCACGATATGGCTCTCAAGAACCTCTCCGGCTTCTTCCACGAGCACGACATCAGAAGCGGCTGCTTGTAGATCGAGGCCATATTTGGCGGCAGCCATAGTCGTACAGTCAATGATCTGCTTGTTTTGGAGGACCGCGGCATCCCACACTCGAAACTTATGGGTCAATTGATTGATTAGATCGTTATAGCGGAGGATCTGGCGACAAAGTATTACATTAGCCACCCTCCTTGCTCTGTCTTCCCACTTGGAAAGATGGCTTTGGCGTATTTCCTTAGCCATTATCAGAGGCATCGCGGGTATTCTGCTTGTTTTGAAACACACCTGCATCATAGCCCTTTTCCACTGGCAAAAAAGATAATATTCATCAACTGCACGTCCCTTTTCATCTGCAATCATCATTCCGTCCTCTGAAGGTGGAATTTGAAAAGCCTTGTGGAAGGCTGGCTGGCTGTGTTCCAGATAGCGCATCTAGTCTTCAATCGGGATATCCGACTGCAGATTTTTCAAGAAGGAACGTTCCAAGATTTTCGATAGCCGTTCAATTTCACTTGTACACTGGTTAATGACCGAATGGTCATCGCCAGTGAAGCGAGTTGGGCTTCGCTGATGTTGAAGGGCCATAGACTTTGTCTGTGATGTGTACTTTCCACCCATGCGAACCATCTGCTCAATAGGTATCCCAATGTCAAGGAGTTCCTCGAGGAATTGATCCAGCGCATGGTTGGTGTAACAGACTACAAGGATTTTCAGATCGGAGGAATCGTGGATAACTTTGGCCAGAAGCGCGCCGATAAACGATTTCCCAGTGCCTAGCGGTTCAACCGTGATTGGACTCTGAATAAGAAGTAAGGTTTCTATGGATAATGAGCATACCTGGAGGAGCCTATATAATAGAAACCCTCTGTGATTGGTCCAGAACGATTGGTTTATCTAAGTGAATTACGTCACATAAATCACCCACACTCTTGTCCAGTGCGGAGATGGCTTTGCGCAAACCAACGGGATAGTCCGGTCTACCCATAGTATCACCCTCTCTCCAGAATAAGAGTTCTCGGGAAAGCGGAAACGCCTGCATGCGCTTCAGAGTATTCAGCACAGGCTCGTAAGCAAAGAGAGCGGTGTCAATCTGTAATATCTTGAACAGAGTAGATGGTCTCATCTTCAACAGTAAACTGATGATTGACGTTTCGTCCTCCAATTCTAACACAATCTCTGGAGGCCTTTTTGCCGGTAGCTCCTTGTCTCGACGAACACAAGGAAACGCTGAAAAAGATTCGCCAACCATCAAGCAAGTCAACGACTGATACTTCAACAGCCGGGTGTTGTTCTTCAGATATGCCCTTCGCTGGGAGTGACTGTCCAGCTTTCGAAGCTGTGGAAGAGCATCCATCCTCACAGCGAAAGCTGACCGCAAATTTCTTCCTCCTAAAGTCATCACCTAGGTTGACACCGATTATCTTCATCCTATGCACCACCAAACCTCGATGCTTTCGGCCTGTCTGTTTATCGAGTACGATATGGAGTTCTTTCCGCAGTTCATGGATCATGTCCTCACGCATTAACCTGAACTGGTTGTCCAGATACAGCGCCTCACGATGATCTTCGATACCAGGGTCATCAAGCGCCCAGCTAGGGCGGAGAAAGGGCGCTTCTATGGACGCGATCTCGTCAGGAGTAGGTAGGATAGCGATTTGACGAAAGTCTGGAAAATCATATCATGCCGGCCGCCAGGATGAAGGTCACCATGAAAAACGATACCGGGACAGGTGGAGGCAAGGGAGATGAAACAACGGATTTTTTGAGCAATGGTGCGGATATACAGGGGAGGGGAAGATGTGAAGAGGGGGACCATCTCTTCCACAAGTGGAACGTAAGGGGACGCATTGTCGCTTCGAGCAACTGTGAGCTGATGCAATAACCATGCAAAATATTGCTGCGCCTTCTAGGAGAGCTGCTTGGCTTTGAACGCCTCGACAAACGCGTCCCAGAAGATCGGGGGATCAACGATGACAAGCAGGATCTTTGTGAGAAATTGACCGCAACTGACCATTCTGATGTCTGGATTCTGGAGATAAATGAGGGCATCTGTAGCTAGGCCGTTAAGAAAACAGGTCGTTGTATTGGATTGAAATGCAGTTCTCAAGGAGGAAAGCCTGATATTGCCCTCAAGTATCCTATCGATGCAGGCGGGAGGATCTGTGTGAAGGCATAGAGCCTCGAGGAATCGGGAGCTGGTTTGGTTTTCCAACTGCTTGCCTTGTAAGACATTTTCGAAGATTCCATACAGTCGTGTAGTCCGGGCGTCCAAGTCGTTCGACATGATGTTTGGAGTCAAAAGGGCTAAGGCGTGAATAGTGCACGAGTCCTACAAGCGCTGCCTGATTCAATAATAACGCCAACGATCATGAAATAGTTCTGGGATACCATTAGTAGTCAGTGATTTTCTTACTACAGAAAACGTAAAGTACCTTGCTATGCGTCACCCTCTGCGCGAGTGTTATCTTTGAATTATAAAGAGAAGACAACTATCATGGAAGTTGCTGTGTACCATTTTCGCTTCTGTGTTATTATTTCAAGTATATAAGCAACACAAAATTATTGATGCTTGTCGAATGAAGCACCAACGAGCAACGCCATGGCTTTGTATGTGTCCTGTACTCTTAAAGAGTCGGAGGACGCATATAAATATTGAGAGGAAGTCTGACCTTCCAAAACGGGACCTTTGTTATTGAGCCTTGTTTGGGTTTACGCGTAGGCGCGTAAAGAAGAACAACGTCCTCAGTGGCGGCAGATTGGGCTCAATGGAGTCTATTTCTCGTCTTCGTCAGGCCCTCTTTGATACCCTCAGCGGTAAAAAGGTCGCCCATGGTGGCCAAGTACTCCTTGACGAGCTCATGGTCGCTAAACCGCGTCTGTTGAAGCTTTTTGATGTTGGGGCAAGGAATCAGCAGGAACAGAAAGAAGTCGAGTCTGGTGCGTATCAGGCATTTCTATCCTTGATGTCGTCTCTAATTGTGGGCGTAGGTAAGGCTCTGATTAACGGAAAGCAAGTCGCAGTGAACACAGAGTTTGCGCGACAAGTCATATTCCTTTCGCAGCAGCTGGACTGTTCCGAACGCTACATTGCTGGACTACTCCAAAAAGTCGTTGCCGAAAACCCAAATGTCGGGCCTGTGGACTCCATTGAATTGGCGATATCCGAATACCACCAGAGGCGGCGCCATCTCGTCGATTCCCTTCGTTACATCTACGAAGCTATCATTGCCGAAACCCCCGATGCCACTCTCGTCTATTCGCAAATTCATCGTTTCGTCAGGGAGGAGCTTCAAGGCATTGGGTCAGAAGGCATAGGCATCGAAGAGTCGCTAACTCTGAAAATCATAACAGAATTCAGGGCATTGGAAACTGCACTGTCGAAGACGGATGCTGCGAGAAAGAGTGCAAGAAGTAACACAATAGCACCGTCAGCGCAAGGTGAGTCCTGTGTTAGTTTCGGATACACTCTCTTGATGGCAAACCCAGGCACTGGAAGTCTTGGTGCTGATATATTGAATGCCCGTTACGAGTCCCTCAAGTACGAACGGCGATATCTCGCTGCAACTCTTCACATCATGGCTCGTCTGGGCTTTCTGCCTCCCTCTGGAATCATGCGCGTCGTTGAATGGCTCTTTTCTAATCCCAACCATCCCATTACTTACTATATGCTCGCCACCATTCTCGCTGCATTCGATCCAGCTGATCCTAAAAGTTTTGGTGCACATCTACGCAATGGTATAGCAAACGATGCGGTGACGGTGTCTTACATGAAGCAGAAATTGGGACCATCAACGATATGGAAGGAGCCGGGATTGAAAGCCACCGTGTTATTGAAGTGGACCTTATTCTTGACAGACTTCAGGCATCGAAATCCAAATATAGAGCACCAGGATGGGTTCAAGACAGACCAACTGGAAAGCCAGATATGGAACGCGGTTCAAGGAGATTGCTTCGCTTACCTTTCTGCTGCTATCATTCATCTAGAAAGGAAACAGGGCAGCACTAGCGTGCCGTCACTACTAAACTCTATCACATTGTCAGCGGAACAAGTAGAACAGAGAGATATACCGGCGGACGACTTCAAACCCGCAGTGCTCGACGCGTTTGAAACCCTCATACGGTCTTTGTTGACGCACGCCTCCTCAGAGCTACGGAAAATCAAGCAGCGGCAAGAGGATGTAGTATTGTCCAGTGCTCGAACAGATCGCACTCGCGGCAACCATTCTCGATTTTCTACGGCGGCACCAGAGTCGACTGCGTCTCCGCGCACTGACATCGGCATGTTGTATTCGCTTATTGGCATCCTGTACTCCTGCCTGCCTGCTGAATCTGCCCTCCAATTTTGGGGTTCTGGGCCTTCCGTCGATTCTACTCATACGAGTTATATGGAATATCTGGAGTCAACCGCGGGGAAGTTGCCGGCATTTTTGCAATGGGCAGTATGGTCAACTCCGGTTCATGACACGACAATGATGATGACATTGTATGACATGCTCGCGGGGCTGGCTAAGGGACAGCAGAGTAGCGAACTGGCATACAATTTTTTGGCCCGTGGAGGAGGCGAGGTCATTCAGGGAAGCACTCTACCTTCGTCATCTACATCGGGCTCAACGCTCTCATGGGCTACGGTGTTCGACGTGCTGGATACGTGGGCTTCAAGCGCTAACACGACCCGTACCCAGCCTGTTCAACCTCTCGGTCAGAGTCTCTTTGGAGTACCTCCACCCATGCCACCACCTCAACCAGCTCAGCAACCGGTGGTTAGCCCAAAGGATGTTTTACTGGCACAATCTTTCCTCCGCTTACTCTCTACTGTCGTCACTTTCTCGATCCCCGTTCGGATAGCCATTTCTTCGCATGTTCACTTCCGAGCCATTCCTACTCTAGTGTCTCTGTTACCTCTGAGCATTCCACTCGAACTCAAAGGTGCATTGTTTGAGGCGCTATCTGCTTTCTGTCACCCCGGTGCAGGACCGGCAGGTGTGGAGATTTGTCGTGCTGTTTGGACAATGATGGAACGTTTGGAGGTGATCAATGTCAGGGCAGGTTTGCAAGTCGGTTTCCGAGCCGGCCTGTTGCCAACAAAGGGCGTTGAGGTGGAGCTCGAGGAGATAGAAGCTGCGCACGGGTTGTATCCCGCAACTATTCCATTCCTGAAACTACTCAGTACACTCATTCACACGGCGCGCCGAGTGTCTTTGAAGGATCGTATTCTCGAATCGGAGACTCTAGGAACTATACCGGAGACCCTAGGGCAACCATACCGATTGCCTGGCATTGGTCCATTTGTCGCCTTTGTTGTCGATAACGTTTTCGCCAAGATTCCGATGCGGGAATATTTGCGTCCCACAGATAGATGGAAGATGAATGACCTCTGTCTGTGTTTCATCGAGCGGTGTCTTGCCAGCTTTGATCTCGAGTCTTTACTTGCTGCAGCGGAGAATGGTCAGCTAAAGGGCGATGCCTTAATTCCACTTCTCATACATCCTGGATATGATGTGATGAGCCGTATGCTGACTAGTTCAGGGCTCCAACGCAGCATTCTGTCTTATCTTGTTGAAGGTGTCGAAGGTTTCGACAAGGGCTTCGCCGGAGAGGAGCATTTCTTTGCCAGCACAATTGTGAGGGTCCTTCGGATCGTTCAGCGCGTACTCGAGATCCAGGACATCTTTTTAGATGTTCTCATCCCTCTGCTATCTGATTTTGAAGGTGCATCTGCCGTGGGAACGATCCACCATCGCTCACACTTCACGAAATTCGACCAATCATTGTCATTTGGTCCCCAATATGTTCCTGCTCTCGCCTCGTATGTCGCCTATCTGGCATACCCAGAGCTTGTCTTGCTATCGGTCCGAATCATTAGTATCCTTTCATCTTCGACTTCTCTGCCCAATCTAGCTATCCTGATTGAGCAGAGCGATAACTCCGAGCGTATCTTAGCGGGATTCATGAAAATCTTAGAGACCGAGTCCACAGAGGATGTTATAGTAGCGGAAGCAGTCACCGAACAAACCACCGGCGCTGGTGCCCCGGATATGGATGAATCTGCGGATTTGAGTCAGGCTACGAGACTCTCTGTTCTTGAACTGTTGATTCAGAACACACAGTCTACACAATCACATCCCAATATCGCGTACTTCCTACTCTTTGGAAGCACGAAGAAGGATCAGCAGGTTCAGGACCCTCATGCACTGGGTGCACAAAAGACGTGTGTCAATGTCATCCTTGATCTATTGAATGCTGGTGTCCCACGGTTGAAAGGGAAGGGCAAAGATCGTGATCTTGCGCCCTTTGCGACACCGATGTTCATCAGGCTTCCTGCTCTCGCGGAAAGGTGCTACAGGATCATATACCAGCTGTCTGCTGACCAGTCTACCGCAGAATTTACGATGAGGTACCTGAGGACGAGAGAAGATTTCTTTGCTCGCCACCTTGCTGCTGTTCCTTCGCAGGCACCTGAAGTGCTGGCGGATCCTTTCATCGAAGTCCTTTACGGCGATGGATCACGCGTCACTTCAACCGTTTCGTCCTTCAGCTCCTTCCTCCGGTCGAGGTCATGGATATTCGATCTTGTGGCATTAGAACTCCATGTTCTTTCTAACAAGAGTAACCAAAAGGGTGTTGCTGAACTTCTCTCCATATTGTTCGGAAGCGAACCCATCTACGACAACCGTGCCGATTGGGAAGACGAAATGTTACGAACGTTCCACGAGGTGGGGCAGTCGCACATGAGGGTTATCGAGTTCCTCCAGTCGCTTGCATTCGACTGGACGGACAGTTTGACCGTCGAACACATCGAACTCAAGTTCCTTGGGCAACTGAATCTCCACGCCTGTACACGAAAAGACGTCTCTGGATGCGAAGTTATCGATCGGTCCGCGTTGTTGATGCTTTTAAACACCGCAAGACGTGCCCTCTACTCCCGTAGCGCGGTTATGGCTGCCCCTGATGCTAAGCAACTAGCATTTGAATCAGCGTACGTCTTAGAGAGCTGTGCTGTGGAGAACCATCGACGCGAAATCGTCCATGCCGCTGCCACCGGCTTTGAATCATGGCGAAGGATGCTGGACATGACGTTGACGAGATGTTTCCATCGTCTACCCCATGATCACAGAGAGAATATGCTATTTGATTTGCTGCACGTTCTACCCTCCATCATACGAACGAGCGATCTCCAGGAATCGACGGCTGTTTTGCTTGCAGAGATGACCCTTTCTGCTATCACGAAGTTACGAGAGGATAGACACCACCAGGTGATTCTCCAGACAGTTGCTGGGGATCATGAGACCAGTAGTCTTCCTGCAGAGCGGCTGTATGCTATCCTGACGAACATATTGGATTGCATTCTCGAGAACAGTCACGTGGAATTCGTTCGTGGCAATCTCTACGCCTCTATTGTCAATTATGTGCATCTCATTTCCTCTGGCAAGCCTCAGCTCCGACATCCGTCTTCTCTTTCTTTATCTATGTCAGCGTCCCTATCATCGTCACTCTCCGCTTCCACACGCGACAATTTCCTCGGCGATAGTGTCTCTTTAAAGCCGAGTCAGACTGGTTCATTGACATCCCCGATACAAGTAAACAGTTTGTCGTTGATGAAGGGTCACCTTGAAAGAATCGTCACCATGATATCTCGCGATGCCATCGATGGCACAGAAGTTTGGAAGACGGTCGCCTTCATGCTGCTCACATCACTATGTCAGCTTTCGGCTGCTGAAAAACAGAATTCGGTGCTGTCGTGCCTTGTTCGCAACGGTATCCTGTCCAACTTTGTTCATGGTGTTGCGGAATCCGATCTGCTACTGCAATCAGTTCTCAAACCTGACCCAGGTAAGGACAGTGTCTCGGTGTTTTCGTATATATTGTTGAGCAGTGTTCCTTTTTCAGATGATCTGAACGCTCTCTATGTCTACGAATCAAAAATGTCTCTTTTCATCCGTATTGCTCAGAGCAGAATCGGAGCCGAGCGCTTGTTGGAAGCCAATGTGGTGACGGTCTTGGCTCAATCCGACTTCCTTGATGCCAGACCTGAAGGGGACCAAGCGTTTATAGGTTTGCATGCCTTTCTGTCCGTTGAATCGCTCTAATATTCTATTAGATCAAGATTCTTTCTTACCTTCTGCTGTTCAACGATACCACCAACTGTTCATGCCAGCTTTGGAACTTGTGAATGCGGTGGTAGCTGTGTTAGGCTCCAAACATTCTTCCGCAAGCAATCAAGCATTGGATTTCTTATCGAAGCATAGCCCGACCATCGTCATTCTGTTGAAAAACGAGATTGATGATATCTCGTTATCTTTGTTGGAGGAGATCCACTTACTCGTTACTCTCTGCACTAACGTGTTACCATTGGTCCCAAAAACTGAACTGGTGCGTCACAGAAGAGCGTCCTTACTTTCATTCCTAATCGTGAATAGGCATCAACGAATTCTGGATTCGGCGCTATTCATTCTGCGATGCTGAGCCTTTCTACACGATGCCTAGGCACGGGACGCTGGACCCAAGATGTGAGGCCGATTACGGATGCTGAAATGCTCAGCGCAAGTGTTTTGTCGTCAGGTAGGCTATTCTTACCTATCCTTAAAGCAAACGAGTGACGTTCCTATATAGGCTTCAGCTCGGAAACTAGATTTGATGTTAATGTCCGCCAAAAGGAGCGTCTGCTTCGAAAAGCACTAGTCGCATACATTGGCTCCGCGAGCGAATACACAGGTTCACATACACTTTTAAATCATACCTCAAATTGACTAAATGAACTCGCCGGTATATAGAACCCGAAATCAATGTCTTGTTCTCGCCGATAACTACTGTTCCAAGGTTGGACGACCGGGGATCCCACTTCATTGGTGAGAATGCTGCCTTTCCAGTACCATATTGGGTTTAAAATCAAGTTCCGCAGCAACTTTGCCAACACTCGGGGACGCCATTGAAGCCTTGAATGTCGTTTACAATGATCTCGCTGAGACCCTGAAGCAAATATCTGATATTTCTGCTGAACTCGCTATGAAGGACCATATTGGCGTTGAGAACATTGAGGAGGGGAGTTTTTTTGAATGTTACGAAATGAAAGCTAACAGATATAGCCAGGTTGTCCGCAGCAGTGACGCTGTGATTGTTCGGGATCTTGACATTGCTCAAAAACGTTCGTTTATCTGTCGCGAGCTGGAACGGATGAGAGACGGCCTTCAAGACGATATCAAGACTGAAATCCGTAAGTTTATTGAATTTTCCCACATATATCGTTCCTTCTGATGAAATATGATAGATACTACTGAGATGATTCTTCTATTGCTGTGGAGGCACATGCTATTCTATTGCGATGAGACTCGTACAAAGAGTTCCGAAAAAGCATATGCCATAAGACTTCTGTCTATGCCTGACCCTCAAACGTTCCGGCAGGACATAGGCAATAAACTTCGGCCCGTGCTGCAACGGCTCAAGTCATTAGTTCTGGTGCGTTACTTTACTGTGCTGAAAGCGCGGCAGTCATTGATTGTGAGTGATAGGGTTCGAATATGATGGATAATGAGTGGAGAGACAATCAGACCTACATTGAAATCATGGATCGTAGGTTGCGGGACACGGCCGGTCTGCATGAAAGCGACGCTGATGAGATGGATTATTGATTGATTGTATTTTCTGGGTCTTCTTATCCGAGTCGTATATCAGTAAATTTAATTATGTCGGCATCACAGTACAATATGCCACTACCGAGGCAAAAGGCTTCCAGCACTGCGAGCTGCCAATTGGCCACCAAGTCGTAATGTTTGGGTTCCACCGGGGAAGTACGCGAGTATATAGGCCAGTAGGGTTACAACCTACAAGAAGCGTGAGTAGCGTGATGCTGACTTGGTTGTATACCGGATGCGCACCTGGACCACACCGCATATTAATGATCCCAAGAAAGATTGAAGCTATGAAACGAAGTCAAGATGTGGAAGAAAGAAAGGTACAAGAAACGGACCCCTAACGAGAAGTAAAGGGTTGCTCCTAGGCTGCCAAAGTAGACGATAGTAAACGGCAGCCGCTCCTTGGATACAAGATGCTTGATGTGATTTATTGGTCCTATAAGAACGGAAAAGCTGGATGCTACCTATTGGTAACAAGACGACAATTGAGGAACAGCGACTTACCCAAACATAACCAGTAAACTCCCAAGGCTGACGTGGCCCGTAAGTATAGCCTCAAAGCAAAGAAACGCACGCGAACATGCCTGAACGAGAGAGCAAACTTGGTCGGCCTGGATGTACGCTTGATCAGCTGAACATATCGAGGGCCCCAGGACATGGAACGCACCGCAAGATAGTTAAGAATGCAATGAAGAAGCAGACCGCGGCACCAATGAGACACGCCCCGAATCCCAGAAGCCTGTAGCTCCTCAGTTTTCAGAAATGTTGACAGTGTTGGGAAACGGACCTTTCCCAGCTTGACAACGCAAACCAGGCCTCTTCTTCATTACTTCGCTCGCTCGAGCGTAGGGGTACGTAGTCGCCGGCAATAGATTGATAGAACCTCGAGAAAGGATTGGAGGACGGCTGCGTCTGCGGGGGCTGTGAATCGTCGGTTACACCCCTCGACCACCTACAGCAGGTTAGGACACTAACAAGGTATGCTCGATGTCATGGCCGACCTGAATTGCTGCAAGTTTGCCCGAAAATTCTGCTCTGAAGACGCAGGCGCCATGACGGTGAAAGTAGAGATCGGTCACCGACCCGGATGCAGATGTAAGCACAGCGACGATGGTATCCGATTACTTCGAGACAGGTACACTACACAAGAAATAGGACGTGATTATGATATATACAGCTAGATATACATTATGGACTGGACAGCAAAGCAACGAAAAATTCAAAAGAACCAACAGGGAAAAAAAATACTCACACAAATTTAGTGCCTGTGCCTCCGGCTCTCCAAAAACTCTTCCACCTTCAAAGGGGCATCCTCCATCAGCTCATCCTCCGGCTCCCACGTAGCCTGATCATCCCTATAGTTCTCCCAGAACACCTTGTAGAGAACCTTACCCTTCTTATCCTTCACCATGTCTCCGATGTAGGCGACGGTGTAGCGTTTGTTAATCCGGGGTCTCTTGGGTCGAACTCGGATGATTTTGCGGGCCGGATGGCTCCAGGCCTTGGGAAGGGTAGGTATCGCAGGACAGTTACTCGAGGGCTTGAAATTAGCCCTCTTGTTGTGCGTGCGATCGTGTAATCCCTTCAGCGATGGATGTGACATTCGCAGGTACTTGTCGACCTCACAAATAGCGTGTTCGACATCTGCAAGCTCCATGGGCAGATTATCTCGCCCTAATACCGGACAGTGGAGTCCCAAGCGCTGAAAATGTTGCTTCTGATGCTTCGCCATCCACTCAATGATGTCGACCTCAATGCCAGGGACATTCGCCTTCGCCTTCTTCAAGCTATCACCGAAAAGCTTTACGAGACCCGACTGAGCACCTAGTCCAGGTACGACAAAGTCCATACCGGAGAACTGCAAGAGCTCGGTGTAGCCGAGGTTCAGCAAGAGCTGGTAGCCGGTAAAGTTTGCCATGCCGGGGAACGAAGCCATGAATTCGAAGACATCAGCAAGATAGTAAGCTTTGTTGATCTGATCCAGAAGGTGGTCTCTAGTCATCCAGACCTCGAGCAAGGCAAGGTGGTTTTTGAAGTTGTCTCCAAAACCGAAGAATGGTGCAGGTTTCTGAAAGGCACCGGTGTAAAGTTTTACTCCTCTCCTCTTCGCCTTGGACAGGACAGAAAAGTATTTGTCCTGGTCGTACGATTTCCACGTCAAGGGACCCAACTCTTCTTCAAGGTATTCCCAAGTCGCCGGTCTGGTAAACATGTTGAAAAGTAAGACTCTAAAGAGTATTTCCCTCGGTTCTCTTGGTCCTTTTCCGATGACCTCCTTAATGATAAATTGTGACACTTTGTCAAGAACGCGGAACGTATTGCAGAAGAAATTATCCCGAAGGATGGCGTCATCCGTCCACCTTAGGGGGTTAGACTCAGCAGTCAATCTTTGATGGGAGATGGGTAAGTAAGACATACGGCGCGGGAAGACGATCTCTCCTCCTATCATCTATCAATTTTCGCTCTGCACACCAGAACCAGAAAATGTTAAAGCCTTTGGTAGGCGTGAGCTTTTGGCCAGAAATGGTGACTGAACTCGGGACGGGCTGGCTCTCTACAAAGGACCGCAAAACGCTTCTTGGAAACCCTCTTGAGTCGTCGACGGCTGTACGAGCGACAATGGAAGGCTTTCCTGGACCACGGGAATGAGGATGACGCTTTAGCGACGCGTTTTTGGACTTGATTTCCAGTGACGGCGACCGCTCGACAAGAGTGGCACTTCTAGACTTTATAGGAGCTAGAGAGATGGAAAAATGGTCCGACTCGTCGTCAGATAATTCTATGACTTCGTGTGCTCGGATGGGAGGCATGGGACAGAAAGAGATACGTGAAAATCGCGTTCAGCGGCGATTAAAAAAAACCTGGAACAGAACAAAGGGAGGTGAGCATTGCCGCCATAAAGATAAGAAAGAAAAACATTACCAATTCGGGAGCTGCCCTCACCGCCGTTGCCGTCGTCGATGAACTACACGGCAATACCGTCTTTAATACGCGTTATTGGCTCGGTGCCCAATCTTCTCACGGTCAACAAACCCCTGGAAATCTCGCAAATGAAACGGTCTATTGCTGCCAGTGCAGCCTGGGGTTACTACGTAGACTTTCGACTCGATATATTTCGCAGCTAGGAAAAAAAGGTACAAGGGGAAAATATGAACGGGATGGGAACGTTTGTTTTTCGATTTTCTGCACGATACTGAGGCGGTACCATTCAGCACCATGCACTCTGGGAACGATAGTCGCAGTCAGCTGATGCAGGTGAATACGAAGTTTTGAGTCGTCAAATTTCGCGATGATTTAACGTGACACAGTGTAAGGATGGAAACGCGACGCGAGAATCGGCATCCGATATCCTGGTGGAGCTAAGCGTCTGATATGGTTGGTATTCGAGCAGTGCCAGCAGGAAGCACAAGATTTGACCGCCTTTTCGCAAGGTAGACGAGTGTCGAGTGAGTTTTAAAAACGACAGAGGGTGTTCAGTAGATATCCTCGACGGTACATTTAGGCGGTACCGATCGAGCCTAAATGTGCGATATGATACTACTGTACGTGAATTCACAATTTGAATAAGACAACTGTCAAATTCAAGTCAAACTGTGAGAGAAATAAATTTCAGGGAGAAGAAGTTTTACGCGTCAAATTTATCTTTTCATAAACACGTTTAGAGGCAGATCTTTACAGATCTGCTAACCTTCGTCGAAATTTGAAAGAAATATTGGATCCTTGATTCCTCAGGAATCGGCAAAACTTCAATTGGCCTGCCCTCCAGGTCAAATAGATGCAAATGATCAGTCTCACGTGATTCCTCAAAATTTCTTTTGCTGTCGGCGCTATTACTATCCGCGGCGCCTTGGCCTGCTTACTGTCCTATATACATTCACAACTCGCGCGTCGTGCTCTACAAAAATGGGCAAGGCCTCAAAGTCTATGAAAAAGTTCGCTTCCAGTGGACAGCTCAAGAAAACCATCGAAGCGAGACGGAAGCACCAGCAAGTACGGAAGAAAGTTCAGGGGAAGAAATCCGGCAGGGCAAAGTCAAAAGTCGTCGACGACGTCGACGACGACATGGATGATGATGAGGAAGTTGAAGAGAAGCCTACTAGGAAAGGGTACGTTATGTTCAAGTTCAATACATTCATTACACTTGATAACATGATACAATAGAATGACTGTGGATGACATTTTGGGTGCTGGATTCATGGAAGGATCTGACGCCGACGGTGACCAGTCGGAGGTCCGTCTCTCTCTGCATCTGATTGAACACTTTTGATGTTTTTCGCAGGGTACGGACGACTCCGACAATGAGGAAGATGCCGCGAGTGACAACGATTCATTTGCTGATGTCGACGGCTTGGAAGATGGTTCGCTGCGCCCACGGATGAGATGTCTGGAGTCTTCTGATTCATCACTTCTCAGATGAAGGTCGAAATCACCTTACGGAATTAGCCAAACTCGCGGAAACGGATCCGGAATTCTATAAATACTTGCAGGACAACGACAAGGAGCTCCTGGACTTCAATCCTTCTGCGGACGCTGCGGACCATGGTGACCAGGACGAGGACAGCGAAGGGGACGCTGTCATGGATGAAGCCGTTGCACGTCCCATTCTTTCAAGCGACATCATTCGAGGGTGGCAGAAGGCTCTCCTCGAGGTAAATTGCATCCTTCCCACTTCTTGATCATCATTGATATTCTGTTCTGTCGTATAGCATCGATCTCTTCGTGCCCTACGTAAACTGCTTGTCGCTTTCAAGTCGGCTGTGCATATGAATGAGGAGGATCAGATGTTGGCATGGAGCATAGATAACTCTTCTGGTACGTTTTGACATATTACCTCTTCCAACAGGGCTGACATGAGAACTAGTCTACAACAAGTTGATCACCACTGCTTTGAGATTTACTCCCGTGGTCTTGGAACACCATGTGCCGTACAAGAAGTTGCCAAACGGCAAATTGTAAGGTCCTCGTCTTTACCATGTGCTTGTCGCCTTCTAACCTGAATTTCAAGTAAACCTCCTACACAAACTCAAAAGTTCAAGACTTTACAGAAACTTATATTGTCTTGTTTTCACAACATCATTCACCTCCTTTCTCAGCTCACTGACAATGAGATGATCGAGCTCGCAGTCACTGAAAGTGCCAAGATCGTTCCGTATGTAGTTAGTAGCCGTAAAACCATAAAACTTTATCTTAAAGTAAGTTACTTTTTTAGTTCTTCTTATAGCATCACTGACATTATCTACTTCAGAAATGTCTAGAATTATGGTCGAGCGCCGGAGATAGTATACGGATAGCATCCTTCCTCGCCATAAGAAGACTCGCTTCGGCCACGGATGAATCCATCCTGGACAATGTGCTCAAGGTAGTTTTTTTTCTGAACTGCACGCCTTTCGGACTTAAAGCCGATGCCAGGGAACATACCTCACTCTTGTCCGTTCCTCAAAATCCACTACCGTACATACCATCCCTGCCATCAATCTGATGAAGAATTCCGCTTCAGAGATCTTCTGCTTGGATCATGCGGCATCGTATCAACTCGCGTTTGGATATATCCGACAATTAGCCATTCATCTACGCAATAGCATGAAACTGAAATCCAAGGTACTCAGTTTTAGTGTCCTGCTATCCCGCAATCTAAAATGTAATTCTTTAGGAGTCATACAAGCAGGTATACAACTGGCAGTACGTCCATTCGATCGACTTTTGGTCGTTAGTGCTTGCCCGCGCCTGCGACGTGGATCCCGGTTCCCAGGAAGATGGCGACAGCGAACTAAAACCACTGATCTATCCTCTTGTCCAGGTTAGCCTCGGTGCCATCAAGTAGGTCGAATCCGTCGATTCATCGTTGACAAACCACTTTCTTACGGCGTCTTCAGGCTCATTTCCAGCAATAGATCATATCCGTTCCATCTGCATGTCATTCGTTCCCTGTTGCATTTAACACGGCATACACAAATCTACATTCCTATCTCGCCTTACCTTCTACCGATTCTCGCATCTACCCTGTCGTCTCCATCAAAACCAAGCACACTGAGACCTCTGGACTTTGAAGTACAGATCCGCTGCCCACAGCAGTACCAAAAGACTAGAGTTTATGTTGAGGGGTTGATCGAGGAATCGTCCTTCCTACTCGCGGAGTGGCTATCGACCGCCGCGGTGCAGGGGAGCATCGCGTTTCCTGAGATAGCCATACCCATCCTTGTCACACTAAGAAGAAGTCTGAAGGCGGCAAGGGTTGGGTCAGGGTCTGGGAAAGATCTGGGTGTCGTTAAGACTTTGATTGAGCGTATGGAGGAGAGTGCCAGGTGGGTTGAATCTCGTCGGAAGAACCTCAAAATTGCACCCGGACGACAAGGTGATGTTGATGCATGGCAGGAAGAGACCAAGGGTAAGGCTGGGGACTCACCATTGGCACGATATGTCAAGGTCCAGCGGAAAGTCCGAGAAAAAAGAAGAGAGTTGGTCGAAAAAGTATGTATTTTGTCACTTCTTCATGCGTCCGCTGCTAATCAATATCTATCTTAGGCTCGTGAAGGCAAAGCCGAAATTCTATCTGACTAGCTGACGACCGTACACGTTTCGTCGTTGCCATTACATTTAATTTGCGAGGATTTTTTTGTGATCTCTGCTCTTACGTGCCATGATTTGTATGCGCAGTTGTAATACCTGCGGTTTCAATAATCGTTGTCAAGGTTGCAACTACCCTAAAGACAGACGCCAACTATGACTGCTCAGGCACGATTTACAACGGAATTCAAAATATGCGATAACGAGACCTGAAACCCGTGGAAGTGTATATGATTCAGGGACAGAAGATATTTCCATGAATTAGTGTCAGTAAATCTTTTATGAATAGTTCCGTGACTTTCGTCCTCCGAACTTGCGGAACTTCAATGAACGTGTAACTCGTTCCTGCTTTTTCGTGCGATCTGATAGCCCAGGAAATGCGTCCGAAATGCCGGTAGCTATCGACGTGGCTTGTAGTACACAACAGTACCCTCGGGGAAACATGACCATATACCATAACAGCTGTAGAGATGGTTGAGCACCTGTATTCGGAGATACGATCAGAGTGGCTGACCCACCTGCAAAGTGGACGTCACTACCAGACGCCAAAAAAGGCCTTCCACCACGGCCGACCGATCCCTTGAGCGCTTTTCTCCATTCCTTCAACAAGTCGTGAATAATGCAGCGGTACCGAAGCGGGTTCCAAAGTTTTCGGCGACAGTGGATACTAATAAAAAAACAGCATCCAGACGGACGGAAAACAAGAGGTTCGCGGGAGAAGCGTACTTTGTTGAATACGATGTTGTTCTGGAGCGCACTAGCGGCCTCAACTGCTTGAGGCGTTAGCCTGGGATGCTTGGCTAGCGACTCGAGAAACACCGAGAGCTGAATGTGACGGAACGGATCCTGCACCCATTTTGTTGCGATAGTGGACAGATGCTGGGATAATTGGCGAGATGCGACTCGTGATGCTGCCATTTCCTGTTATTGGCTGCGACCTTTAGAACAGAAAAAACAAAAAAAGGTCGTACTGGTACCAAGTAGAGCCGGAACAGAATTTCAATTGCGGGCCGGACCCCAGATGCCGCTTTCCCGAAGGCGGCGTGAATTCAGCGTTCCCACGTCCCTTACAATTCCTCCCCTTTGAGACCAACTGAAAACACGACCTCGGCAATGTTTGTATCCTTTCTTGACGATATATTTGTTCAGCTTTTGGGGCTAGCGTGTCTTTTCAAGCTAGGCTTGGACTGTGGTTCTAGTATTACATGGACAACTTGAAAAAAAAAAAAAAGTCCTAATATAACTAACTAAGTATCGTTTCAATGATTTTTACCAAGTTTTTACATCTGAAACGCTGTTCATTTCCGAATAACTTTGTATAGAGCATTCTATTTTGTCTATTGCTGAGTCCCTTCGCATCGGCCCGCTTCAAATATTCGCTCACTGGCATGAATTTCTTCCCCCGAATGCATCGGTGAAAGGATCAAGGAACAGAACAGGTCCATTGACTTAGTATCCAGGCTTAGTGCATCTACTCTGAGCCGTACCCTGTGTTTTGTATTCTCGAAGTTTCTTGCCTCGCAACTCGTCTTCTCTCGCAAACATTTACCTATTTAGTCTGAGCTGTTTGCCACCGACGGAAGGGGTGCTGTTGACGGGGTGCTGTTGACTTTGCAATATTTTACTCATGAAGCAGGTTCTAATACTTGCGTATGGCATCCCAGTGCTATAGCCGTCATGCATGTATCCTGTATCTAGGCAGGGTTTTCCCCTCCCGTTACGGCACCATGCTGCTTCGTGGGCGACGGCGGATTGACCGGCCTAATCCGTCTCGCAGTTTACATCTTTCAGGGAAGTAAGTGACTGACTCCGCATCACACCCTTTCACCTTTCAATGAAATGACGAGTTCGCGACACCTTACTGCAGTCATCAACCTAGGGACGGAGACTGCAATGAGCACGTACCAGTGTTGTATTGAACGTTTCTAAGGTTGATCCACCACTCTCACCACCGCGTGAGTCGTTCACTGATCGCCGTGGGCATTTCGAACCACTGCCTTGTCCTGAATTTACGCTGTGCATTCGACCGGAAGTTGCCTGTTCTTGTGGTGAGATGGGACTATCGTAGTCAAATCGTAATTCTTTCCCCTTATTCCCGAGTGAGTATGGCTGGACCTGCTCTCGGACAGAGCCGACCAACGCTCAACTTGAAGTGCGTCTTCGGGAATTGCAGAATGTCTCTCACGGTTCAACGGTCATCGTTAGGACCGCCGTGCCCTGTTCTGTCTCAGATGTGCTTGTGCTAAGACAGGAGTATAGCAGGTCTGACAAGTATAACTTCCGAAGATATTCTAGAGAACATTGCTGAGCATTGGTTACCGCACTAGTATGACACGCCTTCCCCTTGTGAACGATAGATCTCGCGACCCAGTTTTTACTGTACATAACTTTTCTTCTCCCGGATAAGTTTACGATCTGATGATATATGGGAACTTTTCTTGTCGAGAGAAAGCTTTCGATGCAGTTCGTCTCAGTTTGGCGTTAAAACAACGCCTATCGGATGATCATATTGAGATTGATTTTTTTTTTTTACCAGAAGACCGGACAACCCGATTCGCTATTGTTATTGCTGTTCTGCCTAGTACTTGATTGATTGGGGCAGGATGTTCTCGTGAACATGAATGTTGGGACCATGATCCTCTTACACCCGCTGGGGTTCTCAGGCCAATGCCGTGAGCGACACTGGAATGTTGTTTCTCATTTGGGGAAATCTCATCAGCGGCAGCCAGAGAGAGGGATATCATGAACATCAATGCCATTTGATTGTCCCAGCAGGTGGAAAAAAGAACGACGAGTCCGCTCTGAGCCATTCGTTTTCGCAGCACACGCAAGCAAATTTTGAACTTGGGAAAACGTTTACAGCACAGCACTGCCACAAGGTACGGCGCGTGGCGCTTGTTTGGCGCCCAATGGCAAATGGCAAGACTGACACACTGACACTGTGCAGGTGGTCCGTCGTCGTTGTGGTCGTTGCCCTTTGCCATCATGGGCTGCTGTGGTGAGCCCAAGGATACTAATGCCGACCACGACAACGGATCAATATCTCAATATCAGCCTCAACCACTGGTAACCCAACAGCCAGGCCCTGTCCCGTATCCCAATGCCAAGAACGCGTTCCAGCCTACTCCAATCTCCCCCCCACCACCAGTACATTATGGCCAGAATGGACATGGGTCAGAGCTTCCATGGACGTCTTCGCCGTCATCTTCGCCAGTGCACAGGATGTCAATGGGCACATCGCGGCCAACGTCTGGTCACGGATTGAATGGATCTATTGACCACTCGTTTAACGAATCAATGTCGATGCGGCAGTTGCCTTTTGGGATGTCAGGAAGTCATTACTCGTTGCCAATGTCTCCGCCTCCAATGTCTACGTCGCCGCCCGCCAGAGTTGATATCGCCCCGCCGCCTTCGGATGAAGGGAAGATGTCTGTGTCGATCGACTTTGGTGCGTGTTTTGTACACTTAAATCACCTTGAGTGTTCTTAGAGGTCTATGTATGCCTTTTAGGTACTACTTTCTCTGGTGTTGTGAGTACCTCTATGAATCAGCTTGTATATTTGAACTAACCTCTTGGTAGGCTTACGGCTCGTCGAGGATTGCGGGCGGAAAAGTCCAACAAATACTAACCTGGCCTGGTTCATTCGAGACGTTCAGAAAGGTTGAGTATTCTCCCGATTCTGTTGAATATAACTAACTGATACCCATCACTAGATCCCGACTTGTTTGCTGTACGATGAAGAAGGAAGAGTATTGGCCTGGGGTTTGGAAGCTAAAAATGCAGGCCCAATTCCTGATACGCTCAAGTGTGAATGGTTCAAACTATTCCTGGAGCCTCGAGCCCTTCGGGACGAATCTGCCGTAGATCCACGGTTGCCACCGCTTCCAGTACGCACTCGTCTCATTTTCGTTTCGCCCTGGCATCAAATTAATATTCTCCTAGCCTGGCAAAAAAGCGATAGATCTCATCATTGACTTTTTGAGCTGCTTATGGGAATATGCTAAGGAGCAGATAACACGGGAAATTGGCGCCGTAGCTGATCTTAGTATGTCGTATTTCAATTGCGTTTGCGCTAAGCGCTAGTCTGACAATTGATGGTTCTCAAAGATACAGCTGATGTGTGGCTGACCGTCCCAGCAGCATGGGACGCTAAGGGATGTGACATCATGCGCGATGCAGCTATTTCTGCTGGCCTTGTACAAAGCGCCCGCGCAGGAGATAGGGATTGGAGGGACCGACTCAGAATTATCACAGAACCGGAGGCCGCGGCAGTTCACTGCGCACATCTTACAGATCTCCACAAACTCAAGCCGTCGCAGAATTTCATTGTCTGTGATGCCGGTGGAGGAACGGTCGATCTTGCCGTATACAAGGTACGCCTTCCGAGTAGGAGTCTCCGCTTTGTTTCTCGAGACATATCTCCCCGGCTTTTGCCCTCTAGATAATTGGCCAGATGACCAATCTTGAGATCGCTGAAATTTCTGCAAGATCGGGTGCGAATTGTGGTAGTCTTTTCCTGGACCTTCGGTTCAGGGAGCTAGTCAAGACGGTAAGCAGCTATCTATCTATTCTTCCTTTGTGTATCTCTAACCAACGCAATGGTGAGTAGCTCCTTGCCGACCACCCGGCACATCTTGACGCAGCATCACTTGCTAACTTTAGTCAGTGTCTTTATGTTCATTATATGATATCATCCCTTGACGGTCGTTGGATCTAGTGCATTCGTTCAGTGAGACCGACAAGCTTGATTATGGCGGCATATCTGACGATGGTAAGTTAACGGGTGTTCACAAAGTTTTTTTTTCCTCCGCCGCCACTGACGTATAATGGCGAACATAGAGAACATGTTCCATTTTACCTGTTTCAATGTCGAGGACCCCAACGATCCTTCTGTAGGATTGATTAATGGACAACTCTCGATCCCAGGAGCCCTTTTACGGCGTGAAGTGTACCGTTTATATTTTACTCGGAGCCCTTTTTTAGTATTAACGCCAATCTTGTAAAGCTTTGATCCCGTCGTTGAACAGGTACGTTTTCATTTAAACATTACCTCATGCGTAACTCACCGCTCACGCGTCAGGTTCTGGCCTTGATCGAAGACCAGACTTTGAAAGTCGATCAACGGATCGATGCCCTTCTACTTGTGGGAGGATTTGCAGCAAGTGAGTATTTGAAACAGAGAGTCGAGGTAATTTATGATTATCTTTCGCTGCATGAGAGTCAAGAGTTGACTCGTATAACACTGTAAAGGAACGATTTTCTCCCCGTATTCGAGTGATTGCTCGGCCCGTAGACGCTGATACGGCTACTCTACGAGGGGCGGCTCGGTATGGTTTGGCTCGTAGGCCACTCGTGTCCAGTGTGATCGCGCCACGGTCCTACATCATGAAAGTCCGTCTGTCTGCTTATATTGTCGTTACCCACGATTTACGTTAGTTCATGAATAGGTCAAGTTGCCTGCTGACCAGGAAGACTGGCAGAAGCGTCCCGCGTATATCAAAACCAATGACGCAGGTGTTCCCATTTGTGAAAATAGGTACGTCGTGACTTCTTCCCGGGATACATAGTGACTCTTTAAGTTACCGGCGGCTAGGCTGCAATATCTGGTGCAAAAAGGAGCAATCCTTCGGAAAGGGTGGGGCATTTTAAGCTTTTTTTTTTTTTTTCTTGTGCGCCACTAATACCAATTTCTAGACAACGGCTGACAACGAAGTTTTGGTGAGCGCTCTGTGGCTGTGGCTGTGGATGAATGAACCCTGACCGTCGAACAAGTAAATTCTCGCAAACCGTACAAGGTATGCATGATCACTGCCACACACGTTTATATTCATTTCATATCATATCCGGCAGATTCGGCGTTCGTGGCCGTCATGTTCACAAGCGAGGCGGACAAAATTATGCGGTATACAGATGAAGGAGAAACCACCGAGCTCTGCAAATGGACTGTGGACCTATCATCGCTGCCGGCGTTTCAACAAGGCGCCAGGCAGGGTGGTGGTTTCTATACAGGTGGGAAGCTCCAATCATCAAGATTCATCGTACACTGACGTTAGTGAACCAGAATTTGAACTCGGATTGGAATTGGATAGCGCGGAAGTGCGGGGTATACTTCTGTATGATAACCAAGTTTGGGGCCAGTAAGTGAGATTAACTGTGGCCGGAGATCGTGGCGCTCACACTTGTGTGTGTGTGAAGGGTTACATTCGACTTTCTGAATTAGGAGAAGGCTCTGTTTTGATGGACAGATGTATATATAACAAGCTATGTTGTGGTGAATGGTACACGGGAACGCGTTGTCCCGGAGTCGTGTCGTCTGGCATCGAACCTGCTGCTTCGCGGATTGAAGCAAAAGCGTCATATGATGGGGGGTGAGAGATTTTGATCCATCCGTCGCCATCGCATGGACGAGGAGACATATTCCGAAGAGAGCTTATGTTGACAAGTAGTCGATATTGGGGCTAGGTACCTTGATCACGTATGATATTGCGCAATGGGTGAGAGTCAGATCACACCGGGCCAAACCGATGTCGCACACAGCACAGTCCATGCTGTGGGTCCATCCCATTCGGCTTCGTTAAGCGGCTCCTATGCTATTATTGATCCACCCTTTTTAAGCAATTTTTTTTATTTGTTTCTAATGTCTTGGCTTATCGAGCGTGCCTGCCTGTCGGCTTGCCCGACACATAAGGCTTTGGAGATGTCGGATCCGGCCAATGCCGCAAATGGGTCGGCCATTCCCAGATATCCTCTCCCGATCCCGCAATAAAAATCGATCGAGTAGTCATCACATCAACGGTCACGATTCCTATAAAGCCATGGCAAATAGTTTCGTCGCCCTCTCGCCCTCTCATGGCTCTCTCTAACTTATCCCCGGACCACCTCTATGCTCTCCTCGCACCCATTACTGTCCCCCCTTCCTCCTCCCGCGGCAAATTCAGCAACTGGGGCCAGACCTTTCATTGCACCCCTCTAGCCATCTTCGAGCCGGAGAGCGAATACCAATGCGAACTTATCCTCGAGTTGGCCCGCCGCGAGAACAAGGTCGTCCGTGCCGCTGGAATAGGCCATAGCCCCAGCGATATTGCCTGCACAAAGGAATTTATGTTGCGCACTCAAAAGCTTAACCGTGTGTTATCGGTGAGGTTATCTATTTGTTTTTCATCCTGATGGGGTTATTCCAAATTTCTAACTGGTTTCCCTTACCCCCCTCCCCCCCCTGTAGGTCAATGTCGAAAAACGTACTGCTACCGTACAAGCAGGGATAACCCTCAACGAATTACACGCACACCTGGCGAATCACGGACTTGCCATGATGAACGTCGGGTCTATCTCTGACCAGACCGTGGGCGGTATCGTAACCACTGCAACACACGGTTCTGGCGTGACATATGGTGTCATTTCGACCCATGTAATGTCTCTCAAGCTTTTGTTGGCCGATGGCACCTACGTGACGTGCTCACGGCACGAGCGACCCGACCTATTTGTCGCATCCATATGCGGCCTGGGTACCACGGGTCTCATTCTGAACGTCGAGTTGGAGGTGGAACCGGCATTTAGGCTCAAGGAGGTTGCCATCACTCAGCCTTTCCAAGACGTTATCCAAAACCTGGATGAAATCGCGCACGCCGCAGAGCATGTGCGACTCGCTTGGATCCCAGCAGCCGATCGGATACGGGTTGGCTTGATGAATCGGACACAAGAGGTACGTTCGCTTTGCTTTGTCCGACCGTCGCCCGTCCCATGCCTGAACTATCATATTTTATTATTTTTTTAAAAAATTCAGGACAAGACGCCGGCGGGAAGTTGGCTCTTGGAAGTGTTCCTGGGATTCTACGTGTTGGAGTTTATTCTATTCCTTGGCCGTTTCTTCTCATCTATCAACAACTTCGCTGGGCTATTTTTTTGCTGGCTGAGTGGGTCAAAGTCGGTCCGGGTCGACGACAGTTATCGTATTTTTAATCTGGACTGTCTCGTGAGTCTATCTCAGTCTCTACCTTTCAGCGCTTCTCTCATTGTTTATCTGTACAGTTCCTGCAATATACAACCGAGTGGGCTATACCGTACACGAGAAGCCAAGAGTGTTTGCGTGAATTACATGCTTGGTTGAGCCAGGAATTTGGCGATCCGAATGGGTTGAGGCCCCACTTTCCCATAGAGATTCGCTTTTCTGCCGCGGACGATATCTGGCTGAGCCCCAGCCAGGGCCAAAAGACGTGTTGGATTGGAATAGTCCAGTTCAAGTGCGTTCTGACGCTATCGGCTCTGACCCATTGCTTAACTTATTGCATACAGACCCTACGGACTATACGTCCCTTATAAAAAGCTTTTTGATGGTTTCGAAGCCATCCTAGCCCGTCATGGCGGCAGGCCTCATTGGGCCAAGGCACATTCACTGCGTCGAGAAAAGTTGCGCAGTCTCTATCCTCACTTTGACGACTTTATTCGCGTTCTCGAAGATGTAGACCCTTGCGGGCTATTCCGAAACGAATACATTCGACGACACTTTTTCGATGGCCAAGCAGATGGGCGAATATTCAAATTGCGACAGTAATGGTGATGGTGTGTGTGTGTGTGTGGATCGATCTTGGATCTTGGTTTCTTCCCCTTTGTTCGACATATTCCCAAAGTACAGCCCTTTATAATTCCTAAAGTACCACATATTACGAATAGTAGCTTTACGTGGCGAAGAACCACCTTCAAAACTGTGCAATATTACACCCCTAGTTGTTCTCTGATGGATTCTCGTACGAGACGTTCGTATTCGGGACGATTGTCTCGGTAAAGCTTGCAGCAGTCGATATTTGCGCCACTCTCGAGGTTTGGCTCTTTGAAGAGAGACGATCGGTGCTGTGGTTAACGCAGTGGGAGTAATGCGAGACTTACCAGCTAGCATCGAGATAACGCTAAGAAGGACCTTTTCCATGCTCTGCACCGGGCTCCATCGCTCTGAGGCTTGTTCGTACATTGTAGGGTCATCGCCGGGGGTATGCAGGATCGAGATGCACACGTTCCCATCTGGATAGACTGGAATATACCAATCAATGGTTAACAGCGGCCGGACCACGGAGAGCAAACGCACTATTAGGGTGGAACAAGGGAGGTTCGAATTTCATTTTGAAAGGGGATAAGGGGTAGTCGGTTGGCTGAAATGAGCGCTAAATTGAAACTGCTAAAAGACTAAGTGCCAGTGACTTACAAACGTCAGTTTCGCAGAAAATACTCCTCCTTCCTGTGAATTCCCATCTAGATCTGTGAGCTGCGCAGCGGGCAAAGCATGGGACATACAAAAGGCGTCTCCTTCGGGCCCACGATGAGAGCCTCCCAAGTAAAGAAATCTGGACAGGCAATTGATTAACATGGTGTTGCCTCCAAGTGGTGCCGTCCAACCTGATTCAGATATGGGACCTAATGCGCGCTGTTACATGTCGACCGGAAAATAGCAAAGAACGCTGAAACGTGGACACACCGGCCGTGAACATGCCATCTGGCGAGCCTGAAAAAGGGAACAAGGTCGATTTACTGGGTATTCAGCCACAGAAATGAACAGGAACTACCTACCTCCCGAGGTGAGCTGCTTGTACTCCGTCATCAGTCGGCGCAAGGCCGTAGCACTATTGGAGCCTCTTGCATTCATCTTTCAATTCGTGGAGGCAGTCCCAGGATAATGGGTGATGGTGGTCACGAGTAAAAGAACACTGCACCGCTAATGACAAATTTCGTCTCGAGATAACATGACGCATTCAATGGTAAGACTACAAGTGGATTAATACACAATACATTATCTTCCCTGCCCGGGCCTCATGCATCAGCCAAGATCAGCCTAGGAACCACATTCATCGCCATCAACTGTTCGAGGTCGTCAGTGGACTCCTCGCACCGTCATCGCTGACGCAGTAGCTCACCTCCTGGAATAGCAATTTCGCAGCATACGGAATCGTCAATTGTGCCATCTTCTTGGAACTCTTGCAGTACGTGCACCAGCCATTGTACCCCATCAGCCCACATTCCTGGCAGGCGTTCACCTCGAATTTGTCCGACGATATCATCAGACGCTCGAGCAGAAGCTGCGTTGCACCATATCCTATCAAACAGTCCCGCTCCATCTCCCCCAAGCGCAGCCCTCCTTCACGAGACCTTCCTTCTGTGGGTTGCCGGGTCAGCGTCGCTCTCGGGCCTCTGTAACAAGGGACCAAGGTAAGTGAATAACAATCGATGAGCTATTCAGGAACTACGAGACCTCGCCCTGGCATGCATTTTGTCCATCACCATGTGCTCTAGATGTGCGTCAAATCCACAAACACGAGTCTTTAGTATAGAAAGACGCACTGAGTTTCTGGTAATATGGCTCAGTACGGAGCCTCAGTACTTCCGATCGATAAAGTCTTGCTTACCTGGTAGTAAATGGGCCCAAAGTAGACATACGCCTCCATTGGCTCTCCAGTGATGCCGCTCGTCAGCATATCCTTACCACCATAACTGAATCCGTTCTCAATCAATATCCGGCTCATGTCCTCTACCTATGGATCATTACTCAGTATTCATTTCCGAGGGACACAGCAGCCAAACAAACCTTCGAGCCACCAAAGGCAGTTCCGTACTGGAGCTTCCCGCACAACGTTCCCGCCTAGTTACCGATCAAGATACAGCGCTTAACCAAGCAATGAGTTTTACCTTCCCAGCAAGAAGTTCGATCATCTTCCCAACAGTCATTCGCGACGGGAACCCGTGAGGGTTCATAATCGTATCTGTCAAGCAGCTGCGATGAGTATCATTCTATTGCACCACTCCCAATCAGTCGCTCACCAGGATTGATCCCTTGGTCATTGAAAGGCATATCTTCCTGGTTCACAATTAGCCCGCAGACACCTTTCTGTCCATGCCTCGACGAAAACTTGTCTCCCAGTTCGGGCCTCCGCGTCTGGCGGATCAACACTTTGATGAGGGTCTGATCATTCTCTGTGTCACTGATCATGACTTTGTCGATATTACCCGCGACGGGAGACTTGTATGTCATCGGTGTGTTCTTGTAGGGCACCGAGGCCGCTTGACCTGTGAACGTATTATCTGTAGCATTCGTCGGAGACTGTTTGTTCACGTAGACGTCACCCGGATCAACACGCTCCCCAACACCTGCAAGGCCGTCCGGCTGAATGATATCATACTTTTTGGCAGTCTGCCCTGTCTCGTCCTGCGGTGCATCGGCCAACCGATCAAATCTAAAAATAAGGAGTTAAGGATGATAAAATTCCCGGCGATATGATGCGTCAGAGGAGCACGTACGTTCCGTTAGGATACTTTCGAATTAGAGTCGCATTCTTTCTCAGTACTTGACATCGGCCATAACCACGATCTAGACTGGCCTGTAAAAAAAGTTCAGTAATATGCGCTTTGACCGAATTAATCCGCAGTGACCTTGTTTAAGATGAGAGCGTCCTCGATGTCATAACCGGAGTAACTCATGACAGCCAGGGTAGCATTTTGACCTGCAGGAAGACGATCATATCCGACTAGTTCGATAGTTTTCGTTTTGACCATTGGCTGTTGAGGATATACAGATAGGTACAGCAGTGTGTCGATTCGATTTAGTTGATTGTAACCAATCGCACCAATCGCTTGTTTACCCATAGCGCATTGATAGGTATTCCGAGGCGATTGGTTATGATGCGGATAGGGGATCAGCCCGGCAACGGCGCCAAGCAGTGTAAATGGCTCGATTTCCAGATGAGTCGTCGTAGGCACGATGTCGGCTTCGTAAAGTGCGATGTACGCGTCGTTTTCCTCATTGACATCGAGGTATTCAACCAGCCCCTTGCGCAAAAAGTCATCAAAGGTGGCTTTACCCTTCTTGAGATACTGAAAGTTGCGATCAGACTTGGGAAAAACCACGAGTGAAGAAGACAAGTTCTTTACCGAGATATGCTCCGACGTAATCCGCGGACGCCCATGTTCGACAATAACCAGAGGTCGACAAATGCGACCTCCATCGCTTGCTATATGCACAGCCCGGTGGTGATGATTAATATAAATGCTCACAAACTCGCTGATTCTCCTCGCGCGCCGCAGCTTCCGAAACTGTGCAACGAAACGAGCGGGATATCGAGTCAGACCGATAATAGTTCCGTTCACATTGACGACGAACGTGTGGGGTCCGTATATCTCTGTACCCGTTGCCAGAGTGATGTCTGAGGGAACAACAATTAGGCATTGACGGACAAAGCCAGAGAAGTCTATTTCGAGATCTCACCTTCGACTCCCAACATAAAGGCGAGACGGACGATTGGCCCCTCTTCCACATCGGTGGTGATGTGGGTCATCAAGGCCAGATTTTTGACTAGACCACAAGCCTCGCCTTCGGGAGTATCACTTGGGCATAGCATGCCCCATTGACTTGGCTGTAACGCCCGAGGACCACTAACTTTTCGAGTCTTCTCAAACTGCGAAGAGATGCGGGTCATCATCCCTAGGGCAGAGATGAAGCTGAGCCGGCTGAGGACATGGGTCACACCAGCACGCTCCATCTTGAACCGTTTCAGCGACCAATTCCCGGTAGATATCGCGCGAACAAAGCCGGCAGTGAGATGGTCGCCTTGAAATTGCATGGTAGTAAACGCGTCAAATTCATTGGTCCGTGAAGGCTTCTTGAGGACTTTGTCGATAGCAGATTTAAGATTTGCATTGTACGTTTTAAACAGATCTTCGAACAGAAGCGCGAGAAGCTGGCCCGCCCTGTGATCTATTAGCAACAAGTTACGAGATCACCAAGTAGGCAGCGTGTGATCACGTACAATTCTAATCGCTTATTGCCCACATAATCACGATCATCTACCATCTTCTCGTCATCCATGGCCATCAAAACACGGCGGGTCATGGTGGCGACGAAGATAGCTTTCGCTCTGAAGTCGAGACCACTGACTGGGACATGTGCCAAAACAATCGTGGCTAGAGCTTCCAACGCCTCCTCCCATGCCGGTCTACGGGGCCCCATCACACGCCGATTTATTTTGACGCGGCTGCCAATATACTCCAATGCCTGATGGCGGGTGAACACGCCAAGCTTGGCGGCGTCTTCTAGGTTGGCGGAGAATGCGGCTTTGTAGGATTCTGTGTTACCAGCAGTCAACAGAAGGATTTCCTTGTCGGATTGGACACCGAGAGCTTTCAGGGCAATCGCAATGGGAACATCTTCATGAATTGAGTTATGTCGAAGGTAAATCCGACCTTTTTTAGTGGCGACGTATGTTTTTGATTTGAGACCACCATGTGTAGACCTTTACTCCGCCGAAAAGTTATAGGAGATGCCTGGACATGAACATGGACTCACGATGTGCAGGAAGCCTGGACAACACCTTTGACAGGATCAGTTTCTACAATAATCCGATTTTTGCTGAGCTGTTCTTGGACCAAAATGACTTTCTCGGTTCCTTTGACCACAAAATATCCTCCAGGGTCCAGCGGACACTCTTTCATGCGCGCAAGCTCGGCTTCTGATCGGCCAGTGAGCACACACTTGCTGCTTCTCAGCATGATGGGGATTCGACCGATGTTGACGTTGCGTTGGATAACGTTTTTGCCACGGACGTACTGGATAGTGACCATAATAGGAGCGCTGTATGTGATGTCGCGTAACCGACATTCGTGGGGAGTGACGCGCTTGTCCACGGCCTCGACTTCATTTCGGTCTGGAAAGCCGACATTGATGTCGGTGAACTTGAGCCAGAAGCGAGGGTCGACGTCGGAAGTAATTTTATTGTTTGCCTTGACAATATTTTTGATGTCAACGTTAACAAAGTAATTGAAGGAATCGATGTGCTGCTTTACGAGACCTTTCACTTTGAGAAAAGCAGGCAACAATAACCATTTGTCCTGCATGTTAGCTTTGGTGGACCGTAATGGGCAAGAAGTGTAGATGGACGCACCTCAACGCTCCGTATGGGATCCGTAAGTCCCAAGCCCCGCCAATTGGACCGGTTGAGCTGGTCCCACTCTTCTTCATCGTCGTGAATATCCATGACCCGAAAAAATCAGATACGAGAAAAGAACAATCCTTGTCCTCAAAAGATAAACGGAGCGAGAAGACAAGCCGTATGTGCGTTATAGCACGCTCTAGCTTTGGTCGCTGCAGTCGTTAATAGGGGTCGTCGTCGCCGTCGTCTTCTGTGTCCCAGATGCCGGCTTCGCGTCGATAAATGTCATGTGATCTGGGACTCGGCGCGGATACGGTCCCGGAGTTTCCATCTTGATCTTTCACTCTTCTTTCCTCTGAAACAGCACTTTGCATCTGCCTCTCTCATCGCGACGGATCGCAATATTGCACCATGTCCAAGCCTTCTACACCGACACAGAACGCCTCCAATACCTTGCTTCTTCGTCGTCAGCTTAACGAACTCACCAAGCACCCTGTAGAGGGTTTCTCCGCTGGTCAGTGGCACCGTTCTCTGAGTAAATTTCCAGAGTTGAAATATACATGTAGGACTAGTCGACGATGATAACATGTTTGAATGGGAAATCATGATCATTGGGTGCGTGTTGGCATTGTCGCCTCTCGCTGATCTCTGAATACCGTATGCAGACCTGCCGACACAATCTAGTGCATAGTCTCCTTCCTTCTTTTTGTACATTTGATAGACTGTATCTTCAGCGAAGGTGGTTTCTTCAAGGCTCGGCTGACGTTTCCTTCTGAGTACCCTCTGCTACCACCCAAAATGCGTTTTGTGACACCCATGTGGCATCCCAACAGTGAGTACCTGTTCAGTGAGACTACCACTATGCCGACCGTCGTATCCAGTCTATCCCGATGGAGTCGTCTGCATTTCTATCCTTGTAAGATCCTCTTCTGCGTACCCAACATCGCATCTCATCTAGTCAATCAGCATAATCCAGGCGAGGATCAATATGGATATGAAGACGCTGGTGAACGATGGATGCCTGTTCACACCGTCGAGACTATCGTATGCGTTCCCGGCTCTTCCTGGTTCTATCATGACTTACTGCTCTATAGCTTGTTAGCGTTATCTCTCTTCTTTCTTCTGACACACCAAATCTTGACAGTCCCGCGAACGTTGATGCCGCGAAGGAAGTCAGGACCGATCCTGAAGGTATGATTATGTCGCCGCCCTCTATAGCATGGCGCTGACTGGATCACAACCTCAGGTTACAAGAAGAAAGTCCGAAGACTGGTACGCCGAAGCGCTGAAGAGGCATTTGATTAAGTGTGGCGCAGCTGGAATATGGACGCGTTTGTGGACGGCGGAATCATGTCAGAGCAACGCGCTACATCTCCATACAACATCTCCTATTACTTCACTCTGGCTGTGGTTCACCAATGACAATTAAATATTTACTTTTTAAAAAAATCTTTTTGCATGTTGTCCTGCTCCATGTGTCCCAGTATTTCACAGTCTGAATGAGTCCCCTCTGAGAGCTATATGACAATGTCACTGACTGATTCGTGAATTCCGAAATTCGTGACAGGCTTAATTAGATTTTTTATCACGTGACTGACACGCTCCGGAGTCGGAGCTCGGATCTCACGGTACTGTTCGCCTGCTGCTAACATTTATCGTCAGTTAGTCCTCCTTTCTTGTCTTCGGATATCATGGCCTCAGCAATGGTCAGTACAAAAGTAAAGGTATATGGATACGCTAAACGTCAGGCATCTTCTGTTTCTGCTCTGCCTTCTCCACCGCTGACACTCCTACAGGTAACAAAGCATCTGCTGCTGTACCGCTGGGTATGCTAATGAGCTCCTATATTAACTCAGTTTAATATCCTTGATAAAGAAATCGACTCTGACCCGGACTTCAATCCCGGAGTATATATTTCTGAAGAGCCCAAGAAGAAGAGGACTAAGCAAGCCAGTCACCCCGGGAGTTCCAGAGGAAAGAAACGACAGCACGACTCAGATGATGACTATAATGTCCCAACGGCTCACAAAAGTGTGTTTAGCCAATTCTCTGTTGGTGTTCACGTAAATAACGCGGCATAGGATACCGACCTGACGTGAAGGGCGAGAATCCATTACTCGAGTTCTTCAGTAATACCACGGCTCCGCAGTGTGTTCTATAGCTGATGCTATCTTTCTTTCTAGATGATACTGAAGAGCTCGGCCTTCATTCTGCGTCTGAGGATGAGACCGACGGCGAAGAGGAGGAGGAGGAAGGAGATGATGATGATGATGATGAAGGAGAAGAAGAAGATGAGGAGGAGGAGGAGGAAAACCAAGAAGAACTAGATGATGATGCACCTGTCATTCTAACGTCTATGATTGCATTTACTCGAAAGACACAGCCTGAGAGACCTCCGCAACCGATGGTGGAGGACTCGGCTACAGGTCTGTCTGTTTCTTTGCACCTCTCTTGTTGCCTCATTGTGCAATCGTGTAGAATCAGATACAGATGAAGATGTAATACCAGTGCCTCCATCTCAGCCATCAACATCGAAGCCAACACCAGGTCCGTCATTATATTTGGAATGCATCCTGTTGAAAGTAATCAGATTATATAGCTGTGGTGGCAGAAGATGATTCAGTGACAGAGTCTGATACAGAGGACGAAAGCGAAGTTCCTCCAGCTCCACCCGTGGCTTCAAAAACACCAGAAATAAAGTCAGGCCACGACCCGGACTCTGAAGAGGGTTCAGTGACAGAAGAAGACTCAGACATGGATGACGAGCCTATGATGATCAGCCCAGTAAGAACAATAACCTCCTCACCTTGACATTTAGGCCGTTGATATCCTCCGTATAAGCATTTGAAACCTCGCCCTGGTTTTCCACTAACTCCTGGCCAGAGGCCCCTAGGTCCATTGATCCTTGGTGATGCTAAAGGAATAAAGGTTCCTGCTTCCATCAACACATACCTTCGGGAGTACCAGCGTGACGGTATAAAGTTTTTCTATCATCAGTATAGTGAAGGAAGAGGTGGCCTACTTGGTGATGACATGGGTCTTGTACGTTGCCATCTCCTTATTGACGCCTTTTCTCACCAACACTTGTAGGGTAAAATTTCTTTATTCCTTAGGTCCTTCTGGCATCTTACATCAGTTAACAGGTAAAACGATCCAAGTCATATCATTCCTCGCTGCCATTATGCGGAAGGATGGGGTAGTCACAGACAAGTATCGAAGACGTGATCATGTTTCACGATTACAAGATGGCTCTGCCTGGAAGAAGCGTAGGGAATTGCCAGCTGCAGATGCGACCTGGCCGACTTGCATAATTATTGCGCCGACATCTCTCGTGCTAAATTGGGCCAGGGAGTTGAAGACTGTATGTGTACCATTTTTATCGCCAAACATGTGCTCATAAACTGTCCACAGTGGGGATACTTTGAGGTGGGTCTGTACATTGGTACCAGAGAAAATCGGCGCATTGTCCTTGATGACTTCAAGAAGGGCCGTCTCGACGTTGGTAAGTTTGCCCTACTTCAGCTTACCTTGCAGGCTCTTCTCACTTAGTTTTACGCAGTCATCACTTCCTTTGACCTTGCTCGGAGGGAAATCGATGCCATCGACACACTCGCCTGGACGTGCTTATTTGTCGACGAAGTTCATCGCGTAAAGAATATCACATCAAAGGTCACTCAGGCGTACCACCAATTCACCACCCAACGAAGATTTGGGCTTACGGGGACGGCTATTCAGAATGGTTATATTGAGCTGTACACACTTCTAGATTGGACGAACCCTGGACGCATAGGCACTCCTAGGCAGTGGAAGGGCTTTATTGAGAAGCCTCTCCTTGTAGGCCAGTCTGCGAAGGCTTCTGAGGAGGAGATAGCAAAGAGTATGGTGAGCTGAAGAAACGTTTACTGGGGTTCAGGGCATATGCTAAGTTAGCTTCCCCCTAGCAAGTAGCGATTATTCTCCGAGATAAGGTCATGCCCCGCTTTTTCTTGCGAAGGTCGGTATTTTCCCACGCTCGACGTGAAATTATTATTCAATATACAATATCCTAGAACGAAAGAGATCATAAAAGACCAAGTAAGTCACTTACATCAAGCTCAGGGACATCTTAGGGATTGAAGTCTTTCCTCAGCTGCCACAGAAATTTGATCAAGTGGTGTTCTGCCCTCTGTCCGATATACAGATAAGCGTTTATAAGCGGATTCTCGAGACGCCTGCCGTGCAGAACTTGATACACAAGGACGATGACTGTTCATGTGGGTCTGGAAAAAAGCGAGTCCGTCGTTGATGCTGGAATCGATCCGGCTGACCTCTGTTTCCAGACAAAAAGATTGCTGTGTGCCATATGAACCTGCGGATGTCCTTCGATATATGTCAATCTTGTTGAAACTTTCCAATCATCTGGCCCTTATATTGCCGTGTAAATATTTTTCTCCTCGGCTATGACCATTACCTTATGTTTGGTTCTCCAGCTCCAACCGATTCCAAAGATCAGGTGAGAGCGCTTTATACTTCAAAGACGACTCTCCTAAGCTAAATTTATATATCAGGTGTTGCGTAACCGCCAATTGTCAGAAATCGCATTTCCCGATGGTGCACCGATGTACGTCGAGGCGATGTTGAACCCGAAGTACTGCGGGAAGTGGCTGGTGTGTATTCATGTGACTCTTTTCATCTTGTATTGAAGATTGGGTAGGCTTTGCAACTGCTACTCGAAAAATGGAGGAAGGATCCGACCAACAAAGTACTCATCTTCACCAAATCGGTCAAGCTCATTGAGATGCTGGAGCATTTGCTCAAGGTTCGCAGTAAGTATTCTTAACGCGTCTTCGCATCGAATGATCTTCTAATGTCCTCTTTCTAGGTTACACTTTTGTCAAACTTGACGGAAGCACCAAACAAGAGACTCGTAAGTACCTTAAATTTGTGATGCCAAAGTTGTTTAACCTCTGCGCCGTAGGGATGGAATACGTTGACCAATTCCAAAACGACCCGGATGTCTACATCTTCCTCATCTCCACTCTTGCCGGCGGGACCGGGTTGAATTTGACTAGTAAGCGTCGTTGGTCCTATGGTGATATTGCTGCTGCTTATATCTGATGCAGAGGCGAACAAAGTGGTCATCTTCGGTGAGCTTCGAGCTGTGTGGCGTGCCTCTTTGTGGCTAACGTGGGCTTCTAGATCCCAATTGGAGTACGCTCCTCCCTCGCCTATCTGTCAAATGGATCCTTATTTGTTCACAGACCCTGCACATGATCTCCAAGCAATGGACAGGGCATTCCGCCTGGGACAAACTCGAGACGTTGAAGTATATCGGTTGCTTGGGGGTGGATCGCTAGAAGAGCAAATTTATGGACGGCAGCTGTATAAGCAGCAGCAAATGGCGATTGGGTATGAAGCCAGTGTGCAAACAAGGTACCGTTCTCCGTCTTCGTCCTTATCTTTCTAGGTCTTATGATCGACCTTTGTTTAGATACTTTGATGGTATTCAGGGCGACGCTCAAAGACAAGGAGAACTTTTTGGTATCAAAAACATGTTCAAGCTCAACGAAGGCCTGTCAACCAAAATGGCGGTAAGGATTGTATACGTTCGCTGGTTTTGTGGTCGTTTTGAGCATGTACGCATCAGATCGAAAAAGCTAATATTGCGGAGTTGGACTGGGCACTCGCCAATATGACTCCGGAGAAAAAGCGGAAAATGTCCGACGAACAGAAGAAGTTGTTTGAGGCTGAGAAATCGGAGTCTCATAAAGACGATGTATGTTCTTCTTGTGGTTTCATTGCATTCGCTGATGATCCGGTGGAGGGTTTGCGCGGGCTTGCCGCCTTGTTCTTCGATGACGAGGGTCAGTTTGATCTTCTTTAATACTAGATTAGGTTCCCATTCTCGGCGCTCTAGCTATGCCAACAACTTCGGCCAAACCAATGACTGAGGCCGAGAAAATACTTGCAGCAGCTGGTGTGCAATACAGTCACCGCAACGATCACATCCTTGCCCCCAGCAAGATCGGAGAGGTGCGCGCCAAAAACGTACTAGCCGTAAGTGTTTACCAGACATTCCGCTGCCCACTACCATTTTGGAGTTCAATCTAGGAGACGAAGAAACGCACCAGCGTCAAATCTAAGCCTCGGATATCGGCAGGAAAAACAGCTCGGAAAGATCAACAGGCCATAGGACGACGGAGTTCTTGGCCACCCATTCGACGTGGTGTGCACCACCGGACCACCAAGCTGGTGGTACCCCCAAAGACCACAGATAGGACCCCTGGGCCACAACGAATTGATGAGCCTTCATTGTTGAGTCCTGCTTGGACCCCCGAGGAGACGTACGTACCCCTTCTTCTGGTGGTCAATAATACCTAAACAATCCCTTACAGACGAGCCAATCGCCAGCGTGCGTTGATCGAAATTGGATGGCTCAAGTCCCCTGATGACATGCCTGCCTTTGCTCTTAATCTGTATGTAGACTAATTTTGATACTGAATACTATACTCACGTTGGTCTACAGGATAAATCAACCCGAAGACGCTCGGGCAAACATTCTGCGTATGCTGGACGAGCATGCGATAAAGTACCCTCCGGATCTATCTTCAGACTAGATCTTTAGAGCAAATTGTATATTTACTGGCATTTCTATGTGTAACATGATCGTTAAGGATCACTCGGTCCAGTGTATTCAAACTTCTCTTTGACATGGACCACACTTTATTTTCTTCAGGGCGAACCGGCGCCGATGTTTACCGACCTGCTCGAGTTCACGGTGCTCCGTCTGCCATTCACTTTGGTTGACTTTGGTGCGGGACCTAGTAGACTCTTTACGTTCTAATTCAGTATTGTGACGTTGATTGCAAGCGAGGGTCGAATATGCGCCTGGTCTCTGTGTATTAGGGAATAGAGATGACAGGGATTAAGTTCAGGAGGACACTGCTGTACGAAGACGTCGTTCTGCTCTTTTATCACACATCCATACCTAAGCCTGCATCATTCAGAGTCTACTAGGATATCATAATGCCCGGGTCTAAACATACAACCATCAGCGAAAACATACGACTCTTAACTCGATTCTACTCACCTGTAGAGCAGTGCGAGCGGCGTCTCATTAGCGTCAGGCGCACTGCGAAATTCGACAAAATCGACTAGCCCATTACTGTTTCTGCCATCGAGATAAGCAACATTGACGTTAAGTTGGAGCACCTTCGACAGGGCAGTCATTTGGACGTGGTCTAGGTCGTGTTAAATTATTTTTGCATTCGAGACGTCGAGGGAATTTGTAAAACCACCCACCTGCTTCTTTATTAACGGCCTCTACAAAGTGCTCACAAAATTCGCGCACTTCCATTGGCTCACCTAGCTCCGGATGGAAAAGGAAGGGAGCGAACGCATCAGGGTCGATGCGTATTTGGGCGGACTGGTTGGGAAAGGTGTCAAGTGGTATCATGCTGCACAGAAGAAAATGCGTACAGTCAGCAGTCTCAAATAAACGACGATAGAGTTTGATACTATGGGTCCAGAAGATGAAGGAGGAGATCTCTTTATTTCCGATTGATACACCTTACCTTCGGGAGACTGAAACGCCTCGAGAAGCCCGACCGCATTGAGGGTTTTGCCGGTGACTTGTGGCGTGACAATACTCAAAAGGAGCGATTCGAGCACGTCGTAAAAATCTTCAAACGCCAATCTTTGGAATCCCACGTTCTCCAGCATGGGTAGAGTAGATTTCAGTGTTGCAACACCCTTTTCCACGGCCTGTGCCGGATTGAGCGCGTGCATCATGCGTTCCACATATGCGAATGCCACGGCTGTAAAGCTAAACATCGTGAGAACGACAATGATAATACAAAGTATAGCTTCACATCTGTAGAAACAATCTCCGTCGCCTGCTTGTTGGGGTTTCGTTAGCTCCTTCTGAATGTGGGTCAGCAAGCGGCACGTCACCTTTTGTTCTTCTGATGTAGTGATAGCCCTTGGTGGTCAGCCAGTCTATTTGCCTGACGAATGCAGGGCTGCCGTTCTCATACTCGGCGCGTAAAGTTGATATCGGAGCAATCTCATCGATCAGCGGACGCGTCACGCCTGTGGCTTCGTCGAGGAGGCTCTAAACAGTTATAAGAGCATAATTAATCTTAATATTGTTATATCAAAAAAACCACAAGTGTACCTGGTTCAAATCAAAGACCTGGGCGGTCGTCAAAGTCGAAATATCTACCGAACAGGCCAAGCCACTCAGCATGAATGCGAACCGGACCGACAGAGAGGGTTCGCACCTGTATCCTCGGTGACTTGTTCCGGTCCCTTCACAGGTTCATCTTCAATTTCCGGAAGGGCAGCAGGCCGTAATCGCGCTGTAAAGGTCCAAGTATCAAAATGCTGCTATGTTATGTGGCTCGACCTGTCAGTAACAACGTACGCGCTGTAGGCGGACTGGGTGGCGGTGTTGTCATATGCACGTCTTTCTCGCAATACGCCTGGCAGAATTTCGTTTCCTCGCGTCTGTGGTGGTGGTGGGTGGCAAATAGATAACTCTCCTCGGCCTATCGGTCCGAATCTCTACTCTGTTCCTTTCGGCAACTCGGACCGTCTCTCCCTCGTAATTTGTACGCAGTCGATTCTCGAAAGATGACATATCCAATAGCATTAGGCCATTGTGCACCTCACGTCTTCGTGGGTATAGAGGTTGAAATATGTTATGATTGCGAGCATTCCTATGCGGTATCGGGAGGAAGAGTATCTAAAAATTCAACCGCCTTCTCCAAGTACTCACAGCAAACCTTTTCGCCCAATGTCTGCAGTCCATCGAAAAATCCATTCTCCTCACCATTCTCCACAAAGCCCTCATCCCAATCCGCAATAGACCATTTCGGTAAAGTACATTGCCATCGTGACTTTGTCAGCTAATAGCAGTTCAAAGTCATCCCTGTCGTGAAAATTGAGGTACTTCTGTGAATGCAGGCCGTCTGGGTCTCTGAATGCGGCAATCCAAAGCTCTAGGTCATCAAAGATGGTGTGAAAACAGGCTCCTTACTGTATGCCCATATGAACAGGAGACGGCGAGACATAAGCTGTCGTGTTCCCTGACAGCGAGAGTATTAAACAATGTCAACGTAGGTGAGTATGCATTTACATTAAAAAACGTCGTCGCGCGCTGCGAGCGTATCCGCGACTCCGCCACTTTATGGCTGTGTCTGAGTCGATGAGAAACCCTGAACAAGAATCGAGTACGCTATTCATAAATGTGAAGCGCCTAGTGATAGGTGGTGAGTAGGAGTTCAGTAGCAACAGAGAGAACTGTTACTCTGTTCGGAGGTGGGGATGGTTAATATTTCGCAACCTTTCGCGGTTTTGAGGTTCTCTCCGACGAAGGACGTCTCCAGTGGATATATCCCAGTGAAGATATCCAGCTAAGAAATAGATGAAAGCAGCCTAGGTTCGCCTCAGTGACGAGCAAGAAGAGATCGATGAAGAGTACCTACCAATAATCCCGTCTATTAAACATTTGGTCCAACCTTATATTGTCAAGGTCTTGTTCAATTAGACTTTGGCCCATTGTCAAGGAAGATGGAAATTATTTCGACTCGATCCTCAACCTGGATCTTACGCTGACCAGAAGATACCGAAGAGATGTCCGGACATGAAATGCACGTTAGATCGTGAAAGATATCCAGACCATGCTTGAGCTCCATAATTGGGAGAACGTCCGGTATTCCATGCTGGCCCGCCGTGCAGCGAAAAATCCCCTTTTGAGCGTCGCTGTCCTCTTGGAGACGGTACCCATCTTGACGATGGCTTCCTTGAAATTCATGAAGGGCCCTGCTAGCTGGACAAAGGATTTTCACTCGGCGGGAAATCCATCCAAACTGAGGGATAAGCGTTCAGCCTTTGCTAAAATGTTATCAAGCCATCGTCGCCTCTCATCCAAGGGGGCGCCATGATCGTTCCCTAGCACCTTCCGGAGTGATGTTGACGGAAGCCCTTCCTTTTGGATAGACTGGCATGCTGTGTCTAATTGATGGATGACGGTGACGGTCGACCTGAGACTGCAAAATCCAGTCCACACGTAGAATATACAAACGACCTTCCACCAAGCAGCAGACTCTCTGGCATCAAAAGGAAGAATATACTTCTAAGGATGGTCAATGAAGAGCGGGTGGACTCCGTGTTCGTACGGCGTTAGGTCGCAAAAAGCAAACAAGGCAACTACAAGCTGGCCAAACTCAGATGGAACAAGCAGACGAAGCGCTGGTGTGACGAACATTCCTTACATAGTGAAGAAGCAGAATCGAAGTTGGCGCTTCTCACTATGATAACATACAACCATGCTGTACCATTGACGAGAGTGAAGCAGCTGACTCGCATATGTTGCCGCTTGTTCGAACAAGACTGACCAACCATCCTGGACACAGAGCAAGCTGTTTTTGTCTTCGGCTTCGTCGCAAACTTTGAAGGGATGCGTCGATGGAGATGTAGCAAAACAGCAACCTTCGGTAGGGCACGTCAATGAGAAGCAGCTAATAGAAAGCATGGCCCTCAGCCGTCACCGCTACTACCGGCAAGAAAAGCCATACCAAACCCGGAACCATGATACCACCAAGTCACGCTACGACTAGAAAATAGCAAATGAAAGGGCCGATATAAATTACAGCAAAGGTCGTGGTCGTATACTAGCACACTAGCGCAATAGATAAACACATCACGACGAACGAATGAGCAAATAGTATCATACCAGAGTACAGTCAGAAAAGGAAACGATAAGCAGGAAAGGGCATTAGCGGATAGGTCTATAGGACTAGTCCTCATCTTCCTCGTCTTCTCCACTACCAGCCGCGCTCTTCTTCCCACCCTGAAAATGTATCAGTACATAGACATTGATCAGTTACAGAGTCAACACACATCATAAGCGGCCTTTTCATCCTCAGCCCGTGCCTTGTCTTTCGCAGCGAGATCAACATAAGGCTGTGATAGAATGTTAGCATCAAAACGTGGACGGGAAGAAGACAGCATGCCTTCTTCTCCTCATCATCCAGCTCCTTCCATTTGGCACCAAGGAGCTTCCCTACTTCACCTGAGGACACAGATCAGGCGAATATCGCAGCGAAGATCATGGGATCACTTACCGAATCCCGCATCGGGATTTTCGTTCTTGATTCTCTCACGCCAGTCTTGACTGAAGAACATATATGCAGAAAGAGCACGTTTGGGAGCCTTGGGGTCTTTCTTGGCCTTGCGAGGAGCCTTTTCGGCCTTCTCCGCCGCTTTGCGCTGGTAAACATTGCATAAGCAACCTCCCAATAATGTGTGATGAGAGCGGCGAGGAGAACATGATGGCCAGCGAGGCGGTTACCGGCGCGACAACGGCCACAATGATGATGACAATGGTGAGACACAAACAAGACATCATCATCCCGCAGTTCGAGAACAGAAGCGATGACTCCCGAACGAAGAAAAGCCAACCCAAAGCAAAATGTGCGAAAAATCAAGATATCAACGAGGCATGTTCATTGCCTGAAGAGCGAGGAAGCCGAATATATATGCAATATATACCCGCAATACCGACGCATAAGAAGGCCAAGAACAGAAGAAAAAGAGTATAACGCAAAGCCGGAGAGAGGTGTGCTCACTTTGGGCTTGGTAGCTTCCTTGGGCATCTGGGGACGAAAAACGCGATGATCAGCAGAGATCAAGACGAAAAGAGGTATAGACAGCAAAAAGAAGAGGCAGTGAGGCAGCGATGGAGGGAAGGAAGACGAACGAGCCGCAGCCGAATCGAGACGCGACGCGTCTAGGGGCCAAACAAACAACGCGCTCACTGGCAGAGAGCGACGACGACGAGCTGGACGACGACGACGACGCCAGCGAGCAGAGATTATGGATGATAAGCAATGAAGAAATAAAGTTGCAACTTACTGTGCACGAAGGGAGAGGTAGGGGGGAAAGGAAGAATTTATCGGAAAGGTGTGCGCAGATGGCTGGTGGGCAAGAGCTGGCTGCGAGAACAGAGCGACCACCGAATTTTTTGCAGTTGCGCACAGACAGTCGGCTTTTGCCGAGCGGAGTTATAAATCAAATTAATTTGGGTATGTTTACGGTCAGCCACACGTCCTACAAGGCCGCAGACACTCTGAAATATTCATTATTGCACAGGGAAAAAATCGCAGCCAATTTTGGATGCTATCCACTGAGAGGACAACCTTGCAGGAGTAAGCTGCCAGGCTCGGCAACCGGCCCGACTACCCTGACGTACAACCAACAAAATCACGTGGATTAAGCGCCGGTCACAAGCGTGTCACAACATTCCCACCATCGAATGCCTCCATGCCCGGTCCGTCCAACCACAGAAGGCAGAAGGCTGCAAAAAAGAAGGCTAAAAAGCCGCTGCCTTTCCCTCCGCCCAACCTCGTGTCTCCCGCTGCCCCCGACCCCCCCGACCACGATGTCGTCCCCAAACTACCATTTATCTACGACCCGGGAAACGGACCTCGCGTACGCGACACTCGCTCCTTCCTTTCGTCCTTTTTCGCACAGGCCCCAGCTATGGACGTTCCGATGTGCGCAGAGTTTGCACAGGAGGAGATACAACAGATGCTCTCTACCGTGTTGCCGGAAGAGACTGCTTTGGTGTGTGCTACTCCGATGAAAGTATAGGCCTCGCTCACCGCTACTTAGATTCTGTGGTACAACAAGAGCCGGGCAACGAGCAGGATATGCCCCGCGTGTCAGCGGCTGTATCATCTTGGCGACGCGTTACCCAATCTTATGGGCGACGATCCGGACGACTCGCAGAAGGGGCGTCTTCCCCAGCTCCAGAGGGAACAGGAACTTAGTGGATTATGTGCGTGCCTTCTATATTCCATCTTATATCTCTGCTGATTCCTGCTTCAGGCTCTCCTGTTTGCTTCATTCTTGCTTCGTGCAACTTTCCTGAAGCTATAAAATCCGCATGGGGTCACACCGAGGACGAGATGGACGACACGGCGTGGTCTATGCTCAATGCCCCTCTTCAGAGCGACCAACACGGCGAGCTTAGCACAGGGCTCAGCATGCTCGTTCGCATGACGCGTCTCTACGATCTGGGTCTCGCCCAGCTATGTTTTCCTGACATGGATCTGGATTCATGAATCGCGACGATCTTGTATGTATGTACGCGTTCTTGACACTTGTACTTGATTCTGCCTATTTATTTAATCAAATATTCAGACTTTTTTCGTGTTCTAAGTTCTGGATGTATCATTATTTGAATAAATCGCGGACACTCGCTACCGATATGCATTCTGCGTAGATTGAGTCAACTCTGGACGTAATAACTACGGGATTAAATACATACACTGCTCGTGTATCTCCTTCATCCACGTCCATCTGATCGTCTATATGAGATGGTGGTGTCCAGCTCACAGCAATTTTCGTGGCGTCATAGAATTGATTTTCCTTCCTTATTCAAATCGAAAAACATAGCTCTGGGGAAGAATTCCGAATTCATCTTGATTTGCGCCCATCTTGCAGGGCCAGCGGCGCTTTCCGAGTCGGTACTGCTTTGCTTCACCGGGTTTGAAATATGGTAAAGCTTTGCCAAGGTATACAAACACTTCTCGGCAGTCTACGCTGTATGAAAATATGAGCGGCCCTAATGTTCTCAACGTACCTCAGCAATGCACATACCTGATGGCTGGGCCATGCACTATATCATACCGGGCGGAAAACGTATACCCCGTTATTCCTTTGTCCAGCCCCAGGCAATGCAATATAGTAAAGGCTAACAACTCCCGATCGCAAAGGTTTCCGAAGGCGTGCACACATCGATCCTAATTCGATCTAGACTAACGACACGCGCGGCAACAGCACCGGTACAATGTCGCACTCAAGACCCTCAAATCCCGGCCACCCGTTCAAAAGCACCGACGCATGTTGTGTCTCGTGGTTTCTAATGGTCTAGAAACCAGTGGTAAAACCTCTACTATTGGGAAAAATAGGTCGCAGTCGGTAATGTAAATATGATATTTACCGCTGAATATGCAAATTCGTTTTTTTTTTCCTTTTGCAAAACCGACCGTCTCGACGCCGTGCCTCGTTCCTCTTTTCAAGGAGTACGCCGAACCCTCTGTCGCGTGACTATAGGACGAGGCTGTATTTTCCTGCATAAATAGCTCGAAGCGGGCTCCTTGAAGCGATGCGACGTACGAGAGATGCCCTTCAATGTTTTCAAACGTGGACCCCATCCCCAACCTCCCCCGCCGCGAAAAACCACTTTAGACGTGGCGGATATTCTGCAAGGTGTGTTTCGATATGACACGTATATCCTGACGACGCTGAAACGTTTCTAGGTTTTGATTTTATCTCCCGTTGGTTACACGAATACCGACCGGGGAAAGAATTCAGAATCGTTGTATCTGGAGGTACGTGCTCGGTCCTTCTGTTAAGGAACAGGACGAGTACGCGGGACATTGACATATATTGCGACGACGCCATTCAGCTGCAAGACGTCCTTGCAGCCGGGAGAGCCTGTCCAAACAGCGTACACTGGCCCGTTAACTGGATTAATGCCGAGATGGTGGCATACGTGCTAAACAACGAAGGCTGCGAGCATTTATTCCAAAATTCCGTCGCCAAAGGCATCATGCTGTACTCATCGGGAAATTTTAAAGTTTACGCCGCAGATTGGAGGTTTCAATTGGTTGGGAAGATTCGAAGGGCGTATGATGCGTACTTGGACCATGAACCTAGTCCGAAGGATTTGTACGACGCGGTTGACATACTGCATATTCTGAATGTGAAGGATGGAAGGAATCAGAGGAGTTCGGACATGAAGAAATGGTATTATTATGGGTATCGGATGGGGTCCAAGGAAGTTGAGTACATCAATGAGGCGTACTGGCACAAGTTTGGGCGAATTGGGATCTTAGATCGCGTTGGGGAAGACGAAGAAGGCAAAAGATAATCGTCAGTAATCTATAATACTCAAGTTTAGTAATTTACGCTCTCGTATAATAGTAATAGGTACTTACTAGTTGGACACACCCATGACTATGAACTCTAAAACGCAATTCATATGTTTCGTAACTGGTTAGTATTTGCCCGAATGTTGCGCAGCAAGAATGGGTTTGTGCCTGTTACAATGATAGGTTCGAGCTCTGGCCCGCTATCGCCAAATGGAATGGGAGGATATAATTGTAGAACCTGCGGGAGGCGGCCCGCATTGGCAGTCCAGGAAGGACACTCCTCCCATGGTGGATTGGCATCGTCCTTGTACTTGCTCACGAGAAAAGGATCATCACGGGTAATCCCCCTGCGGATTCCAAGGGAAATTTTATAATTGAAGGCCTGCACGAGTGCTTCAGCCATGGCCGCCAGGATGGCGTATCGGGTGGCGTCAGGATCCTTTGGATCTGGAATGTCGACGAGGCGCCAGGTTGGCTGGTTGTGGAACCAATATTGGGATTCCATCATCATCTCGTCCTCGTCGAAATCGACAGTGCATTCATAGAGGCGATAAAGCGTACATAGTGGAGTATCACGGAGGCAGAACAGGCTGGTCCATTTGAGACCGATCATCTCCATATCCTGCCTGTGCTTCGCTATGATTCCCGGGCTCGCCTGCAGCTCAGGTACGGAGAGTAATGAAGGACGAAATTTCCAAGGGTATGGCCAGAATAGAAGCACAGAAATTTGTAGACGGGATTTACTCCTACCAAGTGGTCAGTAAAAAGGACGAACAGTGAGTGATATGTCGCGGGCCCACATCAACAAGACCTGTAGAAGTCGAGTATTCCTAATCACCCAATCTCTTGGACGAAACAGGCACCACAGTTGTATTTTGTGTAGAAAGGTCGATTCCATTGAATCGGTTAGCAGTTCCCCTGGCTTCAAAACGATAGTAGTGATGAAACTAGCGTTGGGCCGCCGGCAGGCGAATTGACGGTCCAAATATTTGGCGGTTGCCGTCTCAGGTTTTTTGAGTTTTTACAGAAATTCTAGCCCTATTCCGACCTGCACACCTCGTCTAGTCCCGTCGCTCCGACTCGCTACCAGTGGTACACCAACATTGACCTCCACGCGAATGGGGTCAAATTTATATATCAGACCGACGCCCGCCGACACCGACGGTCGCGTAACAGTATCCCTAATGTTCTCGAGCACCGAACGAGCTAAAAAGACTGATATGAATAGCATTCAACGGATAAATTAAGCGAATCTGACATCGATCCATGGCATCTAGACGCCCGGCATTCAACCAGACATGAGTTTTGACCGGCCAGTGGGCCTTCTTCGGGATATTCGATATCATGCTGAGGCCTGCGGACCAGTAAATATCACCACCTAAGGAATCGGCTGTCATGATTTTTTTTAACATCACAAGGAGTATCCATGTAGTGACGGAAGCACTCACGTCCATCTCTTGGACCTAAGCCATTTGACTGGAATGAACGCACAGACAGAGGTCCGCCAAGCTGAAATCTATCCGAGAACAACGTCGGTCTTGAGAGGGCCCAGACGATACCCGAGCGCAGGGCAACCGATCCTGACTAACAGGGAAGAAGTGCTAATTCAGCAGAGTTCAGGGGAAGACGTGTTACTCACGACGCCTGGTAACAGTGGCCGTGAAAGTTGGCTCTCGACCTCTGCCTTATAGAAGGATGCGTCGCCGCCTAATCCAGCGAGTTCCTGGTATATTTTACCATACATTCCGCGTGTCGACATAACCCGATCGTCTCTCGTATCGATTGTATACTTATATGACACTGCTGATTTGGACGTCGTACCAGCAGCTTCTCGAATGCTGTTCAACGGTGAGGAAATCAATGCCAGGAATCAGGGTAACACGAACCTCATCGAAGCAGAAGGTGTCAGTCCGCCGATATTTCTAAAAACTGCCCCGTAGGCAAGTTCGTGCATCCCAGAAATTGGCTTCCCTCCCTGGATAGGTGGCGATAAAAACGATAGCTCAGATGAGAAGCACCAAGCTGACCTAGCTCACCCTGACAACAGCTTTCGCGCCGCGTAAGACTTCCCAGCAGCTCGCAAAACTTGTTTGGTCTCTATGTAGCCCAAACACCGTGAAATCGGCGCGACAATTGAGGTCAGAGGTCGTGGGCACGGATAATGTTCCTTGGAAAGATTTGCGCGTAGTTGTTCCAGCAGAAATGTTTGCCTCAAAGGACTCTGCACCACCGAATACGTTGAGTATACGTGCGGTTATGCTCTGAAAATAACGTCAGATATCCATACACAAAAATGTCGGGTCCACATACCGCGCTCCCCTCGTTATTCCCAAACTCCGTAGCCGATTTGACGAACCATCTCCCTCTTTCGCGAGTTTTGAATACAAGATTGACATCTCTGGGGCCCGCAAGCTCGTCTCTTGCATGCTCTATGCGAGTCTCTACAGAGCTAAATGTTTCCGTCCGGAGAAGGACGTCGGCAATGGATCGTGCGGCGTACAGAACTGATTGCAGATCGTTATGAGGCTCAGAGAGCAGAACAGGGTCAATCAGAAAACCAAGAAATGATCCTCGAGTGTTCTTGGCACCTTCAACCCGTACTGAGTGGATATTCAATGGGGTCGAGAGGTTATTGTGTATCTAGGAGATTTCTGTTGACTTTATTTAGCCACCAAAGAGAGGGATTCTACACACCAGCTCCGAGAGATAGAGAGCAGCAGATTCATATTCTCCTCGTAACCGTCGGGCGATACGTTCCTCCTGCCATTTCTGCAACTTTTTCGCGTCATCTGGGTCGTTATCTGTGTCGGCCGTTGGACCTGGTGTCATCCTATGATATGGGTATGTCAGTTCGCAACAGATAAACAGACGCGTCTGGCAATATCCAAGTGAGAAAGGGACTCAGACCGCCTCGGCAGAAAACGTAAAGGGCCGCGATCACGTGGCCCGGGACAACGGCGTGAAGTTCAATTTGGGTACACTCTTGCACTCGGACCCCCATCTCCCTGCGATACACAAAAAAGCGATATCTCCCAATGTCTTCCTTGTAGTCGAAAGGGATCCATCTGCAGATCGTACAACCGGTTAGGTGCTGGCTGCCCAACCAAATCTTACCACCAGAGCTCTCCGATTTCGTCATCGACTTCATGTGGACGGGGCCTCGCTTATTTCTTGTAGCCTCGTGTGCAAATCTTGGCTCCTCGCAAGCTGCTTCCATCTTTGAAACACTCTCAAACTCGCTCCGTGCAACATCGACGGCTTCTTCATTCTTTCTGGTCTCACAATTCTCCAGTCCCTTCACTTTCGTCAAGTTGGCTGGGAAGCTTGCGGCTGTACCAAGCTTTCCACCGCCTTTATGCTACTATCACGAATCCGATCGCCGTTCATGGAATCGCTGTCGTTCTCGCTTGGCGTCGGCGTCCTAGATAGCCTCAGTGACGATCAGTGGGAATCCCTCGCCTAGGCTTTAGCATCTTCATATCTCTCGCGCTTGCAAGTGATAAAATTCTCTGTCTACTATCACAAGCTAGCCCACTCGGAGAAACTCTACCGTAGTAGGCTCGCCGACTGTGATTCCAAGGGAATCCTTCACTTCGAGTTTCTTCCTGCTCTAGACTCATTCTCTGAGTGAAGAAGGCTCTCTTTCAGAGCGTCATCTCATTCCTGCATTCTCCGGAGAGACCGCGTAGGTAGAAACTTCTCTCTCCACCCCAAAATCAAGACTATTTATGGTATGATACGTGCCTAACTAGATTTGTAAAATCATCTATCTTTCCTGTACAAAGCGTACCTAAAATCATTCCTACTTTTCGGTGAGGACTAGTATTTTCATGGCGACATTGGAACCGGGTTACTGAGATGTTGGAGCCGTATTCAAGCAGCTCAGGCACTTAAAGGTACTCAGTATATATCTACTTTTGAACCTTGACCATAGATTACGCCATTCCTACGACGTATGACATTTATTTGCTCGCTCTCACAGGGTGCCACGACTACTGCTCTCTTGACAGGATCAGGATGTCTCCAGGGGGTTGTTGTTTGGGTCTAATAACCGAGATGACTGACGAGCGCGTATCCCTTTACCTTCATATTGCGCACTACCTCGTTTACCACATGATCATGGGAAACCAGCCTTTCCACCAGCGCGCCCCCTCGTCGCTATCGCCCTCGACTGTATCTCAATCAGAACTGTTCCAGACCGGGCTGACCGTCCCCCAGTCAAAGAGGCACTGGATGGTAACCCCAAGACCTCGCCAAACATAACTTCCACATCCCGAGTGCACTTCCTAATCGACGATTGCCGAAGTTCTGGTCTCATTCTCGACAATGGAATCCCGACGACGTAGCTACGGGCAGTCGATAACTCGGTGATTTGAATGAGAGGGTGGAGTGGGGGCAAGGGCATCACGTCCCTTGCTCGAGGAGAGAAATCGTGGTAGACCTTGTCCAGCGCTGTTGCGTATTTTGGATATTCACCCCCCCGATTTGACGAGCTTGAGGATCAACGAAAGGTTGTTTTGAAGAAGTTCCCTGGTAAACCTCCCTCAAAATACTACAAGATATCTGGTCGAAGACTAGACGGTCTGCTGAAGCTGATGGAGGCGTATTGTTGGGGAAAGCCGGAGTGAAAAGGCCCGAATCCGTTGTTTGGCATTTGGGTTTGGGTACTTGTGGAACCAAGGAGATAAGGTCGGATGAAGGAGCTCAGGAACCATGGGTTGCTATGTTAGAGTTACCCCAGCAAACTGAATACATACTAGACCTGACGATAGAGCGGTAGCAACCGTAAGCACACCATTGATATTCTTTTGACTCTGGGCCAATTTCTAATGCGGATATGCAAGGGACATCTGACTACATTGCAGCGTGGATGCAATAATCCTCTGCCATAAAAGAATAAGCGTAGTCTTTGATTCTCCCCCTCGCCAGATGTTGACAGTTGAGACACATCGGACGTAATGATCCAGAAACACGAAGGACCTCGACGATATCGGAGAAGCGATTGAGATGCGGAATGACTTGAACCGGGACGATATTCGTTCCTGGAATCATGCAGGTCATCGATTTGACGCTTAACGCGAGGGTGGCAAGCGGCGACGCGCTATGGATTGTTTCGAAGAGTCTAGATGTCCTCAAATTGTCAGTTAACAGTAATATCATTATCAACAGAAATATACGCACGAAGCAAAGGATACGCTTTCACCGCAGTGCCCCCACGGTGTACCAAAAAGTTCGGCGGATGGATCCACTATTTTGCACGTCCCTTCCAGCGCGTGTTTCTGCTGCACAGGAGTAGGATTTGTCAACGGATCGTGCCAGACGGCCTCGAGTGACTTGACGCGTTCCTCCCGGACGTCCTCGCGCCCATCACCCCTGCCTGCTGCTACGCTTGACGCGAGACTGAATCTACGACATTTCATGGACCAGAGAAGCTGGACGACCGTTGGCGGGTTCACCTCAAGGAGCAATGCAGAGATACGGCACCATTCAGAGTATTGGCTGAGTAGTTGGGTAAGGGATTTCAGGTTGTAGGACGACTGGCACGGATGGAGATGGGCGAGGACGTATCCTGGCAAATTTGAGTTGGGGTAGAGAGAAGGGCAATGCTGGACACACCAAGGCCAGAAAAAAAGTCGGGAATAGCGAAATTGGAGTAATCGTGATATTGAACCTGTACGGTGGATAGACTACTATGGGTGCCACGGACGTAGTGGGATTTATTCGCCCTAGAATAATGGTGAAACTCGACGCGCTGGAAAACTATGAAAAATTCTTACAGACACGGTTCTAAAAGGCCATCATATATCTTTTCTAGATGAGCTCTATGTGTATTTCTAGGGTTGTAGCATAATTCCCTGAAGAATGCAGAAATCTGTTAAAACGCTTTTAGCCAAATCCAACTGGAGAGAAAGATTTTTGCCCTACTGAAGCTCTCGAAACTTTAGCCAAAGACCTAGGCATCCCCAATTCTTGTCGTTCGGGCCTTCATTTCATTGTCGACAAAGCGTTGGAGGAAGTGAAAAAAATGGGCCAGTATTTGGCTAACATCTCACAATATTTGGCAATTCTGTCTCGGTCCGGAAGCTCCGCAAAGGTGTTTGATCCAATGATTGCATCATCCCTATCTTGACGCAGCAAGCTAACCCTGCTTCAGAGTCAGGGCTGTGCTCCGATGAACCTGGATGCACTTCCTACATTAGCTTTGGTGCAAGTCCATGGGATTCGCCCAACAGATATCCCTCACTTTCAACCGTCACACCCGCCACTTCGAATTCCACTTTGATTAAAAATGTCGGATGCGGATGCTTCCGCTGCGATCGCCGCGTTCCAGGCCTTTGTCAACAACCTTTACGAGAACAAAAAGAGCAGTTATTCGTATGGTGCGTGTCGTGGCGCACCCTTTCTTTTTTTTTCTCTGATAATGACTACGTAGTTTCGGCGTTGTCTTTCTTGACATGGGACATTATTCTTTCACTCGGGGATGAAGTACGCCGTCGGTATTCTTATCATTGTAGTCTCTCTGAATAGCCGTGCCCTAGGTTAACTACATCTGGATGTGAGTCTAATGATTGATACGCCTATTGGCATGGCTTCTGACTCCTCAAAGTTCTCAATGGTCGATACCCAAGTTGATCTATTTCCTCGCCCGTTACTATCCTTTTCTCTATCTCATGTCAGTAATCCTGTTCAATCTTCCCATCTTGGATGAACAAATGACCATGCTTCCAGTGGGGCAAACATCAGTACGGGTCTTTTGCAGAGTTCTTGCTATCACCGCATATCTCACATGAGTACCCCATAGTGTCCCTTGCTACTGACATTCCCAAAAGAGTGAGTTTGATTAGCTACCCTGAATGACTTGGCTGACAAAGATACCGTTCCGTGCAGTTGTATGTTATGGCGTCTACCTTTAAGGTTTACCTCTTAACGCCATCGTCCTAGCTGTCAAGCCTACTGGTATTGGTCTTTAATGTGAGTGGGTCGTGCCTTTGTGCTAACTCTGTAAACTAAACCCATACTAGCGGCGGTCCCTCTTTCGTGATCATAATATTGGACATCATCCTGCTTCTTCGGGTCTTCTCGTTATACAACCGGAATAGATGGTGTACGTGAACATGTCGGTCTTTGCGTGTTGAAACACTTACATGCATGTACTAGTACTGACTTTCATGGTTCTCTTCGTTATCGGTACGGCACCTGGTTCAAATTACTGAAAGCGAACTTAATTTCCGATAGGTGACGCAACGGTGGGTTTTCATCAACGGAGAACTAGTCATGCGCTACACATCTACTCGTAGGGTGCTCTTTATGCATGTTCTAGGCTGGCCATCGATCTTGCTGCCGGGGTGTATTCCGTACCATCCCCTTGGCAAGGCTGCACAGCGCCGGTTCCGCAATTTCAATTCGTTCTATCCGCATAGTACGTTTTGTTTTACTTTCTACTTACAGACGTTTCTTAACACCCTCGGATAAAAGCGTTCCCAACTTGACTCTGGCCCGTTCGTGTTGATATGACTGTATTTACGAGGCGCCTGGCCTGACCCATTTCACAGTCGTTTTCCTGGGACTGACGTTATGGAAACTATTCCAGACTCATAGGTCTTTGAACGGCAGCATTACGTTGAAGAAAATACACGAGCTCAAGTCTATTTCTCCACTGTTGATGGCCTTTGTTACAGATGGTAGCGTTTTCTTTGCATTGTGAGTCATTTTCCTTTCCCCATTGGAAGCGTCTCCGTGTCCTGAATCTTTTCTCCGTGATCGACAGGATTGCCGGTATGTTTTAATTCTGTGTTGCCCGATCAAAGAAAAAAATCTCATCGCCAATAGCGGCGCTTGTTATTGGTATGATTCCTTCCTTCGCTGTAAGCGGCCCTATACAATCGGCATTTCTACCGTAAGTCTTAATTTTACAAACGACCATGCATACACTAACCGGATTCGCAGCTGGACCATGGCATTTTATTCTTATTCTGTACGCACCGATTCTGACCGGTTCGTTTTCCTTATTGACCTACTAGTGACTTGGCAGGGAGCACACCTCATCCTCAATCTCCGGTCGCGTGTCCTCGGGGAGAGCGCCACTCCGACGTGGAATGATACGCTTGAATTCGTACACCCAGGTACTCTGAGAACACAAACAACTGATCTCCTATCAGAAGAGTGCCCTGCCTAAAGAATTGGTCGCTCGTGTATTAGCTTTCATGATTAACGGTCTATCTAAGCTATCTCTGAACAAGTAGCTTTCAGTGATACAATGGAATATTAGGTCCAATGTATTCGACAAGCGGTCTGTTACTTCAAACTGAGGCCAGCCATTCTTAAGCACATCGGTTAGTCGTCAGAAAGGAGCCACGCACCATAATCATCGACTACCTCTGTTACGGACAAGAGACCTCGAGAAGCGCATCGAGGGAGCTTATAACTAAGGAGCCGTTTTTCACCCTTCAAGTCTGCAGTTTCTGACTCTATTCCCTTCAAAGCGAATTGCACCACGACTAGATTTGGCAGATTTGACAAAACGTTATCTAGCTCTTCCCAGTGGAAGACACCAATGAGAGGTGTCGAATCGTACAATCCAAAAGACAATTGTATCTTCAGCTCCTGTAACTGCGTTATATTGTACACAGACCGCTGCAAATGATGCTGCCACGGATAAAGCACATCTGAGGGGTACTGTCGGTAATGCAATACGCGCAAATTAGCCCAATGTGAGAGATCCAAGACTTGTTGTGCAGCTTCATCCCGATAGATCAATCAATAACGAGGCCTCCATATTTCAAAATTCAGGAAACTCACGAGTGATCAACCTCTCCATTTGTGGTGGTGCCACTACAAAATGGCGGACATCGCGAAGGTTGCGAATGAACCCCGCTCCATCGGTTGGAAGACCGCTAGAGAGCAACAGGGGGGAGTGAAAGGTCATGTCAATTTCGAGATAGTCAAGTGGAGGATGCTGCATTGACAACCACATGAAAAGATAGCCGAAATTCGCCACGCGATTTTCAATGAGAATAGCTCTAAGAACCAAACGACGAAGGCGCGTTCCCAGCTTATAGCAGGCTACCCTCTCAAGGGGCTCATCCGTCGTCAATCCACCAGCACATATGCGAAGCTGTTCTAGCATGGGGAACGCCGCCACAAACTGGATGAGACAGACGGGGTCCCCCCAGAGCATATCAGTCAAATCCAATTCGGTGATGCTCGCGAATATAGACATCACAGAAGGAACGACGATATCGCGCATCTGATCCCAATTGATGCCGCTTAGGTGGAGGGAAGTGACTGCGGAGAAGAGGGGGAGTCGCGAGACAATGCCCTCGCACAAATCCCAATAGAACAACGTTGTTCTATCTGGGACCCAGGGACTTTTGGCGCAGTTTCCATACAGCTCGAGGCGGCGGGTGTACCCCCCGAACCTGCAATCCTGCATTGTCATGCCAGTCGTCGATCTCAAGAATTTCTGCTGGCTATGTTGAGATCGAAACACTATTCTGTTGAACAGGTGATATCGACTCGTGGGGAGCCATGGCCTGCAAACAAGACTGCAGACCGCAAGCGACGGATGGTCCGAATGCAGAAAATCAATAATCGTATCCCATGTTTCGTTGGGCAGTTTGGAATGGACAATCTTGGGCATTAGTGTGATAGACCTGTTAGGATTGGGGTATTACATGTCGTAGCTTACAAAATAAGACAATACCTTGAAATGTTCCTGGGATTTGTGCATAGATAAGTAGGCATCGTTGGCGTTCGTGATAAACACCTGGGTGCCCGAGCCCGAGGTGATACCACTCATTGATTATAATGTCAGCTCAAAATCTTTGTTGTGCATTGAATAAGCAGTCTTGACATTGGCTTCTGGCCTCATGAAATAACTTGTGTGACTTGTTTACACTTCACGCTAGTCACATTCACAACAAAATGAGAAATACGGTCAAGTTAGACTCGGAACGAGGAGAAGGCATTTATCCGAATATTACTGTCGCAACCGGGGCCAGGGAAACCCCAGTAACGGACATACTTCCGTCGGTCATAGTCGGATACACGCGCTCTGAGGACGCGGCCGAAGCAACTTAACCAAAAAATACCCTCTGAAGCACCATCGATCAGCCTCATCCACAGGTCAGTCGAGTTGTCATAGACGACAGACAACTTAGTGTGTAAATCTGCGTTCAGAGCGAAATGTTAGAACAAAATTTCCACGGTCAGCCTTACAGCTATGGTTTGGATTCGAATGAAACAGCCATCCCTTCAGCGTCAAGGAACAAGCGGAGGCAGTAACTGCTGCGGGACTATCTGGCACTTCGCATCTTCGCAAAACAAAACACTTTTTTAAGTGTCACGATGTGAAGGGTCTTCGGGTCTTCGGGTCTTCGGCATTTGATTCTCTGTCGGCACTAGTTTCCTGACATCTGCATGAGAACGGCGTAGCACTGACGATGGCGATCAACTTACATTTTTCATTTTATATCGCGTCTTATGCGGGGCCCAGTGTGTCTTCATTGTCTGTCTTCCAGGCCCTCGTCGTTCTGAGTGAGTGATCTTGGCTAGTTCCAAGTGTCTTCTTAGATCCAACCGCCAGAAATTGTTTAACTCCATGGCTTCGCCTTTATGTAAGTTCCCACCTGGAAGTAAACCTCCCAGATTGTGTAGGAAGGAAGGAGTTTTTATTCTGACCGCTGTCCCTGAGACGGCAAACACGTCAGATGTTGCTTTCGAACACCCAATCCACGAAAAGCCATCGGTATGTAAGCAGCATTACACGGCAGTGTCCATACAATGGACGCCATAGAATGTGTCGAGGTTTCGAACGGTAGTCGCACACCCTGGGTATGTTCTGGGCCCACACTTAAGGACGAGCATTGGGAAGGTCTTATGAAACTGAGGCCATCTGGCGGAAGGAACAGAATGCGGTTGAACTTTGGTAGTTGCACACTGAAGACCCTCTACTCCCATAAAAACCTCTCCCAGCAAAGCTGAGAAGCGCTCGGATAGAAACGACTACATTTTCGGTTGTGAGACCACCAGCGAGGCGATATGAGACAAGAGTGGGATCAGTGCGAGGATGTCAACAGAAGCGAGACTTGCAAGAGTATCGCGAGATATTTATCCTTCGATTACCTCAGGATCTTCACCGGCAATGTTATATGAATATTGGGAGAATATAGAAAAAGCTATTCCTGAGATTATTCGGCACGTCGCATGCATTCCTTTGACCAGTTTCGCGACGCTCCATGAAGACGATAACAAGTCGACATGGCTGACGAGTGTAGGGATCCGTTTTTCGCAGAATGTAGTTCACCAATATTGTCACAGTTGGCAGTAAAAGAAATGTATGCGTTCGGAGCGCCAGAAGATGGCGAAAGGCGATTCATGACGTAACAGTGGTGCCAAAATCGGCAATTTCATCATCCGTCTACCAGACTCACGCCACTACCACCATCATCACTTCCGCCATGTCTGACCAAGTCGGAGAAGTATGCTCCCTGCTCGCTGTCGCCAACGATGCTGAACAGGGTCTCTAGGCCGTTCCCGCCGCCCAGCGCAGCAGCTGGACATCGTTTCTCAGAACGTGCGTGCTGCATCAGCTGTTATACTGCAGGCGGGCTCAGTCGTTGCATACGTAGGATCGCCTCTTTTTCAGGAGACCTCTCATCGATGACTGCGCCGCCATTTATCCTGTCGCCCGTATCCCTTACGGAATTCCCTGGTGTGTAGTTCAATATTGTGATGGTGCATGTTATTCACGTATCCGGGCCTTAACACTATTATCAGCATACTGGTGTGAACGTCCAGAATTATTTGCCGCCATTTCAGATGCGGCGACGGATGAGGAGCGCGCACTTGCTGTACTTGAGTGGTTCATCGTACGTCTTTGCTTCCTTGATTCTTAAAGTTACTGGCAACCCTGACCATTAGTAAATCGTCTTACCACAGAGCACCCTCAAAGGTCAGTATACCTCACGAAATGAATCTATGGGCTCTGAGAAGAAGTGAATCGTCTCCCCCTTCTTCATTAAACGATCACTCACCCTCCAGCCATTAACCTCCTCATAGACCATTGAATCCGGTTCTTGGAGAGTCAGTCCACGCGTTTCCCACCTGGTATCCCCTCATACCAGCTTCTGACCCCTGTGACGATCCAGGTTGTTCTATGGTCAATGGCCTGATCGAAACGGACGTGGTCGGACGGATCTGTTGGTTGAGCAAGTTTCGCACCATCCACCCATAACCGCGTATGTTATCCAAAACAAGAGCAAGGGCGTCAAGTTGGTAGGACACAACGCCCAGAAGACCAGTTTCAGTGGTAGGCGTGTGTAAAATATATTTACGTCGTTGGCTGAATGTAAGAGTTCGTGCAGGAGGTTCCATCATCGTCAAGCAAATCGGACATGCGATCCTTACCGTAACGCCTCCATCTGGAAAACCCATTGAGTATCTCATCACGCTTCCTCGATTACGGATAGACGGCCTGTGGTACGGCTCACCCTATATCGAGCTTGCGGAGAACACCTACATCATCGGGGGCAACTACGTCGCGACGATCGATTACAAGGGCCGAGGTTACTTCACAGGTAAATCTCACTCATTTAAGGCCATCCTTACTCCAGTACCTGGGTGTGGTGGCGGGGGGAAAGATCACGTCATCGAAGGGCTGTGGCATACAATTAGCAAGTTTATTGGTGGTCCTCGATCTGGAAGGGAGTTCCACGATGTCACGGGCCCGAAGGAGGAGGTAACAGTTATTGGTGGTGAGGAAGGCGGTGAGATGGGGGAGTTTGAGAGCAGAAAGTTGTGGAATCTGGTAGCGAAAGGTATCAGAGAAGGCGATTTCGAGCTCGCGAGTAGGGAAAAGACAAAGATTGAGGTAAGTATCACGTTGATATGTTTTCAATCTGCTAATAAGGTTCTTTAGAATGATCAAAGGCAAAGGAGGAAGGACGAAATTGCTGCCAAGACCACTTGGAAGCTTAAACATTTTGAGCATATCGATAATGACCCTACCTGTACGTTCCTCTTCGATAAGTGATTGTATTGCTTCTGATTTGTTTTCCTGGTAGACGAACGACTAGGGAGGATTGCAAAGATCAGTCCTCCTACAGAAGATGCTTATGTCTTCCAGGACACTTGGCCTACATCTGGCTAGACATTTTGGAGGGTGTGTACATTCTACTATTAGCGTAAATATTGCTGGCATTTTAATTGGAGAGCTTTGTGTACTTTTTCCGGACAGTTGTTTACTCTTATAATAGAAGGACAAATTGTCATGCGTTGCGACCGAACCCATTTTTTGCTTGTCTAGAAAAGAATATACCCGAAGTTCAATACGATAATCTTTGAATCAAGTCACTCTATAACCCAAAAAAATTTAGGATATCCAAACTATCTACTGTTGGGTGGTAATCCACCACTTCCAGAGCCCTTCGATAATTCCAGGGTTGACACCAGCCTCTGATACCCCTGCCCTATTCTGTGGGTTGATATACATGGGCAAGCACATGGCGAACCATGATTGAACCCAAATATACCCTACGATGCGCCAGAGCAGATTACGACTGCCCACGAGGCCTAAGCGCCGACCCAAAGCCAGGACGGCGCTCTCCACTGTGATACAGAGCGCCTGGGACATGAAAAACTTGAGCGCCCCGCCGTGGTACCCCAGGACCATGTAGTCAGAGCTGTGATGAATCCATCCCGACACGAAAAAGGCGGTGTATAGTTTGATGTACCCTGCAAGGACGGAGTCTTTTGGGAGGGAAAGCTGGGAGACAAGGCGATGGCCTGGGGTGGTTATGTTCTGTGAAGGCGTAAGACTTGGTGAAAGGTCAAGAAATTGAACGCACCCTTCGAAGGAGTTGGTGCCAGGTCCGGCTAACACATAAATTTCAGCGGCAATTGCAGTATCAACTTGGAACAGATGCACCTCCAGAACCGGCGCACCGTATATGCTTCCGACCAGCTCCCATAGAACGGTCGCCATGTCTGCACATCCCACTTGTCTATAGCCACCATTGCTGCACTGAGCAACGCGTGATTTATCGTCAGCGCCGCAATCGCCGGCACTCCCCAACCCCACACGAAAGCACACTTGCCCAGGAACGTCGTTTCCTCAGAACCGCTGATATAGAAGGAAGGCCGGTACCGCGTGTACATTGCTGCAGCGTCCCAAAGAATCAACCACACTGCACTCTGCACTATCCGGTCGAGGACGAAGCGCCATCGGGATGTGGCAGCCGTGTACGGCGAGGCTGGGAGATTGGGCGCTTCGTGTGCCCATCCAATGCCTCTTTGACTGGTGAGGAGGCACAAGCTCCATTTAAGACGCGATTGCAAGTCTGGAAAGGCTGCCTGGGGGATGATCTGCCCAGTCTGGAACAGTTCCATTTGGGGTTCGGTGAGGAGGATGTAGTCGAGGGCGCTGGCAACGAGGGGGGGGACGGTCGCACCGATGGATAGGTCAGACAGGATATCGCCCGTAGTCGTGTGGTAAACAAGGTAGTAAGCAATAACAAAGATGGGAAGAAATAGCAAACGTCGGTAGGGCGTTGGTGGTATCGCCAAAGATATAACCAAGATCTGGGGAAGCAACGAATGCAGAGAGTAGGAAAATGGACGCCGCTCGTCCACCATCGCTGTTCCCGGCAAGGAAAATAAAGGAAATAAAGTGGATTTTACTCGGGATCATGATGGCTATTGAAAAGCATCAGGGTTGGGGCCAAACAAGGACAGATGTAAAAGAGATGCTCAACTTTGCCCACTTTCTACGAAATAAATTTTACAAGTTGGTACAGGAAGTTCGTTATCGCTCTTAAATTCACCAATACAACCAGCCTAATAGGTGCCAGCTACTACGACCACGTGATTAAATTACTTATTTTTTCTCAATCTCGAAGGTCATTTTCGGGATGGTTTACACACCGTGTGCTACTGAAATCCCGATTAATACTGTTTCATCTGTGAAAACGTCATTAATTTGGCTCTTTCAATTCAGCTTCCTTCGTTTCCACCTGGATTCTCAATAGAACGATGTCCAATTCCACTCGACGCGGGACTTACCTACACTAGTAGATATGCTTCTGAATATAAACGTCTTCTTCGGGCAACGTTATCTCCGACCATCAGACTGGAAACTTAAATGTCAAAAGTTTCCCATTAACCCTTACCTCCCGGACCTTGATTGTGCAGCTGCTTTATCTATGACCTAGTCCTCTCCGTTCCTCCATGTCTGTCGAAACCGAATTTAGGCCTTTGCTTAGTGAGTTATGTGTTTATGCTGCTAAGGATCTGGATGCGAACTGTGTGCTCCTGGCAGACCAAAGTGTTGGTTATGGCGTCGTAGTGGGTACGTCATTTGTATTCATGCATACAAGTTTTGCGCTTATACAGTGTGATAGGCGTTGGATTTTTCTTCGCAGCGGTCATGCTGCTTTTGACGTACCTACAAGCAAAGTTCACCGACATCTCACCCTCATCTTCGGAGGAATTCACGGTAGGCCCTAGACTGCTTCATATCCGTCTCTCTGGGATACCAGTGCTCATATTTACTGCAGAGCGCATCAAGAAGCGTAAAGGTTTGCACTGGATTAAATAAATCAAGTCAAGCCCAGCTGACATTTTTCCTCAGCCAGGCTTGGTGTGCTGTGGGATGTGAGTGTTACCTTTTATCATCATACACCTGGACTCAAGAAGAGCGTACAATCAGTGTCAGCGCATGGACCTGGAGTGCAACCTTGCTACAATCAAGTACAGCTGCATATACATTCGGTGTTTCGGGACCTTGGTGAATTAATCCCTGCCTTCCCCCATATCTTCTTAATCCAAAACGGTCGTAGGTGGTATGGTGTCGGAGGAACCATTCAATTGGCCATCTTCGGCATGGTAGCTGCCAAAGTAAAAATGAACGCAAACGGAGCTCATACTTTCCTCGAGGTATACAAATAGGATCTATTAGGCCCACCTGTTCTTATCATTATTCTGCTGCAAGATCGTTCGAGCTCGATTCGGGATGGGTCCCCATATCCTCTTCACGTTCTATGCTTTCACCTGCATCATGATGGTATGCGGTTCGCTACTACGTACGTCTGCACTGTCTATATTGAATACCCGTTTCAATTGTACCCTTTTCTTAGTTGGCGGGGCCGCGACAGTCACTGCATTGACAGGCATGAACACAGGTACTACTCCATCTCTTTGACCGTATACTACTTGACGATTGGTTATCTCAGTAGCTGCATGTTTCTTACTTCCAATCGGGATTGCGATATATGTCCTTGTTGGGTACGTTGTCCTGTCCCGACTCCTGTGGCACTTCAAGACCAACTTGACTCCCAGTGGCCTTCGTGCGACTTTTATATGCGATTGGAGCCATACAGTGATTCTATTTGTCGTCATCTACATCGTAAACATTTCTCTCGAGTCGAATTTCCCTCACCTAATAGTAACCTCTCCAGTTTCTCTTCCGGGCCTAGTATGTCAAAGTTACACAATTAGATGCACCCCTAACGTCACAGCATAGTGGTACTTCGTCGGACACAGGTGGTCTATCAGGTTTATACGACCTCCTGGTGGCAGCAGGAGAAGAAACGCCAGTCGAGGGGAATCAAAATGGCAGTTACCTGACCATGAAGAGCAACCAAGGATTAGTATTCGGCGCCGCGACCATTCTGTCTGGATTCTCTGGCGTGTTTTGTGATCAAGGTTATTGGCAGCGTGTATGTCCATCTACACCAGTAGCTGCTGTACACACTGACGCTCTGCAGGCAATCGCAAGCCACCCTTCCTCGACGACAAAGGCATATGTAGGCGTTCTTTTCTCTGCTGTCGTACTGTTTAAAAGAGCACGTTTCTATCAGATGCTGGGTGGCCTTTCCTGGTTTGCCATCCCTTTCGCTTTTGCCTCATGTCTAGGCTTAGCAGCAAGGGCACTATTGCACCATGTTGGTCTTTGGTTATAATATTCACCTTAAGCAGAAATTCAGGTTCCATGCTTTAGCCGGATTTCCCCACATACCCTAACCCGCTCTCCGAGTCTCAGACGAGTGCGGGGTTAGCTGCCCCTGCAGCAGCGGCAGTATTGATGGGAAAGGGTGGTGCCGTTGCCGTGTTGTTGGTGGTATTGTACGCCACGCCATGCTGTTGTCGTGCATATCTTGATCATGTCCTAGCATGGCCGTAACCTCTGCTGCGAGCGCAGAGCTCATTGCCGTTTCAAGCCTCTTGTACGTGAGCTCCTCCTGCTTGGTTTCTCGCCCTGATCAGATGTCTATCGTAGCTCTTACGAGTAGGTATATCGTTTTATTCAAATCTGAGTGTGGTAATCACCCTCTTCAACCAGCATCTACCGAACTTACTTCAAACCGAGTGCTAAAGGAGCTGAGATTGTTCGTGTCTCTCACTACTTTATCTGCTTCTGGGCCGTGTGGATGGGTTGCTGGGCCGTTATCGTTGAGTAACTCTCTCAGGATTACTTTTCCCAGCTGAGATATAACTCCGAGTAGCTGAATAAGGCTGGCGTAGATCTCGGTTGGGTGCGTGCATCATGTGCATCATGAAGATACTCAGCACTGAATCGTTCGCGGCTACAAAAGCTTTTCTACGTTCAGTACGTTACCCGTTCTTGATTCCTTCGTTCATTTGCCGACGGTGGTATCCAGAGGAGTCATCCTGAGTCCAGCCGTCATTCCGATCACCCTGACCGTAACTTGGCGAAAGCTGACATCGATTGCGATATGCCTTGGCGCGATACTGGGTGCAGTCCTGGGCCTGACAGCTTGGATCATTGGGTGCTGGAAAATTTACGGTGTGAGACTACGTACGGTGTTGAGCGAGGTCACTGAGGATCTTTAGGTATCATCAACATCACGAATCTAGCAAAACCATACTCGGCTGTGTGCAGCGGCCTCACAGGTTTTCTGTTTTCCGGGATTATCACTGTTTGTATATCATTGTTAAGTGAGAACCCCCCTCTGCCACTGTGATATTGATTAGACGCCTTCTTCAACTTTTAGATCCAGCAAATTATGATTTCCAAGGCACCAGGGGAATCGCTCGTTTGGACGACTCTGACGACAGTGATGGAGCCTCCGAGAATGTACAGGACAAGAAGGACGATGTCAATACAGCCGTAGAAGCCGACGAGGCAGGATCCCAGGCCTTTAAAAGTGAACTAGACATGAAAACGCTGCAAGCCGCGTTCAAGAGAGCCGCTTATTATTCTTTAACATTGACTACGATCGTGGCAATCATTGGTATGTTCCTGTCTTCAGCAGACACGGGTCTATATGCTCACGTCGCGATGAATTCCGCCTAGTACCCATTCCTATGTTCTTTTCCCATTATGTCTATGATAAACAATTTTATAAATTTTGGGCCTCGGTTACCATGTAGGTATTGGTGCTATTATCCCCTCGACAGATGAAATTGATGGTTTCGATAGCATATGGGCTTTGATGAGTGGAACTTGGTCGGTGTTGCTTCCCATCTGGGAATCAAAAGACCAGATCGCGCACATTCTATATGGGAGTTACCAAGCCATGAGAGGCCAAAGGGTACCATGAAGCACCGTTGTCCCATTGAGGGATTGCGTGGAATCCAGTCATGCGGTACTTTGACTGAAGAGGTTAGCTGTAACTATCCCAGTATATCTCATATATGGTACAGTTACACATATGCTTGCTGTATGTAGCGTAGTCGGATATCCTTCTCTCCCGGCATCTTAGGTACTGAGTGCACATGTTGCTGAACAAGCTTGTTAGGCACCCCCTCTTACACTCGAATGCCAGCAAGAATAGAATCAACTAGTTTTTCGGGTTCATCGTAATGAACCTGGAGAAAGAGGTTCAGAAGGGTGCGCCTAGAGCACAAAGATCATAATTGACTCACAAAGTGATTGCCTCCTTCAATCGTCACAAAACGTATGGGGCGGATCTTATGCCCTTCGTCAGAGTACTCCTGGTGAAGTCTCTTAGTCACAATATCCGACCAAACACACTGCCATGTCGACCGAGTCGCTACCAAATAGGTTACGGGAACATTAGGGAAAAAAGTGTAGATCACACTCTCGTTATATAAAACATTATGAGCCAGCTCTTTAATCTTCGGTGACATTGGTGGGGTATACCTATCGACGCATTTCATGAAAAAAGGTAGAATCTAGTGAAATGAAACACTTTACATATATATCTCGGACCTTACCGCTGCTCCTTCGTCGTAATACTTTGCCCATTGTTCTGGTGTCCAAGAAGTAGATGATCGCTGATCGGCTCGTTTACGAAAGTCCATATTATAAATGGTCGGGCAACTGGGGTGATCATAATAACCAGTGACCCATTGGCAAAAGTTCCCATAGAGTTCCTCAGCTGTCTTGTACTCGGGATCAACCCACGGATTGTACGGCTTTGCATCATCGGGAACCTGTATACCGAGCGATACGGATGGCGGATCTATATGCAACTCGTTTAGATCGCAGCTTGATCGACATCAAAGGGAATCTCACCGTATAAGATAAGGTCTTTGATATAGAGCTCTAGTATGTCGTACTGGGCACGGGACAGAAGATCGGCATCGGCAAACAAAGCCATGGCGGTTGTGGCACCCATTGACCACCCCAAAACGGCGAATCCTCCCAGTTTACGGTCGCGACTGATCTTGGGTATGGCTTCCTTCTCAATGAATTGTAGAAGGAACTCTCCCATGTGAATAGCAAGGTGATCCAGGAATGTCTTTTCTCCGTTACGCAGTTGTTGGAGCTCGTTATCGGAGTATCTAGTAGAACCAGGATAGTCTCTACGATTCCAGATAACGGTGCGTAGGTTGGCCTTGTGAGCGAGTCCGTGAAGCTTCTCAAATGTATCTGCGGAGGACATGATCAGTCATTCTTCGATGGATGTAACAATGCTACTTACCACCTGTAAAGGCGCTGCCATGCAACATGACAAGAGTAGTGTAGTCACCGGAACCAGGTGGAGGACCACTATCAGTGAAGAAAATATTAACATTATTAGAAAGTACGTAGGTGCACGATGAGACCATGATGGATGAGAAATGGAAAAACGCTACGAAAATGCCTCTTTTATCATTGACAATGCCCCACTTTGGGATTAGAACGCTCTTTTGACTGTTCGATAGCAACCGGAAATGCCCCCGATGCGTACTATATTACGCCGCTGTGGCTTTGCTCAACACGATCTCGGCGACCGTTTGACTTTAGACATTTGCTTGTTCGTTACTGGGAAAAAGTCGAAAATCACGGCATTAGTACGACCAGATAACGCGTTTAAGGAAAGTAAGGGCTCACTGAGGGGGGAAGGCATGGGAAACTTGCGTTTATACGGGTGCCTCGAAGATAGTGCTACTGAGCGGTAAGGAAATGAAAGAATCCATTTTTCCGAGGGTTCAGACGGGCTAAGCCCTTCCCGTAATTTGTATATTGCATTTAACGTCCGGAGTGAATTCAAAGATTGATTCGACCTGTTCAATAAACTATTTGAGAGAGAATTCGCGATAACTAGTAAGTTTCTAGCTTGAAGCTTGAAGAGCGGTACGGCTGACGGTTGACGTCGAGGAATTGAAATGGCGGGAGTCTGTGCCTGTGCCGGGCCGACAGCCTTGGTGCCGAGTTTGACAGATGCGACACCCGCGGCGGTGAATGACGGTTCTACTCAAGTTTTTGCCCTCAGTAGCTCCTCAATGACCTCAGCCGTGAAGCGATTCTATGCCTCATCAGAAACCCTTTAGAGTTTGCAAAGCAGTGAGCTGTAACGGCAGAATTTGAGGATTAGTATCCTCATGCCTGCACAACTTCCGCCGGGTGCTTCAGCTTCCTAGCTCGTTTAATCCCACTTCGTTGCTAAGAGTCAAGTTCCAAAACTTCAAGCTCAATGATTCGGATATCTGCTGCTATTATTCGCATCCATTAGTCAGCCTTTAGTCTGAACTGGATGAATTCTAGAGAATTCTATCTACTGGGCATTCATTTCCTTCTTTGCCAGACATCTTTCGGTTACCAAGTTCCCAAATTCAACGAATCCCCGGCAGGGGAAACCCATCAGACTGTTAGGGCCCTTGGACAGGCTTCAGACCCTGGTTAAAGTCTAGCCTATGAGTCAACAACCAACGGCAGCTAGCAACGACCTCCTTGCACTTTGGCTATGAATCCGCTCTTGGTCCGTCAACCCGCCGCACGGTACGTCTCAGCCAGCTCGACGTTCCCTTCGCGATGATTAGAAAGAACCCGTGCTCAGGGTTCAATTCTGGGGTTCACAATTTCTGGGGGACTCATGTCGCTAGCGATTACTTTCCGAACAATCGTGCTGCTATCGCGATTGTTTGTACAACCAGCGCAAGATTCCAGTCCTCCTTCTACATCTGACTGATTTTCTTGGCAAATGCCGCGTACCCAGCAGATGCGCAATCGAAGATCGCCGAGAAACTCATCATTGTTCCAAATCTTCACTGAACATTTCAGGCTGCTCAAAGGGCCATCAGTATCTCACAGATGTTAAATGTGCCGACCGACAAAAGCTGCTTTGCCATCCGTACATAGGCAAGATTGATATACGACGTGACTTTGCTTCTCCAGTAAATTCATTGCAGACTTATTCGTGATGTCCACCGAGATCGAGGCACCACCTAGTACCATGCGCTACCACCTTCTTTCTCTCACAATGGCCGTAGGTGGAGCCGTTACGGTTCCGACTGTGCTCTGGAGAAGTACGCCGTGACATTTAAGGCCTCATTTGATGTGGGGTAGCTGATACCACGCTCACAAAGTGGCTGGCGGGCTCCCGGTGGTCTCATCTGGTTAACTCCTGCTGTAGTTTCAACGTGTTTGGGGCAATAAGGCCATTGCGCATCACTGCGACCTCCATTCTTGCTGGTCTATTGTGCCCCGACTAGATTTCATCAATGTATGTAGTGTCTGTTCGTCCAAAAGGACCCGACTAATTCAATGTACAGTAATGGACTTGGAGCTCGTATGATCTCGAAGCCGACTATCCTCAAGTTCACCGTGAGCTCGGCCTATATTCCAGTTGTGATATCAGTAGACAATCAAGTACGTCACGAATACACTAGATTGTGGAATACCAATTACATCTTATTATGCTCAGCCCCACCTTCTGGTCTGGACTCCGCAGTGTAAACTATCTATCTAGTTTATTCTGTCCGAATTCAGATCCCTTTTCGCATGAAATCCAACATGTATTATATGAATTACGCTATTAGGAGTATGCTTAGAAATAGTCGATGCTTGTCATCCCGGGTCGTGAACAAGAATACATAATCGTGTCTTGAATGAAACAAATATTGGCTTCTCTCTCTGTCCTTCAACTGATCCCAATTTGAGTCACAAACTTGTGTAGCCAAGCATAAGGTGCGAAGATCTTCTCCTTCAATGGCTGAGTCTCCGCGAAGATCTCAAATGGCTCTTGTGCAACCGTGGCATTTAGTGACGATGTGGGCGCGGCTACAGGGAAGATCATGAGCAAATGTTCACTCTAAATGCTAAAACTTGCGAAACACGTACCATACCACCAGAGCGTAGTGACACCAACAGGGAAAGTGTATGTAGCCTGTGATAATATCGATATTCGGTACTTATAAATAAATGACCAGCTTACCTGCATACCCCTGAACTCGATGGTCGTCTGCACGGGTGTTGGGTCCCAAGTACCATTCGTTGTATCATCCCCTAAGTGCATCAGAACTATCAATTTATTGATCGTTCAATAGCATCCATCACCCACAGTTCAAAACGACCAAAGAGTACCTTAGCCAGTCGGTCGAAGAAACCCTTTCTGTGACATATGCTCCCACTTGGAGTGCCCAGCTCAAGCTTCCACCCACGGTGACTCCCACTCGCTTTCCAAAGGGCCCACCTGTGTCCTTCGGAATGATAGCTTTAGATGCCTGGGCCATGGAATAGACTAAATATAAGTCGATTTAGTGTTTTCGGGGCCGAAGGGCAGAAGCAAGGATTGGCTTACATTCTTGGTTCAGGCTGTAAGTTCCGTCACTGTTGACCTGGACAATGGGCCGACAACCGCCCCCACAGCTGTCCGTTCCGGGGTACACGGGATCGCCACTTCCATCTAGAGCAATGTTCCACATAAGGCCTGAATGGGAGTTGTGTGTTATCGATCCTGTGTATGCATGGTGTCAAGAGGAGCAGGGTAGAGCAGTCTCAGAAATTACCTATGAAGCTGCAGAGGACAACAACGATCAGCATCTTCAGTAACCGGCCTGCAGTGACTTACATATTATCCATATACCACTACATATCGTTGAGCGCTGGTACCCCTCAGGAAACATAGAGACTTACCTTGATATCAGACCACCAATCACTCCCTGAAAAAACCGATGAGGGAATGCAGCAATATAATCAAAGCCGAGACTTACCGATGGTTCCAGTGCACTCTGGACGCGCATATACAATGAATATATCCACTTCGCAGTGATCATTCTTACTCACCAGTGAAATATATCTGAACATACGTTTCAGCGCGCGGAATCAACACGTTGCAAACTAACACAAACCTCTTTGGTAGGGTACGCGGTATGGAATGTATCTTGGTCAGTGACATCACCCTAAGTACATGTAAGCTCTTGGCTTTATGGATGAAGTATAAGGAGACTTACCGCATAACAGTGGAAAGATACCCCTGCGAATGAGTCTCCTGCCGCCTCCATGAGTTGAATGGGATAGGTACCAGCGTCGGCCCAGTTGTGCTCGTACCCGATGAGCTTCACAGAGGAGAATCCATTGTCATTCATCAGGGTCCTCAGTGCCGTCCCAATCTGAGCTTCCACAGAGACAGGCATGGTACAAGATGGGTAGGTTGAATCGCTGTTCTCCGGCTCGTTCTGGATGGACATAGCGTACAGTGGAATGCCATTGTTTTGGAACCCTTGGAGGCATTTGAGAAGGTAGTTGGCATCTAGAATTTGGAAGATCATTTAGATATATACGTACGAATGCTTGGATATAAATAATGACTCACAAGAAGCAACATACGTGGATTGTAAGGATCCGCCGTTCATTGTTCCGGTGGTCTTCATCCAACCTGGTGGGGACCATGGCAAAACATGCACCTTAATGACTGTCCCGATTTCCCGTCACCACAACTGGGTAAGTTCACAAGTACAACAACACGCACGGTTGTTTACAGAGTAAATGTCCTTGAGAACCGAGAAAAGGTAGGATGGTGCATCGTTGATATTGAAATTGCTGAAGGACGTGTCGCCACTAGTGTCATCAAAGCTGTACGCTAAGTACTGTCAATAAAACCTATATGCGCATAAAACGCGAGCAACGCACGTCCAGCAGAGAAATCCGACGCGCCCAGAGGAACTCTTATATAATTTAGCCCAGCAGCATTTGCCCCATCCGTCGGATTGAAGAGGTAATCCAACAATGTCCAATAGTTGGCGGAATTGGTTGACTAAGGCAGTTGAGTCCATCGGCACCGTACAAGAAGGAAGAGACATACCTTCAGGTTGTTCAAAATCAAGGCTGCAGAGTCGGCTGGAGTGCAAATAGTTTTGGGGTCCGTTGTATGTGACAATTACGAGCATATGCTACTCACTGAGAGAACCTCCAAATCCCCACACCGACTGGTAAGTCGACGTGTCGTCCACTTCGATATCGGCGCTGCCAATAGTGCCAGGCGAAACGAAATTAATGGGCGTTGATGGACTAAGCGAGGTAAATAATTTGGAGCGGTCCCATGTCGTTTGCCACTACGGGTCGTGTAAATCCCAGGTGAACGCGGATGCTCGTCGACTTACAATATCCCAAATCTGTTGAGAAGCGACCTTGGTGGCGAGAAGAAGGGAGATCGTGAAGAATCGACGCATGTCTGCTAAAAATACGAAAAGAAGGTCGAGCAAATAAGTGCGGTTTGTATGGAGTACAAATACAAAAGTTGAGTTGGTAAGAGAAGCCCAGCAGAAGCACCACTGATAAGTGTCTCTTATATATGCCATATGGTTCACAAGCATATGGTTCATATAAAGAGAGCTTTGACGGGAAGCGACCTATTGCAATGCACACCCTTCCCCGAATATCAGACGCTGATCGTGTGCAACAAAGGCTCACGCAATGTGGAATGCAATATTGTGTCTATCGGGAGTAGTTAGACTGTTCCCTACAGTAAATATCCATCAAGTGGGCATCAAAGCACAGTCTGCCAGTCTACCGTTTACACACGAGTAGAGAGCATACCAGGCTTTGTCATGTGTTCAATCGGACGTACCGTTCTCGCAGAAAACTCAGATACGATAGCCATGCGCAGCTGAGAAAAAATCCCGTCCAATATTCACCGAACCACACAAAAACACGTCGAAAGCAAATCTAAGTAGCGACGATGCCGCATTAGAACAGCCCGAGTAGATCGTCCTGTGGCTGACTGTGCTGCTGCGGTTGCTGAGGGGGTGAGGGGGCAGATGGTGTCATGATCGGTGGCGATGATCCGAAGGCTCCCAGGCTATCTCCACCTCCAAGTGAGAGACCGCCCAATCCAAACGTGTTTTGAGGCGTTCCCGCAGATGCTAGTGATGCATTGGATCCGCTTCCAAAAATAGACACAAGGTCGTCCAGTGGATTGCTCGATGTGCCTGCCAAAAGATTCGCCGCCGCCGGAGTCTGTGAGAGCACTTGCGTTGCAGCCAAGCCAGAGGGCTGACCATTCGTTGCGGGCACATCGTCGAAGTCGCTGTTAAAATGCTTAAGCCCGCCCCCGCGAAAGACAGCCAAATAAGCCACTTACAGCAAGTTCTCTGCCTGTTGTCCAGCTGCCACGGTCTGCAGAGCTTTCTGTGTAGAGAACCGATCGTCGGACCCACTGCTGCAATGGAAAGAAATGCAGTCAGTCGTTGGATAGAAATAGCTCATAGGTCTATATATCACTCACTCGACACCTTTTTTCTGGACCGAGTCGGCTCCGACTCTACCCCTACCGACAAACGTCTCTTCAGGTTTATGATACACACTGGCGAGGCTTGACACCTCTCCAAGCAGTTCTTCCAGCAGTGCTGGTGTAACGGTAGTCCTTGGTATTGAAATAGGGGGTCGGGGGGTCAAAACAACGGCCTGCGATCACTTGATTTAGCACCTTATTACTGGTATGAGAAACGACAAGAGGAACAGCAGAGGTAATGCCTTTGAGGCATGCAGAAACAGAAATTCCGGCGCCACATTGTCGTATGCAGTTTAGAACTCACTTTGGCAGCGCCTGGGTCAGTAGACAGTAATCTCCAATAGATATACGCGCGATCCCGCACATCCGGAGAATCACAGTCTTTAGTCGCCGTGTTTAAAATCCGTTGGACGATGCCTTGCGACGAGTCTGGTTTCTTCAGGAAGAGTTTCACGACCGCGGTCAAAGTCTGCAGTTGGACCTGGAAGGGATTCAAATGTCAAGGAAACTATAAAGACACCGCCTGGGAACAAACCCACGGGATATGATTCCTCAGTAAACGCGTCCACAAATATGCCTAGCAGTTCGTCTGCATTATCGATCTTGTTAGCATATTCCCCGATGATCCAAATCAAAGACGCCTTGGCTTCTGGCTCATCTAATTCATCAAGATTTGCGCAGAGAGTCGGTATAATGCCTTCATATGTCGACGGATATTTCCGGAAAATGTCCTGAGAAACGCAATCAGATGATCCAAATTTAACGACACTAAAAAAAGGAAGCATCCTCAGTACCTACCTTCATGACCACAACTGCTTCTTGCACCACATAACTGACGCGTGTTCCAATCAGCTCAAGCAATACATTCACACATCGTTCTGCTGCGGCATCGATCTTGACGGCTGTCTGTCCAATTGCTTTTATACTTTTGCGAACAAAGTCTACATCAACCTCAGATGAATATCTGTACGAAATGAATGCTTAGTCAAATTCTAGAGATGAAGATGTCGACATACTCTTTCAGCTCGCTTAAAAGCGCATCGACATTATTCTCGCCTGCCAACCGCACCATGATCTCCAATTTCTCAACCTTCACATACAAAGGATCATTGTATTTGCAGAAAAAAACCCGCATTTCGTTCTGCAGAATATCCGGCCGCTTTTGAAGAAGGAGATTGATGTTTCGAAGCGCGACCCACTGCACTTCTGGCGGAGAGGAAAGGAGTGTCACCAGCGGAGGTGCCATTTTGCGGACTAGTTGTTTGATAAGGTCCCCTCGTCGGACGCCACGCATATGAATCATGATGACCTATAGTCATATGAGAAAAGGCATAGCAAATTTCCAACAGAAGCATCTACCTTCACAGCAGCCAACACGACAGCTCCATTGACGTGTTGGAACTGCGGAACGACACGCTCGCATATATGCTCGCTTTCTTTCTCGTCTTGGGCCTCATATCGAGCCAATGCGTTCAAAATTGCCACCCGACCCCATTCAGAGCATTCATTCAAAGCTATCAAGAGTTTGCTGAGGATAGCGGCGGATATTATGAAGATTCCCGGATCGGATGAAGAGGTCGATGGTTGTGCAGAAGCGGCTATATGAATGTCTGTCAAGGCAGCAACGGTGTTGGCTACTACCTGTAAGGCCTATTGAGACAAGTATGGAAAGTGAGAGAGTAATGCGGACGCACCATTGGATTACTGTCAGCTATCATCTCATGCAACTGTTCCAGAAACCCATTCTCAATCACCAATTCCGGCTTCAGATCATACAGCTTTGCAACGCACAGCGCAGCTGTTTTGCGTACGTATGGATTCTCGTCGCGCAAGCATTTCTGGAGAGGGTCACAAAGGTAATCGATGATCTTCTCCGCCCGTAGAACACCCATCGTACGGATCGCAAGTGCACGGACCAGGGGATTTGGATCATCAGTGTCCTTGACGAAGGTATTCACGGCGAGAATAACGAGCTCTGGCTGCGTTTTTGCGTAGTTCATGAGATAGAGATAGACGAGTTTCTTCTGCTCAAGGTCGTCGGTCTGCATGTTCTTGAGGACGTCCGGGAAGAGGCCACTGACGTCTATGGCATGATTCAGCCCAATGTCATTTTTGTAGCAGAATGCACTGACCCTTGCCCACTGTCATGGACGCTATTGTTCTCTTGATGGCATCTTTGCGTTTCTCCCGGTATTCACTGTTAAGATCGACGCTGAGCTCATAGTTTTCGCCTTTCCGGGGAGCCCTGAAGCTCATGAAGATCAGATATTGGTGGTGGTCGGTAAAGGAAGGACGATGCACAGCTATGCCACGCGATCATCACCGCCAGTGCTCACGAACCACCACCATCCGGTACCGTTGACTGGCAGAAATTTTCCGATAATTCTATCTTTTCAGCGATGGCTCAAGCTGATAACAACGAAGTGTCTACTCTACTTGGACACCTGATCAATGGCGAGCACTTAAGTGACCACTGAGGTTCAACATCAAATAATCATTATTAATAAATAAGTGCGTTCCTCGCCATCTATCCTCTCTCAAGATACTAAAGCGACATTTGTTGCCTATTCAGCAGCCATATGGAATGGATGAGTGGTTCGTAACTGAGTCACGGGGAAGAGTGGAGTAAGCATATCGGTCGGGCTCAATCAATTGTCATTCGTCCTTGATCCTTTCTTGCTGGAAAAGAGCGGCGATGCTTCTGAAGCAAGTCGCATGAATAGAAAGTCTCGATGTTCAGGCGTATACGATTCCTATTCTTTTCCAAGGTTTCGGACCCACAAATACCTCACGTACCCGCTGCTTTTACTACGCCCGTCTTCCCACGGTGGCAATCACATCTGATTTGAAGAATCATTAACCCTTCCTCAGACCCGACCACAGTTGTCTCAAATTCCTTCCTTCCTCAGTCACTGCCATGGCTCCCGTTGAGATCCCGGGAGTCAACGTTCCTTTGCTGTGAGTAGGCCTCTCCATTTCCTTCCGTTTGATCGGACATGCTCATGTCAGTAAAAGGACGGGGCCCCTGGTACGTCGGGTTCAATTTCAAGCGTAGCAACGCCGGAAGACATCTCGTTGCAGGCCTTGGGTTACATGTGGGACTACGGCCTCTACGGAATCCTCCTGGTCCAGATGTGTAAGGACATCCACTGTGTCACAGAACAGCTATCCTGACAAGAGGAGTCATCCAGATATCTACCACATAACCTTCCGGAAGGACAAGATCGGCTTCAAGATTTTTGGTGCGCCTATTCATATCACTCCAATACACCCACCCAAACAGACACAAGTATGGTCATTACTTCTTCTGGAGACGGTCTTCACCATTTTCACAACTATCGCCGCCTGGCATAATTTTGGAACTGGCTGGGGAGACCCTGACACTCTCACGACAATCGATGTCTCATGGGAACCCCTCCCTGCATTGAACGGTTTCAGTGGGTGCCTGTGTCCATGCTTTCCGGCTAAAGTTCACGTTCTCCCTTAACAGTTGCCGCAATGGTTCAGAGCTTCTACGTCTACCGAATATGGACGTTAACGAAAAAATTATGGCTTGCACTCGCCATTGAAGCGGTAGGACTTTGGTCATTTTGGTCTACCTGGGCACCACTTGACTCCCGATAGGTTGCTCTTATGCAGTGTATATTGGCCTTCTATTACGGGATAGTTGTATGTCCATGTGCTCAACGTTATGCGGTTTATGGATGTGTACGCAGGTCTCTTTAAGAGGGCGAGGGATCAACGAGTTGTTTGCGCTGGCACCCAGCATTAACGTACGCGTCAACATTTGTATTACAACTCTTATCCGCATTTCTAATCCTCCGGTCCTAAAAGGCGTGCTTATCTGGCAGTGCTGCGTGCAACGTTCTGATCACAGCTTCTATTGTCACCATAGTACGTTCGATTCTAGAGGAACGCGACATATGGTTTATGTCCTTCAATTGCAGCTTTACAAATCAGAGACAAAAGTCGTCTTCTCGCATACAACGAACACTGTTACCCAAATTATACGCTACGTAGTGGAAACAGGTCTGGTAACCTCTGTGGTGGCTCTGTGCGAGCTTGTATTGTGGTTAACGAACCGACAGTACAACTTCCATTTCATAGGGTATGTGTTGTTTTTGCCATTAAGGCGATACGGATGACGACATGGTTGTTGCTGCAGGTTCCTTATTCTCGGCAAACTGTAAGGGGCTTCCCCATCGCATAATCAAAGCATTGCGCCAACTAATCTATTCAAGATATGCGAACACAGCACTAGGAATAATAAATTCGCGTGCTCTCATGTTTAGTGGACACCAACAACACCAACAGGACTACGAGCATCAAAGTACATTTGTAGCCACGACTCCCCATAATACTACGTCATATTGGGACGAGTCGGAATCTATAGAAAACGATTTGAGTTCAATTTACCAACACCAACCTGGCCCATCAATACCTCAGCCTGTGCAGGTTTTCAAGACCGTTTCTGTAGGTCAGTCTACAGATAGTCTTGACACCAAAAATGCTGTCGTTTCAGTGCGTAAAATAGAGTTTTCTATTGTGAAGACTCTAACTGCTCGTACAGAATTTTCCAGATCACTCTGAGCGGCCAAGTGCTGCTAGCACTAGCGCTGGAACTTTCATTGAATGAATTTGCGCTATTCACTTTTTAGCATGTCCATATGTTGGGACTGACGATCCATTTTGTACTTCAATGGAACCGAGCATGTAACTGTATTCTGTGTGCTTTTGCTTGATATCTGTCTTCGGGACGTGGTCAACACTCAAGAATAAGGTGTTGAAGCTTGAACAGGTAGGTCCATTCAAATTTTCCCTCGTCAAGCTTGACCACTACTGGCAAAAAGTGAGATCTGCCGTATAGGGTCTCCGAATTTCGCTTTGTTTTCGAGTACTGTTTCAGTCGTTGCCTGCTTATATCGGACTTTTAGGAGACAGGGAATTTATCTCATGGTGAAGATTAGGTACAATTATCTGCTAAGACTATGCGATCGGTACCCACCGTTGGAGTTGAGTGATAATGTAAGGGAAGCTCTGGAGTCTATCTCCCATTACGCTTAAGTTATGCTTCCTCAGTCACTAAGTCCCGTAACGCAAGTTGTGGAACCCTCTTCAACAGCTGGTCAGCATATGAAGCAATGCATTTAAGCTGTCCATATCTGAGTCGTTTATTAATGCTATACATAACGGGTACGAATTCTTAAGAACGAAAATAGATCGTCCTTGAACAGTTGCTGTTTAAAGCCAAAGCTAAGAGATTTGTGCGCTTTGATATTGGCCTCAAATATTTATGAGGACAACGTTAAGTCAACTTGCATTGCTGCATTGGTGATGACGTTCACAGAGAAAAGCATATAAGCCTTCAGTCGTAGGAAAATGATGCTTATTGCTTCTCGAGGGTACGTCTTGTACTAGCGAAGATGAATACTTCGGAAGAGTGATGGTGGCTGTTTAGACCTTGAATCGAAGACGCCTTTCGTTTTCTCCTCTAAAATGTTCGACGAACAGCTTGGATTCTTGAAGTAAAAAGATGTTTAAGATATAGATCAATTGAGCAGGTTAACGGGACCTCCGCTACTTTTCATTGCAATGCATCTCGGGCAACGATCTACTCCCCCTCCCCAAGACGACTTTTGATAAATGTTGCTGTATCGATCCGTGGCCCCGGGGTACTATCGTCTGCCGTGTGGGATACAAAATTTGGAATGAAGGCTTCGACCGATTATCGATTCGATAGCTGTAGACGGCGCCGAACCGTCGGTGTGAAGATCCTCGGAAAATAATGAGGTCTGGAGAACAGCCGGGGATTACCAATAGTCATGACGCTGGAAGTGAGTTGGTTGCTCTGTCCGAAACTCGGACTTGATAAAAAAAACTCGGAAATCAGCGTGCACCTATAACAGGAACAGCAGCGCTACATGGATGGGTTTCAAAAAGAGTTTGGACACCTGAATCGCAGAGATACGGTCAACGGACTATTTTTATACGCCATCATCATCACCACCGCAGGACCCACTCGGGGTCTAACTATACGTAACAAGATTAGAAAAAAGCAAAGTTGCTCGAGTGTTGGCTGTTACCGTGTACATTCAGCTTCCACAAAATCAGCTTCTCAAAAGAAGAAAGCCAGCGGACTACCGGCTCCAATGTCCCTTATGGAATCCGGCTTTTGCCAGTCAATGAACACGGTTCCTCAGAAGCTCTATCCAGTCGTCGCTTCAGCCGTAGCAAACGGAAACTGAAGTTAAGACTGCCGATGGCCTGAATATGCCGGGCTGGAATCAATGATAATATTCGATGACTGATACAGGTACCATTCATTAGAACACAGACTATTCACTCGGAGAATCCCTTGTCAGCCAATAGTAAGATAGAAATGAAGGACGTGTCCTACGGCGTCGACGGTTGACATAGACAAGCCTAGAATACATGTACAATCACATCGTACAGTAGTCTGAGGAGAGATCTTACGATAGTTTTCTGGCACTCGGACCAATTATAATCAACCTAAAACCAAATGTCTGTACAAACAACGAGTAAGTACTTGTTCAAGCCAGGATCGGGGGCCCCTGCGAAGACGGAACTTATGCCTTATCATAGTTTCCACATTCATAAGGCCTGGAAGCTAGGTCGTTTAAGCCTGTTGATTCGATACGGAAATGCTGCAGATCAGATACCAGTCTCGCGAGCCTGCGGCTGAGGCAAGTAAATGCTCGTTAAACCTTAGTTGAAGACTTTTGTCACATTACATGTAAGTTGATCGTGACCGTGATATCCGTGATATCGCGCCCACGTGCGCAATGCTCACCGTATCGAGCTTCGGAGAGCGACAAGGCAATCACCAGGAGTCAAGATGCGACGGTGCACGGTGCAAATTCCACATATGCACGTTCAATGTTGAAATCAGTCAAAACGGAAGAGCTGGACTATTTGATCCACCTTGTATTACAGAACTTGAAGTCGCGATATAAAGAAAATAAATAACTTAAAACCAGGGATGTCATGACTCTTCACAGGTGATGCCCATAATACTTTTGTCCGCCATTGCTGTCAATTTCAAGGCTTATAGTATTCTTGTCTCTCTTGACACCCTTTTCAACTATGTCAGCCGCTGCCGTCACGTTTGAATTCTAGTCAACTCTTACCGATACAACGATCATCTCATGGGAGTCGTCATCCTCGTGGATTTCAGTGGTCCGTGTTACCTGTACAGTTTGTGCTCCAACCGTTGTAATCTTTGGTCCAACTTCGTTCCAGAAAGAACTCGAAGAATGTGGTATCGATCTCGACAAGTTGGAGGGTCCGTTTTGAATGGCACCGAAGACAAGGGCTCTTGAATTCAAGGTAGCGACGAGGGCGTTTGAATACCTGCACCGAACTGATCACTCTTCAGCAAACAAACAAAGTGAACAAACATACAGCTTTCCGAGGACGAGAAATCTGGCGTAATTCGTTAATGATATACCACTTGATGAACACCAACTTACCCAATGAAATGGACATAATACCGAGGCTGGATTAACCACAGGACTAACTCCACCACAGCAGCTACGGAAGTGAGTAACCCCGTCTCAACGGTGAAGCGGATAATTTTTGTGACTGCATTTGTCGTCTGACTGAACGTCGAGCGACTACTTGCTTGCCATAGCTGTTTTCTAAGTTTGAATATCTATTTCGTCGACGCAAGAGTTCGACGCACAACATAGACGATCACGGAGGTGATCAGCACATCACAAGCCGCACTCCCGGCTAGCCATGTCTGCATTGAAAGTAAGCATCAAGTAAAAATACTGAGTCAAAATGACACGTACGCTAACCATAGGTGTTAACTCAATGAGCTTACTGACACCTAAGCCTTCCACTGACACCTGTCGAAAGTGTTAGCACCCAGAGAGGTTGAAACGATGTAAACGAAAGAAGCCTTACCGCTATGCCGAAGTAATAGGCAAACACACATTGTACAACAGCAACAATTTCAATAAAGATACAGATCCAGATGTTTTTCGTAAGGTTGTAAATTCTCCAGACATAAAATGTCTGAACCATGGACGAAACTGTGGTGGGTTTTTAGAAGGTCTGGATGTCATAGTAAATAGTTGCATACTGGTTCCGTTGAGTGCAGGAAGGGGCTCCCAGGACCAATCGATGTAGGAAAGCATATCCACATCACCCCATCCATCAGCATATAGATTCCAGGCCGCGATAGTTGAAAAAATAGTAAAGATGACCTCGAGAAGGAATATAAGCCACACTGGCAATCACAGAGTCAGATAAGGTCCTAGTCTGGGGGAATGTCGTCAAGGTTGGCCACGGACCATATAATCTCGTCTTCCATGTGTCTTTGTGGTTGAAATGGATATAATAGATATCTGTCAGATGTCAGCTAAAGGGCACATCGACAAAAACTTACACGCACACATCTGAACTGTGAGAATGCCAAAGAGGCCGTATCCCCACATATAGCCAAGTATCTGGATAATAAACGTTAATGGACCCAGACATTTTCTGCAGCACTTGCGCGCACCAATGGGCCAGTGCTGATTTTCATTAACGTTAGGTCAATGCAATTTCGCATAAAACTTACATGAGAGGTACATTTACTCCAGGGACGGAAATAGGTGCCATCTACGATTGCGAGGGGCAGAAGAAAGAGAAATATAGGCCGTATTTCTTACAGCGTCGATCTGGCACCTTTTTAAACGAACGAACCTTGTGGTAAACTTTCTCACCCACTTATGTCCTCCGGCCCATTCCGTTGGTAGCGCGGTAGCGCATCAGATGCTGATGATACGATCATTTTGTCTGGACGTTTCATAGTCCTCCAGACATCAAAAAGCCAGTATGAAGCAGCGCGCAGAGACCAAAAGGAGAGCTCTTAGTCGCCAGATGCGATTTCAAGCGAAATTCCGTTTGCGAGGTAGTACATGCGACATCTTTTTAGAAGTCCAAGGGTAGTCCGAGTCCTTGAGCCCCATTGATCGTGAGGATCGTCGCGGTGAAGGCCATCACGACCTGGTGCCTATGTTTCCAGAACAGTATCGGGATGTGAGCTGATGCGACAATCTCATATAAAAGGCTAAAGCATGGTGTACTATGAGTCCAGAGCGACCGTTCGGCGTCTGTGACAGGGAAAAAGACTCACGTTTTTAATACCTTATCCATCCTTGAGCACCACTGAAAGCAATCATCAAGTCGGCGACCCGGTGCATTGTTAAGAATTTGAACCATGGGCTTCTGGAGGAGGAGCTGGAAGTCGGGCTATGTAAACGACCAGCGCTCGAAAATGGAGTTTCACTGATATCAGTTCCGATTTTGATGGATAAGAAACGCATATTGAGTTTCAAAACTTTTCGGTAATAATATTGAGCTCCAGACTCGGCTATGTACCGATATGTACCGAGAACCAGTGATCGTACATTCGGAGTGGTTCATAGGAATGGGCATACACTGTATCTGCTTGTGTCCTGAGGATTTTGAATGCCTCTGTGGCTGAGAAATGAGTCTGGATGAGTGCTGCTCTCTAAACTGAGTTTCCGGGGACCTACCATCAATCCTCCACGGAATGTCTCCCAGAATAAACGTCCTTCCTCACTCACTCCTGGCCGATCGTCAATGATCACCAATTTCGATTAAGGAAGCGTATCAGTGATTAACGATTTACTACCTTCAAGTTCTGCGTGACGCTACAACAGTACAACAAGCAGATCCCAGTTCTTTGCCCACTAACATGTATATGTGCGCTGAAATTAGATTCGAACATGTTGATTCATAAAATTTGCGCTATGTATTCATATACACGGGATTGCTTAGACAATTTAGTTTCAACCACTGAAACAGAAAACTAGACTCCTTCGATTCCGAGCTCCTTTGCAATGATAAGGGCTGCTTTCTCGCCGATGGCAAGGGTAGCCGAGTACGTGTTCTGTGGCAGATCAATCAGGTTGCATAGGAATGTAAGGATGTCAATGAAACCTACGCAGTTGACGTTTGAGGGTGCAATCGAAAGATCTATCATGACAAGTGAGTGCAGTGATCAGGCGACGAGCACATGTATACACGAACCGGCGAGCTTTAGCCCTGTGACACCATATACATTGAGGTCTGCATCGACAACACCATCTCTTTCCCTCGGTTTCATGGGACAAGTACCGAGCTGGTAAAATCAAGCATCAAGGCCGCGCATAGTTTAGGGTGAGCTATACTTACGGAGTGCCACGTTGTACTGACTTTATATGTGTGGTGAATACTACAGCACAACATCTAGACGAAGCAGACTTACCAAAATTCCTGATGTTGGCGTTGATTGCATCATCATCTTCCTTGGAATAGACTATCTTGGGAGCATCAAGAGGAACAGGGCCATTTTCATGAGCGATACCTGCAGGACTGTCTGGGTCGAAGTGGGGATGAGCAGGAGCAAAGACACCCCGGTATACAGGCATCCGGCGGAGGATTTCACGGCCTCTCTTGTAACCCCAACGAAGTACGGCGACGTCAGCAGGGCTATAAGAGTGAGCGTTAAAGAAAGTCAACAGATAATAGTGCAAGCAACGCACTGAGACAAGAACCCGCAGTCGAAGTCAGGAGCAGCGTAGATATCATCAGAAGCGATGTGGAGATGTCCACGGGAAACGGGATACCCCTACAGAAAGGGCTCAGTACTTGGAATTTGACGGTATGGGTTGTCCTCATACAAGAGAAACTCCACAGCAGAAGTAGCTGATCGGCGGCAACGCTGACTGATCTGTCGGAAGTCTTCATTATAAGTTTGTGGGAAAGCCCCAAGAAAAGTGTACAAGCATACCCAGCTAATGCGCTCATCCAGAACAAAGGCTTATCAGGTTTATCCGCATAGTCCCTTTTCCAGACTTCTTCGAAGTCGGGCCCTAGTTCGTTTAGTTCATGTTCAAAAGGGCGGTACTTGACAGATGCGTCCACTCCACTAGGATCCGTGATTAGAAATGCCACCAAAGCATACTAGAATACAAATATACTTGGCGCCGAGTAACCCAGAACCATCCATGGCCCATTGGGCCATATTTTCTGACAAGGAATGAGAACTGTTTGATATCCGAACGGATGATGATGCGGGACACTTACTATTCCACGTCTCTGTATCCCCTCGGAAAAGGGTATCATAAGTCGTCACTTTGGGGTCCACCAAGTACGGAGTAACGAGAAAAGGGTGATCTGGTCCTTTACATTCAACAAACCAGGTCTTCATGATAAGAAATGCTCTCGCCATCATAGTCTTTCCCTACACCAGGAAGATCGACAAGCTGTTTGATACCGGCTTTCTCCAATATGGAGGCGGCACCAATGCCGGATCGTTCAAGGACCAAGGACGAACCCATAGCACCTGCGGAGAGAACTACCAAACGGCTGGCAAGCACTGTGTGCACTGATTGTTCTGCGTTGGGGTAAACCTGCTTGTCGAAAACATACTCGACGCCAACGGCCTTTGTGCCCCTGAAAAGCCCCGTTAATTAAATGGTCCGTGCTGATCGTGTATGTCAGGACATACTCAAACAAGACACGTTTAACCCTGGTTCCATCACAGAGCGTAACGTTTTTGCTCTCTTGGTTGTAGAGGTAGTGGGTCTCAAGAATATCAACATAAGAACTTCCGAAATATCAAGATAGAACCTAGTCATACCGCTGTGTCAGACCGACGACCTTTGCTCGAGGCGAACCTAAACGAATAAAAGTGTTAGCCTCAAATCACCTGGACATGATTCGCGTCGTCATACTTGGGCATCCTCTGGTAAAATGTTAACGCATCACGCAAGCAATGGAGAACTATTTCCTCACAAAGAAGCAGTTGAGGGATTCAGGGTCGAGATTGTTACCCTCCTCTGATTGAGGCCTGTCCTTCTCGTATTGGGGACCTACTTCAAGAAACTGCTTACAAATCTCCATCATGGATGGATTTCCACCGAAAGAGACCTTAATCGGTCCTGACGAGCCGTGAGTTTTCCTGGTCGGATCAACTTCGTATGTTTCAGCCTGTTTTACGGTGGATGAGGAAGGGCGAAACGGAGTCAATGTCAACAGCCTACCTTCTGCAATAACGGAATCAAATCCTTGGAACCCCAACCAGGGTTATTGTACTCAGTCTCCCAGGCGTCGAAGTCAGAAGCAGCGGGACGATTGTACAGTACGAAGTTGACCGATGCACCTAGCAGAATTCTGCTTCAGCTTCCCGAGTAAAACATCCCGTCCTTACCACCGCCGACACATCGAGCAGAGGGAACAACAAGACCCCGACCAGCCATGTGTTCACTAGGCTTGGACTCATAGAATTGCATGGTCTTGCTGTCGGGAGCCAAGTGAGTTATGTATCGCCCAGGTTGTATGTGCTCGATTTTGTCCTTAGTGGTCGGTCCCGCCTCGAGGACGAGGATCTTGAGGTTGGGATCGGCCTTCGTGAGACGTCCTGCAATTATACAGGCCGCTGCCCCACCTGCACATCATCGTTAGACTGAGGCGACGAAAATTGCTTGAACACACGTACCTCCAGCAAAAATGACATCATATTCAGATTCGATGGTATGTGGAGCCATGGTGTAGAGGGAAGGTAGGTTGCATTTCGAGGGTGAGGAGTGAGACCAAATAAATGCCATGCAAGAGCTAGATCACGAAGCTAGACGAGGGCTAGGAGCTATACAGACAGAGGGAACGTTTATTCCAGGCCCTATGGGCAAGAGAATGATATACGGTACCACGGGGGTATCACAATACAGTTGACTGGCGGTCTGATGTACATCATTGACGAGGCATAAGTAGATGCATCGTCAACAAGACAACATCCAGCGTTTCGACAGTCTGTGGGACCGATGCTTTGACTGCCAGGAGATGCTGGTTGCAGTCGGGTAAAGTTCTCCATCTTTCAAAACCATGTTCTCCGTTAAGGGACGAAGAGGCAACAGTAGCAGGAGAGATATCATCGGGGCCATTTATGGGCATCATGATGTTGATAGGATCCAACGGAAGGTTTAGAAGAGCCTAGATAAAAAAATAAGCATTGGAATAGCGCAAAAACAGTATTGAGGACAACGCTTCGCACCGCAAGCCACATAAAAAGGATGTCGTGAACCGTCACTGCAGGTTTCCACGAAAGACGGGAGAACAAGGCCAACTTCGCTCATGACGAAAGGAGAATAAAAACTGAATGACCACTCTGCACTGGACCAGACTCCAAGGTCCCAAAAACAATACAGTTTTCATCAAGTAAAAAAAACCTTCAAATCTGCCTCGATTGGGTCCAAGACCCAATCGCTCGTACAGAAGAAGCATCAGAAGCACACCGTACTGATCCTGGCGATCCGAGTTGTGCGAGGTTTACCGGAAGAGATTCACCAGAAAATCTAGACTTGTGTCGCTGATGATTCATGAGAAAGTAACACCATGAACAGAAATGAATTTGAAAGGTACGGTGTGCCTGTTCAGGTGATACTCGGACTGTACCTTTGGACTCAAATGCACTCTTCGTTCCAAACAAAACGGCATCACTGCGGAATACACTGAGGTCAGGCTTTCGTCAAAAAACGATTGGCTTCGTGTGCCTGGACCCGTACACTGCGGCGTTTGCATTGTACACAACGCTCATCTGATGATTGATGAATGTGCTTCCGTTAGGCAAAAACAACGAAAATACTGACCCAGACCAAGAGCATGAGATCGGGTGACAGCACAATAAAATAATGATAGGGTGCGTCGCAGTCGTTATCATCGGCCCCATCGGCCTAATCAGTGTAAGCGTCTGCGTGATCTGCGGGTGAAATACTGAAAAAAAAACAGAGTGGACAATGATCCTATGTACTGCGTGGTGATTACATTACAACTTCCATTTTTGCGATCAGCTAATGTAGTTCCTTCTCTGTGTCTCTCCATTCTATTACTATGAACTGACACTATAGGTAATTTCTTTACAAGTTAGAGGAATTTCGATGAGCTCCGCCTTTACCTCAACGAGATATCACGTCCAGACACGAAACCACGTCCAATTGAGTTGTCTGACTACCGAATCCGAGTCCGGATTGCTAAGAGACAAATATATTCTGATTAAGTGATCTGGTCTGCCGTATCAGTCAGTCAAAGTTTGCAGACGGGTATCCGTAGCGAACGTTGCGATATGGTTCCGTTTAGGCATGGTGGTCAATAACGAAAAATGGCACGTGCACCTTGTATGTGCCCATGCGTTCCACGGCCCGAATGTCCAGAAATATAGTCTAAGACGGAGATTAACGACTTTAGAAAGACTGAGATATGGTCCAACATGGGCTAAAGGAGACACCGAGAAGGCGCTGTAATTTTCAAATACAGGTCAATTTTGGAAGAGAGATCCATGCGTTCATCACTATGCTATGAAACCATTACAAGGATACTGCTTGTCCTAGAACAAGAAATATCCAGGAGTTAACATAAGATATAATACTGAACTCGATACTCAAGTAACCCAACTCTTCCCCTCGTACCTAGCAAGCTACTGATTGAGCTCTTTAAGAACTAAGTTACATTAAAAACCATTCCCTGCCGCTTAGCCTCCGTACTCGCTTCATGCGAGCGTCGGAGTGTTAGTTTCGACCGCGGGCTGCACATACCCATTGCTGATGTAGAGAAAAAATTGGGAAGGCCAATAGCTTGATAGCCGGTCCGATCATCCGGGATTCGCTTTCAACCGATGTAGGGTCAAAATCATCCAATATTATTAACACTCCTGCGCATTGGAGTGCCAAGAATTTGTTTTACCGTCTTGTTCTCTTGGTTATCTTTCTACCGGTGGGGGTCTGAGGTCCTGAGGGCGCCTCAAGGCAACAATCGACACGGATTTCCGGGCAGCATGGATAGATGTGTTTCAATCTTACTTAGAGTGGCGGTAGGAGGGAACCCAGGTATATCTCTTTCTTGGGTTATTTATGATGTGAAGCGTCATGCAGTCCCGCTCATAGTACGCCTTCCTCTTGAAGCATGCAGAAGGGCCAGCGTAGTAAGAGATTTTTTTAGTCCCCGATTGGTCTCTGTCCCTGTGTCTGCGAACGTCCACGGAATGTAAATGCCGGTGAAGAGCAGCTCTTACAGCTCCCGGATCCTTTCACCGAAACGCCTCTTGCCTTAGATCTCCAATGTCTATGTCCGGATGGGATGACAAACTGCGGTCTCGAGACTTGCCAAGTCTTACTCGCACCCGTGTGGCGCAATAGTATGTCCAGTTACTCCCCCTGATACCTCGACGCCTTGCTCGACTCATAGTTTCATCCTAATGCTTCTGAGCGTTGGGATCTGCACAAGGGCAGGTCCAAGCTCGTCTCCCTCCCTGCGGATTTATCGTTGTTTTTGTTTCCAATTGACGTTGACAACCCTGACGTCTCTAAATGAAGAGTTCGAGAGATGCTCTTGTTTTGCTCAATTCGCAGTGTCCTGCCCACTCTCTAGGTCTTCTGTGGCCACCGTAAGCTCTATCTGGTGGGGCATTGTCGATATTTGGATTTGTGGCGACCACAATTGTGGAACAAAGCCAATACGGGACTGTCAAAGTTCTAATACAGGACTCTGTCGATATTCTTCCGGTCATCATGATCTCATAGAATCATGTCATTTCTGGTCTGGATTCTGAAGTATTGCATCTTTGCAACTTGAAGCAAGTTTTAATATCGGGGCCTGAGCGTCACGGAGACGCCCGTGTTATTTCAGGGTCGCTAGCACGCCTCTCTATCACCAGAAGTCCTTTGGCCAGATCGCCTCACCGCTCTTCTCTATTCGGTTTGATCCACCAATTTTCTCCCAGGGTTCGTCTCTGCCTAAGTGGATGTTGTGTGGTTTGCCTCATGGCCTATGTTATCGCGACCCTTTTCTTTTCGCTGTGGCGCTACGTATTCATTTCCTGCGTTTCATACTCTCGCAACTCCTATCTACCACTGGATTGGGACAATTCGACGGCCATGTACTCAATGATGGGCGCCGCTATAGTATGATTTACAGGTTAGATTAGCTGTCGAGATTCTTTGATTAGATGAGGACGTCATTGATTCTTTCTAGGTTTGAACAGTGACTCATAGATTCAGTGTAAACCTAGTCAGCATAAGTTGTTTGTTGTCCGCATCACGGCTTACAGCCTATCATGTGAGTACATAGAACGACTCTGATCTTGGATTCTTGGCCATGGTAAATTAGTCGTGGCATATCCCAGCCAATCCCAACTGTCTGGTTCTTGGTAGCCTTATTCGTACTGTACACGCTGATGACACTCCGATTTACCATGGTTGCTCTTCCGTCATTACGAAGTAAAACACAATACTTCTTCGAAGTCGGTATTCTTGTTCTTACCAAGACATCCGGCACTGCGAGAAGCGCCGTACACGGTCACTTGGATCCCACGATACCGCAGCCGCAGGAGTTGAAGTCATCTTTCGGAAATCTTGTATCACTCTTCGCTGTGCGTTCATATTATCAGAAATCTATTTGCATACGACATAAACGAGGGGCACGCTCAAACGCATTATAGCAATCTCTCGCAAGAACCCACCGTGCTTAACATTTTTCTAGTACGAAGGATCTGGATAACAGACCGCACTACGAATGGTTCTTGGTTTCCATCACAGACTGAATTAACTGCATCTGCGCCAGGACTTTCCAATGTGCCCTATTTCCCCACCTCTACATATATTGACGAAGATACGCTCCACTGTACTATATGAAACTAGTGTCCCTACAACTAAGTAACTGATTACCCGGCGGAAGGCATGCCGCGAAACCACGGAAGAATCTACAGTATTATAATTTTACAGAGAACCGATATTATCCAAGGAATTACTAAGTAATCATAACGTTCCCAACCTACATAACCGTCTTCATTGTGGCCTGTCCGACCTTCGTTTCCCCGTCGGCAAGTATGCGACGTGCCGCCTTCCCATCTCGGTTCTTATAGAAGACTATCTCACCTTCGTCTTCGATGAAGCAGCACTGTGTGAACGTGCGATATAACGCCCGGAAAGTATTCTGATCCGAAAGAGTGAGTGAAAAGATCGGTGGAAAAAGCCTGAGTCGTACCGTTGAATCGTAATTATAGTTGTCGCCAAGAAGCATTCGGATACGCTTTGTGACCTCGGGTTGATTATAGAACGGAATGTAGGAAAAGAGGTGATGGGCAACCTAGTGAAGTTAAGAAAAAGCAATGAAACACGAGAGAACAGTAATCTCACATGATCATGGCTAACATTATGGAGGAAAACTCTACCGACCCATCCCAGAAGGGGTCTGTCAATAGTAGATGCCGCGCCACGGACAAAACTCCATGCCGCAGAGCGATAATACGGTACCGTCGGGTCTGAATGGTGGAGGTATGTCAACATAACGATCCAGTGATTAGCAAGCTATAAGGTACAAGACGGTCAGGCGATCCAACGTAAAATGAGAAAGTAAAGATGTACCAAATAAGGTACTCCATAGACTTTGACAAACTGCGAAAACCCTATCTCGCGAGCCCACAGAGTAAGGAGAAGAATGGCAACGCAAATGCCAACGTTAGAAGCGATGATTTTTTGCCGGTGCCTGGGCTTGAAAAGGGGCGAAGACGGACTGAAATGCTGGGTTACCGAGTCATGAGGAATGAAGATGTTGGATAACAATAATCGAAACTCACATTTGTTCCCTTGGGATAGCTTGGATTTCCCATCTCGTTCGTGAACAGATAGATCTGCCATCCAAGGAGTTGCATAATCAACATCTTCGAAAGGACGTAGATAGGGGCGTCTTCGAAAACCTCATGAGGATCAAGGCCAGATTTCCGCTCACCATCAGCCAAAAGACCGGGCGCTCCGTTACCACCATCTAGGGATTGAGGCCAGAGTCCATACTCGCTCCTCGACCTCGGGACATAGTTTTCATCTCTCTCTACACTCATCGGTGCCCTATGATGGCTCCGATGGGTCTCTCTCCACGCATAGTACGGCGCGAGAATAGCAGTGTGCAAAGTATATCCCACGACGTGGTTGACCCAGGAGTGCTCGGAGATCGTCCCATGGCCAGCTTCGTGGGCGAGACACCACCAGCCAGCAAGAATGACACCCTGGCACCACCAGTAGGCAGCCCAAAATGGAAACCTCAACACTGCTGGAGCAAGTGGAATAAACGAGGAGAGACGGTAAAGGATCCAAGCGGAGAGAACGTCACGGGCGACGTAAGAAAGACCCCTTGCGGTGGACTTTTTGAAAAGATGGGGAGGAAGGGCAGCATGGAGTTCGGCAAGGGTGATGTTAGGTGGTACGAAGGGAGTATTGGCGCGGCGAACATATTCCGGACCATCGATGATAAAAGTGGACAACATGACGAGTTTCTAGCTGATGCCCAGGGGAGAGGAAAGGACCCGGTTTGCGAGAGAAAGAGCCCATCCTTGACTTGTATTTATTCACAAGATGCCAAATACATTTTTGGCAGAAGCAAAGATTGGCATCAATTGCCCAAATGCTTCGCATCCCTCAGTATGGTAGGCCGAACGTCGCGGAGTACCCCGGACACCTCCGTGGTACTTTTCTTGATCTCAACAAATGAAATCCGGCGTCATTTGTTTCCGCCTCGTGTCCTTGTTCTGTGGTAATTCAGGGCCACCACGTTTGCCTACTTTTTACGAATCAGCCATCACACCATTGGAAACCGGAATCACTCGTGGGTCGACTTTTTTTCGGTCATCCCCTGACCCTCATGTTCGGTATTTTTGTCAAGTAAAATTTCAATTCAGTATCATAGTATTTTCTCATTATTTTTCTAATTTTCTGCTGGCGGGAGTGTCATACTCCCCAGAACCTCCCGGTCCCATGACCATCGGTGGCGCGCGACCCAGCTTCCTCTTCACTCATCGGTACCCGTGTAAGCACATCACCCTCGAATCTCCCGTGTAACGATGCAAACCTGACATTTGGCAGTCTGGCCTCCGCCAGCCCGTCAGTTCTGACCATCTCCCTGACAACGATCTCAAGCAACCTGCGAGCCACCTACCGTCGCGAATACGCGATGGTGAGTGGGAAGTCGCGTCCGGGATCCGCACCACGATTATGCACTGGAGAAAAGCGCATGAGTCTTCTTCCGTTTTGTGTTCTATTCGCTCCAAGACAAAAACACGACTCTGCTCAATGCCGTTTCTTCATTGATGGACATTGCTACGCCATTAGGTGCCCCCGAGTTTGCCTTTAATCGGGCGTGGACGGATGATAATGCCAGCAGATCGAGTTGCCGGAATTTGCCATATCTCGTAGTTCTAACAATGAGAGTTATTTGGTCTTTCGAACTACACATCCTAGTCACTGATCCAAAACTTCGACAGATTGTGCCCATTAGTATTGCAGTCTCGAATTTATGTCGATGACGCATAATTAACACTCGGCTTCGGGCTCGGTAAGGTACCAGTTATTGCTCGAAGTACTTTCACAATCAACTACGCAACCACCGATCAGAACACGGTCTCAAGAAGGGAAAACGAGAAGGAAGGATGAAGATCAGGAACAACCCAAAGTACGTGTTGAACATAGCACTAACAGAAAAACATGGGTTGCACGTGACCGCGCCGTTGCTCGTTAACGGAGTCGCTGTTGAGTGTTCTGGCTAGGCAAGTATTTATCCTTCTCTGTGTATATTCCACCCTCAGACGCGGTCTGTATAAAAGACATCATGGGTGAGATTGATCATGGAACCGATATCGAAGGCGTGAAAAGAATAGGCAACGGCCTATTGCAAACTTATTGTCACCAGTTGTCCTGGGACTAAACGCATCAAAAGAGGATAAGTGATACCCAGATATGAAGACAATGTATACGTATGCAGCTGAGTACAAGCGACGCAGGAATGCATCACATGTGTGTTCCATGCGGCTCGGAGGACGTCTATCCAATGTCCATTGGGAGGTACTATCAGCTTCAGAGATGGCATGAACAGGCACGTGTATCAAATCCAGCTTCACACGTACGGCTGTTTCAATGTCTGATATATTCGCACACTGTACAATGATCTATCGAAATCATGATTAGTTCTATGGCACTCCCTGCCATCAGATTCTTGATGAAAAGGCCCGGGAACTTCGTGTCGTGCATCGAGCCTAACTACGAGAACATACTAGCGGTAGTATCAACGGCCTCTATAATGAAAGAAGCTCAGTCATTGAAAACTGAAAGTAGCAGTTGCAGGACGCACAAAAAAGGCTTAGTCATCACCGCGTGTCATCGTTTCCACAAAGTTCCAACACAGTTCGAGTGGAGTTCCACTACATTGCCGCCTTTACAACCCGAATGGTGGTGGCCTTAAAGGCCACAGTTAGTCTCGTGACGTTTTGTCACGGTATTCGCTTTTTTTTTGCATCAGGATCTGTCATGATTGAATGAACAATTAGTAAGGCTGTATTCAGTATCGACCGCGCTAGAAGGCCCATATCGATCAGGGGGGTCCGCTTAATGTAGGAAACGAGATGCACCACTGAAGTAACATCAGCCAATAGATCCTCAAATCGTATAGTTCCCTCATGCAGCGACTCAGAGTATAATAATTGGAGTTCACGTGTGCTGGATATGTATCTCGGGAGAGCCTACAGTCATTTTCTGATAAATGTTAACGGTCGTGCATATTTCAGGCTGTGCAATGTGCTAAAGCTTCTGAGAGTCCTATGCAGTATGATTCTACTTTTTCTTCCTCTAATTCACAACCGTATATCTAATAATATTCACAGTTGCCGCCACTTCAGCCCAGCCGTTCCACCAGTACATTGCCATGAACTTTTTACGATTTGGAGTTTCATATCCTACCCTGACCTTGTACTGATCCACCGAGAGCCTTTTCTAGAAGGCAATTTTCAATTACGCTCCCGGAGACCTGGATCTTCTGAGACCACAGAGAACTGGAGACCACTGTTGTAAATCGCTATGAATTTCACCTGCAAGTTTAACGCGTCAGAGCCTAGCAAGTTAATTATTTGCTAGATTTTCCCTTGAAGACAAGAAGTGGAAGATTCTCAATGTACCCATGGGGACGCTCCTGTTTAGTCCAAGTCAAAATTCTTCATCCCTCCTTCACTCTGTCGATAACGAATTCCTCCTTTATTGGCCCTGATGATCTTTTCTCACTATGCTGTGAACAGAGCCTTTAGGTATCTGATTACCTAGGCTATATCCCTGAATCGCTCAAGCTGGCCCTGATTATCGATCGTTGCGCAAGGCTTACAATTGAGTCTTGAATACCAGTATGTCCACGAGCCCGAAGTCCGTTACACGGCACTGTTATTATTACAAATATGAGTCATCGCACTTTGGGAAGAGGCACAAGATGTAACTCGCACCGTACGCCTTGCTCGTGTCTATAATTCGTCATCGCAGGTACCATGCAGCAAGACGTTTATCCTTACGGCGTATTCGGCTTGTACCTTGCTCTCTTTATCAGTTCCACTTGATCAGATAGAGTCTTAAACATACTCGAGGACTAATTCAAATTCGTGGATCCAGAAGCTCATCTATTATCAGCGCCTTGGATATAACTTTTGGCTTCACGAAAGCCGTGCGAGGACGTTTCGCTCACGTTGCCACATCGGCTGCACTTTAAATTACCAGCTGCCGATATTATCCTTCACCCCATCTAATCTACACTGCTGGAGATCAAGCTCCATGCGGGAGTCCACCTACTCTGCGCTTACACCGGTACAGGACTCACCAATTGATTCTTGAATGGGAGGATGCGACGGTTATCAAATTGCGACAGTTTAACTGCGACCTCTGTCACCGCTCTCGATGCTCTCTGTTCGAGTCGTACAAGCTTTTTAGTGATCCCCGGCTTCACCCATATTGGGAGATCATCGTTTATTGAATCCCACCTGACAGACGGGGACCAGATGCCATTTTACGCTTGATTTGCTTCCGCTGTGACAGAGGATTCGAGGGTGAGAGTGTGGATTCCATGCTGATTTGGCAGGTGTGAATTTTCAGATAGACGCGCTCGACATCTGGCTCTTACTTGTCTAGACTTCACCAGCCATGGTGCATTTGAACTAACTTAGTGCGTACTCGAGCACTTTGGGTCATAAGTGACTTATTCCGCTTCAAGGTTACGCATTTTGTCTGTAACGATTGCTTATGTTGGATTGGCGAGCGCCACTAGTATGTACTATGCACCCCGGGTAATAAGCGTAACGTTGGGACTTCACAGAAGGCAAGTCAAGATTGATGAGATGGAGGATTACGCCCAATGTATGGTGTCAAAACGCCGCCAACGAAAAATACGTGTTCTTACACTAAGATCGAAATGCATTATGTACCGTAAATCCGCTGGCGGACATGTGTTGACCAAAAATTATAAGCATCTATGGTAAGCGTCGCATTATGAGAGTTCTTTCTGAATGACGCAAAACGCGCGCTTGGTTTCGTCTAGACATATTATATAACTATGTAATGTTTCCAAGAAAAAAGCATGAATATGCAGCCAACAATCCAAATACCAAGTCTTTCTTTCCCATCTTAAATCTCATCTACGGCCCTAACGACTGCATGCCCCCGCTTGTCCCGGTAGAATAGAACATCGCCTACATCAGATTAGCATCGGTCAATCGTCGACTTGGATTCAACTGACCTTCATTCTCCACAAATTGACACTTATTATAGCTATTCCAAAGCGCTTCCCAAATCGGTTCATCTGACCAGCAATAGTGCTCGCCCAAAAAAGCCTTTAGATGTTTAGTTGCAGCGGCGCCATGGTAGTAGGGCATTTTCGGAAAGAACTGAAAATTTCTAAGCATCCAGATGCGTACTTAATGACAGAACGACGTACGTGATGCACAACATGATAGTGTGCCACATCATGTAAGAACCATCTACCCATCCAGCCTAGGAATGGTCTGTCGACAGTGGCTGCCGCACCGCGCGCAAAGGTCCACTGCGCAGCACGATAATGCGGGAGTACGGGGTCCGTGTGGTGTAAGTATGTTATCATGATGACTAGGAGGATATCATGTCGGGACAATCGAGCGAAAAATGTGGAAGAAAAAAGACATACACCAGTGGGTCACTTCTAGCCAAGGAATTCCGTATAGTGCAATAACGTTCCACCATCCCCACTGCCTAACGGCAGCACTGACGATGAAGAACATACTCCCAATACCGATGTTTGATAGAATGACCGCATTACGTTGTTCGGGCGTGAACAATATGGAAGACGTCGAGAAATGGTTTGTATTTGGGGGATAGTCTGGCTGTCCAGATACGTTCGTTACTAAACGAGAAGTGAGATGATAGTGAGAAACCAAGTCCGGGAGACCTTACGGAGATAGGCTGGAAACGCAAGGAGTTGCTGTCGGATGAGCATCATCAAAGTCCAGATGGGCGTATCACCAAAATAATCATCCCAATCTATACCATGTTCCTTCTCCTGCTCCTTCGACGGTATCCCAAGAATTGACCGCGTCTTCGGGACATAGACCTCGTCGCGTTCCATGCTGGCATGGTTCATGTGGTGCCTATGATGACTTATTTTCCAACTGAAATAAGGAGTCCATAGCAACGTGTGCAGGATATATCCCAGCATGTCGTTAAGCCATGCATACGGGCTGAACGCGCCATGGCCACATTCGTGACCGAGAACCCATACTCCGGTTAAAACAAGGCCCTGGAACCACCAGTACGCGAGCCAGGCAGCGGCGCGTATAAGGGGGGAATATATGTCAAGCGGTGCCGGTAAGTGGACAGAAGGTATGCGCAGAGCGAGATAAAAGAAAAATGCGGTGGTTATGAGGTCGCGTGTGAGAGTTAATAGTGCACGTGTAGTCGAGAAGACGAAGAACTCGGGAGGAATGGCTGCTCGAATCTGGGAGATGGAGTAAGGAAGGGGGGTGAAAACTGGGAGTTTCCTTCCCTCAGACTCGCAGTGCTTAGTCTGAAGGCTCGTAGAAGAAAAAGTGGTAGACGAAGGGGCCATCTGGAGCTGGGAAAGCCGTATCCATGTTTCGTTCTGAAGTACTCTTTTTATTCGGTGAGGGACGCTGATAGATCATAGATGCATGTTTTTCGACAAGACAAATCGGTCCTTCAATATCTGAAATTAAGAATGAAAAGAACAAACAAGGTGATCGGGGTCCTACGTTGATGGACCCTTATTTCCATGTTTCCCATTATCTTATCTCCGAATTTTTTTAAAGTGGTCTTCCGTTCCGAATACAGCCTTCTTGAAGCCCTGACTGGCCTGACTGGGTCCGGTATCCGTGCCATCGTAAGTCACGATGCGAAAAACCAAGGAAAAATGTCAAGGCATAAACGACTTTGATCCCTTGAATTTGATGTGGCTCAAAACTTAATATCGAGTTCCTCTGTGGTACATATGTCATGCAACTATTTCACTAACATATCGTCCGTAACGTCGGAAAGGATCCGAAATCCATTCAGTGTACCCGGCATTTGAACTTCTACAGATTCCGGGTGGCCTTCGTCCCGGAAATTCACTGAGTTCTGATTGGGAGATTAAGCAGGCTGCGCCGTCCTGAAAGCCTAAGAAAAAGTGGATCGAAGACGAACTCGAATCTTCCCAGGTTCGGTTCACCCTTACTACTGCCCTTTTGATCTCCGAACTTGAGTCCAAAATGTACGAAGCTTGATAGCGATCTAGACTCTTGACTTCGTCTCATTCGGATAGGTGCTGTCGAAATCTTCAATCTCTTTATTGACGGCTGCATTGTTAAGCAGTCAAGTACATTGCAGAATACAAATTTGGTAGTACATACATCGTCCAGCTGAAGTAAATCGACATATTGTCACCTCCGACGTTCCTCTGAAAATGGCCTATAAATCAACCTGAAATCCGATAACCTGTGGAAGGTAGGCCAAACCAGCTAAATCAAGAACATGCACATCACAATAGCCAGTCTTAAAGTCGTGTCCTCCAAAGACAAATAGCCGGCTTTCATCAAGAACAGCTGCATGATATCCCCGCTGACTGGGCGGAGTTCCACATACATGTCGTTTCTCGTACCGCATTTCGTCTAAAAATAGAGATTACTTTTGTGTGGCATTGGAGGTGATAGATGAAACGCACGTATATTGAAGGTGAGCAATTCGGAAGTGTGATCATTCCCGTCGTGGCCGCCTTGTATGAAGAGATAGGATCCAACCAGCGTGGACGTGTGCGCGAAACGAACATGTAGATTCCTTTTTGGTATGTCGATGGCATGCCATTTTAGATCTACTAAACAACGACACTCATGGATATCGAACGACCCTCGGAAACAAAAAACAAACACGTACCAAAACTAAAGAACCATATATCCCACAAACAGGCTCTTGACTGGGACTTCCCTCCAATGACAATCATGTATTTCCCCGCCAAATTGGCGGTATGATACCCCCTCGCGCAGGGTTCTTCTTTTTCTTGAGAGCCATCTGTCGTTATCAGTTTCCATCGCATGTTATTCATGTCCGAAACGTCCAGGGTCCATAGATCGTCAAGTGCACCAGCTCCGGTTCCTCCGCCAAATATCCAAATCTTCTTATCGTACAGCACGGCAGAATGAGCTCGCCTTGGGGAGGGTTCACGGCCCATGATGACCGGACGCGACCACTCACGCATAGTCGTGTCAAAGACATACACATGATTGAAACATGTCTCGTCGTCACCACCTCCGAATATGACGATCTTTCTACCGACGCGAGTGGCAGTATGTCCGCCAAGCGGCGAAGGAGGGCTGCCCACCGTATCGGGTCGGGACCAGTGCATTGTATCTACAGCAGATCTAATCAGCTGAACTGACGGGATACAAATATGACGATGAGCGTCATATCATACCTGTATCAAAATAATATATATCGCTTGTTCCAACACCCATATGGTAGCCACCAAAAACCCAAGCAACATTATCTAAGAGGGTCACAGAAGGTCTTCGCATCTTCGGAGGGAACGTTCCGTATACTGGAGCGCGGCTCCAGTGCATGACCGCACTTGGAGCATCTTTTGCATCCTTGTCGTGGGATAAGAGGGGAGAACTCTGCATTTTTGGATAAGTGCCACTCCAGGAGTTGGTGCTGTTCTTAGCAGTATCTCCTTCTTCCTCTGGCTCCGCAGAAGATATCGTAGACGCCTTCATTGATGAATGTATCGGTTCCGATGAGCCAGACGAAGCACGAGCTATAAAATTTGATGTTCCAGGGGATAGCTTTCGCGAACTTCCGAAGTAGCTCGAGGAACTGTTTTTCAAACTTGCGAGACGTACTGCCTGCCTTAAGGAACCAAGGTAGGACCGAGAGGGAGGGGATGATGTTTTCTCAGGAACAACATGAGGATGGCGAGAAGTCATGTTGTACCGTGAGTAATAGAACCGTGAGTAATAGAACTCGATGATGCCTTCGATGGTCGTTAATCACCATCCTGAAAGAAGCTTTCAAACGGCTCACCTGCGCACGTGCCCAACCCTAGTTTTCCATTACTACCTTCTATTTCAATTGTTCGAATTCGACAAGAAAGATATCGGCTATTACTCAGTACTTGATACAGGTACTACTTCGAACCATCAAACCAGCTTGGTCTTGTTCGCTTACCGGCAGGCATCGTGTTTGACTGTCTTCAGTCGTCCACCTTGAGGCCCAAGTTACCATCCTTTATTATCGAACTAGTGATAGAAGAGGGCAAAGATCTCACCAAGAACGGACAAGCCGAAGATCCGAAGAACGAGGACGTCTCAGCACTGGGATCACAGCACCGCATGAGAGATTCCCCCATTGAGTATCTCCTGCAAGGTAATTGTCTCCGGTGAACTGCGATTTTTCAACAGAGATCAAGTTGTCGTAAATAACGTTACCGACAGCTGTCTGTTTTTGCGTCTCGTTGTTTGCGGACAATATGCAATATTGCACTTTGTTGCGAAGCTAGACGTTCCCAGGACCAGTGGCGTGGAGATCAACTGCGTTCAATTTACTCTTGGTGGCCGGAAGGTAAAGTAAGGAAGGGTTTACCTTGGTCAGCATCATCATGCCTACACAGTTGTTGAGTACGCATCCATTCCGTTCCAGATCCAAAACACGTACGAATTGTCTGCACGGCCCTCGTAGAAAGTACTTCTTTGGAAAACTTGGAGCCTTCCGAGTAAACTGGACAAGCGGACTAACCTCGATCAAATTGAAGTACGCATCTGAAAACAACACGGCATGTCAACGGATATTCGGTACGATGTAGATTTAGAGCGTACATGAGGCGTGGAACGCCATGTCGTTGTAGCACTGCCAAGGCTCCTGTGAAATTAATGAGGGCGGGTATCAAATACGGCCAACTATAGATTACCGATGGAATTGTAAGATGACACTATGGTTCGCTCCTCGTTGCAAAAGTATATGGTGGCGTAGATTCTAGGTCTGTCGGAGAAAATAAACTTGAAAAAACGTCCAAATATTTTTGAAAATTAGTTCCGACGTTGTTGTCCATCACACGGACGCCTGTAGACAATTGGACATTGAACCATAGTCATAATCCACCTTTATTGGCGTAGAAACCATGAGCACAGTTACGCTCAACGACTATACCGAGAACAAGCACAGTATCAGCATGACTACGTTCGCTGTTAATGGAATGATTGTCGGTGTAGAAGGCGTTTGACGCCATTCTAAATGCGCCATTGCTAACATCCTGCACCTCCGATTCATTAACGTGTTCAATATGTACTCTTTCACTATGAAAAGCATTTGTTAGACCAATTGACACTGCGCAGGGAGAATAAGTAGTGGCGCAGACCTCCAACGTTGAACCCAACATTCATCGGCCTAACATACGGATCCTTCCCTTCTAAACACGCCAAGCCAACCGGGAAACGTGAGTAAGCGTATTTTCCTAGGTAGACTCCACGAGCAATATTTGCGATTCGATGAGAGTACCTCATGCTTGACGACCTGCGTTTAGAAAAAGCAGCACTACCTCACCAACCTCTATGTCACTAGATTCGCTGACATTAACAGAAGTAGCGCTTGGAGAAACAGAACCGTTATTGGTCTTCCTTCTGCGCTCCAACTGCCAACGAAACGGATTTCGGCATTAGCACTTCCATTCGCGGTGATAAGGAATTTTGGCTTTAAAAGACCGGCACCCTAACGCATCTGCTAAAAAAACACAAAGTATTATAGAAGCCGTACGCGAAGGATAAAATCGGAAGATTGCTGATGAAGCAATGAGATCAGTGCGATTGGTCGGAAACATGAGCCACACAATTTTCGGCGTAGTGTTGAAATAATAGATTCTTGCCAGGAAGACCGACACGCGCCTTGTTGAAGTAGATACGTATCCAAAATATCTGCGATAGCTACAAAGGTGTCGATGCTATGGTCATCCACAGGAAGCCAAATTTCCGTTACATCAGCTTCGACTGCAAACGCTATTACGTCCAGTTCGCTGCCATTGGAGTGCATTCCTATCCAAGTCCGAAGGATCTGACCACACTGTGTCTGGAAAGGCACCGGAAGGCACATATTAGTCCGCTGAAGTTTGAACGTGAGCTACAGAAACACGTAAATTGGTAGCGGTGGATACGCACAAGTGGTAGAAATACTGCCGGATTCGATAGCTCGGGTCCTGAGCTTGTTCCTAAACATACTGCAGCCACAGCGAGAAAGGACACAAAGCAGAGCAAGCGCATTACTGTAGCTGATCTTGGAGGGCTTAATATGACTGAAGACTTTTTAAATGGCAGACAAGCAATAAATCAAACATTAAACCTAGAATCTTGTGCATGGCAGACCTGTGAAGGTGAAGCGGATGGAGCGCTTAATTATATGCCACTTTCTAGTAAAGCTATCATAGAAGTCGCCTACCGGCATAGGTTTGACGCAGCTTGCTGTAGCCTGAGAACTTCATTTGTCCACCAAAACGTCTGGTGCTGGGCTTGGGCCTGCATCCCAGGTTGAATATGTTCATCATGCTCAGGTTTCAAAGGCTGACAACTTGAGACCAGAGCGCAGACTACAAGTACACTGTAGCTATGCAACTAACTGGTGGCAGCCCCCTGCGTGAGTCCAGTGAGTCACTGCGAATAGTCTGCCACATGGCTCTAAAAGCAAGGGAAAGGTGAAAAATCCAACAGATGGATGTGGCTCCTGATAAAGACAAAGGGCTGCATCAATGAAGCTGCTGAAGCGGCGGAGGAGATAAAGTCGGCGGTGAAAAAAATTGATGCTTAGGTAAGATCGCAGAACAGATTTAGAAACTGCATTGTCACGTTTGAACCGCGGTTCAGTGTGCTGCTGATTTCAAGTCAGAAAGTAGTAGTGGTGTTGTCAGGCTCCACTTCCATTATTAGTTGTTCCTGTCAATGATGGACCCAGTTAACAGCGTCATCACGTTAAGACTCTGCTTATAAGTTATTCCATGTATAAGGGATGTCGGTAAGCCCACCAGGAAGGACAATGCTAACACAGTCTGTCCGTTATTCGTCGTTAGCAATGGTATTAAGGTGGGAGATTGGCCTGAGGGCAAATATTATTTAATTCACCAAGATGCAAAAACATATACAAAGCATGAAGGACCTGGCATGGTGACGCTCTGTACTATGAGCAAAAGGGAATAACGGGGCCCGGAGCATCGCATTTTTGCAATTTTCAAACGCCAAGAAGTAGCGTAATCCTAACCAGTAACATCCCCGCCATGCTAATACTACCAGCTTTCATCATTGAATCCGCCGTATTGGGTTCAATCGTCGTCGTAACCAGAGGTCCATTACAATCAAATCTTAAATCCAAGAGTTTCCTCCTCTTCTCCGGCCAATGTGGTGGGATTTGCATATCACTGTGGTTTCCTTTAATGTGTCGTTTGGGTTGACATTAACTCCCGAGAAGCTGAGGTTCAGTGCTTGTCATGAGATGATAGTAAGAATGAAGGGTATAACAAAGAATTTCGGGACCATGGGGTTACCTGTACCCGGGCAGAGATCGAATATGATAGCCTATGCTGCGTCGCCACCCTCGACGTAACTCCGACATGGATCACTTATGCATGTGCCATCAGTTATGACAGATACCTCAGAATTGAGCGCCGGAGGAGATAGCTCGAAGTATTATTTGTCACGTACTCCAATTCTCAGTCAACGTGCCTGTAAAATTTTTGCAAGTGAAGTTTGAAATCTGTGTGCTCATTTGGTTAGTTTCTCCGGACGGGGGCCCTTATCTTGATCGTAATAGCTATACGCTATTGCCAGCGTACGACCGAGAAGAAGGATGTCTTCCTTACTTCTGTGTGATCAAAACACGCGTTGAGACACCTTCGAGGGCAATGTTTTCCCATGTCACCTTCGTTGCGTGTCCCCGACCAGTCCAACTTTGAACTGCGATACGAAAGTCAATGACACGTTTATCATACAAGCATTTGATGGCCTCATGCGGGCACCGTACACCGCTCCCTCCATCTTTTTTTTTTGTTTTCAGCACTTGATTAACCGCAACAAGTAACCTAACTACTAAGACGCGGTGGAGATACAGGTCCTCAGGATCCTGTCTCCCTCTTGTTCCGGTCCCTCCGCTCTTCCTTCCGAGTTCCCCTGGTGTTTTGGCGTGTAATGTGGAGTAGAGGAACGGAAATGTATGGTACTTTGCGCCCCCGTAGTGGGCTAATTGATTAGTTTGATTCTGCGGTTGGCCGAAGCCGTGAGGTGCTTTGCGATCGTGTCTTGGGTGCCGGCTAGGTTGGTCGTGTTCCATGATGTGGTGGGTGCGCGGCGGCTATCCATGCTCGTCTTCTGTGTCGCCCTCGTCTTCTTCCCACCACTTTCCCTCTTCTTCTGGCTCTGGGGCGAGCCTCTCGTTTCGTAGTTGTCCCGTCCGGGTGAACGCTCCTGTGGTTTCCATGAACTGGCTCAGTGCTGTGATTCCTTCTTTGGTGCCGAGGATGTCCGGTAGGTACATGGTCCTTGACACGTTCCGAAGGGTCCCCCGTTGCTCTTCATAGAGGGGGCATTCATGCAGGATGAAACGTCTCTCCACAAGGGCAGTCAACGTCCTTACTTGGCACGAATTGTGAGTAATACTCGCCTAACCCCTCCCTCCATCGTCCACTTCCCGAATACGACATTTCCCACACTCTGTACAGCACCATTTTTGTCCTAGCGAGCCTACAGATAATTCGTGAGATGAGAATCCGTACAAAGCCGCTTTATGCAGGGACGTTTCTTGCGCCATTGACAACCGAGACACAGTCGTCGCCATTGTGTCCGTAATAGCTGAGAAGTGCACAGAAGTCAACGACACGGAACTTGAAATACTACAAGCCTTCGCATACCCATCAATGGTGATATTTTGACCCGATACATTGATACTGTCTTTAGATAGAGCGGTCCCATGTATGTTGGTATTACTAGGAGTGAGATAGCATGTTTCAACGCTCACGTGTTGAAAGGAAAACTCTAATAGAAAGGATTAAGAAACGAAGTGACGAAGCAAGGGCCCCTTAAACTTACGACGGTGACATCTCACCTCCCGTTATCTGGCTTCGCATCCAGAAAATTATTCTCGAAGCATACATTTTGGCCAGGCAGGTTTCAACCTCAAGCTATAGGCTTGATGATCTTGGGACCGCGTAAATGCCCATTGGTAACATTGAACGACGTCACCAGTTGAGGCCGGAGTGCCTGAAACACCGCATCAGAAACGCCTTGGCGAGAAATTTGCCCTGCCCGGTTTCCAGCATCCCACCACTGTTGTCCGAAGCCATTGAATCTTCCCCATTCGTCGCTTTTGGATCCGATAAGCTGCACATCGGAACCACTGAAATAGAACCATGGCGTCGCATAAGTCTGGGCAATGAAACGGTGTTAGCGGCGAATATCTATAAAGCCGCGCGCGTACACTCGGTGGATTGTTCGTGGAGTTGATGGCTTGTCGTACTTGAGAGATATTATTGGGAAGGCTGAGTTTCCATTCAGGTGGATCATGACGTTTTCTTGCCAAGATGGTAAGGAACATTAATAAACCTTGACGGTAATAACTATTACTGTGATACGCACTCGAGCCCATAAACGACATTGGGGTAAACGCGCTGTAATTGGCTTCGATGAAGGTAATCACCGAATCCTTTTAGTTCACAAACGCTTTCAAAATAAACGCTGAGTCATTTGTGCCATGGTCACTACGCTCGACAGCGCATTCTACGTCCGACTGCTGGATATTGTAAGTGCCGCAATGACTGCAGAGAAGGCGAACATGGTGATCATTTTTTGCGACATGTCAATGATTGATATCCTTCCTTCATAGGCTTCGAGGATAGAACCAGGGATTCTCCGCGATTGCTGCTGGAATAGACAGACAGACAGATGGTACAGAGAACATCACCTGAGAAACGGAGAAAGCGGCCCGGAAGACATCGTCGGGATTTGACGGAGGGAAAGGGTCATAAGACCGTGTCGCCAGGAACATATGGAGTCCACGTGAATAACCAGAGGTAACCCTGACCCAAGGTGTGAAGATAGCAAGGCAAACTGCCTCTGTTTCCTGGCCTTCGGCGAGTAAATCGAAAGAGATACCGGAATTGAAAGACCGTAAAGAAACCTGACCCAGGGTATGCATCACTTGGGCGCTTAGTAGAAAATCCGGCACCAGCTAGGCAAATGGATCGATGAAGGACCATGACTTGAACATTGATACGACGAAATTTATGTTATTGTCAATACGCATTGTGGGGATTCGACTGAATATTAAAAAGTAACGAGCTCGTTGGTGTAGAAAGAGGCGTTATTTGGCAGAGAGAATTTGGGGGCACAGCATTCGGCAACTCGGCGATCAAACGCGCTGCAACCGCATGGACCTGGTCGGCCAGCACATCCGTTGTCTTTCCCTCCCGCCACCACCAAGCACCATTGTTTTTGGTTCGTTAGGATTGGCCATAGTGTGTGAAGACATATAAGAACCACAGATTCTCTTGCATTGTATCCACCTTCAAATCCTCGCTACAAGAGCTCCCCAAGATTCAAGTTTCCCCATAGCCACTGCGTCTCTTTATTCCAGTAAGTCTCCAGATGGGAATCAAGGAGCCTTGACTGACATCTTTGAAGTTTTGAATTTCAGAATGCCTAAGAGCAGTCGCTTCACGCAAAGCCAGAGCGCCAGGCCCTGCCCGTATAGCAGGCCGAAAGACGTCACACCTGAGCCTGAGAAGACCAGTGGCTGGACAGGATCCCCCAAAGATCTGTACAAAGCGCTCTCTCAAGAATCTCCCCAGGGAAGAACGTTATCCCGCCGATGCGAGAAGTTGAGGAAGAGATATTGTCGCGTTGTTGGGCCTGTAGACGAAGATTATAAGCCCATCATCGACCCCCAGCCTTTCCTCCTTGAACATCATCAAACTTCTCGCACGATTGGGGTCCTCATCCAGAAGTCGGAAGAGAACCCTAATAAGACGCTCCTCCTCACCTCAATCACCTACAAGGATTTGCTCGAAGTGCAGGAGACAAGCCAGATCGCCAATTTTCTGTTCCGGTCCCGACCTAGACCATTGCGACTTCGCGACGTCACGTCCATCGAATTCCATGATTGCGAGATGGACGCCGTTCTCGCGCATCTGTCGTGCACGCAATTACGCAGGGCAGTGATATCGGGTAACTGTGACTCATCGAGCGGTATCGAACCCGTTCTAGCCACAAGCGGTATCCATGCCTTGAAGTTCTCTTCATGCACGAACATCCCGACTTTCTTGCGAGTCTTGGATATGCCTTCCTTGCGTCATCTGTCGCTCGAAGTTAACGTGGCAAGCTATGGGATCCGAGAGATCCAAAGCCGAGTGACACAATATGACTGGCTGCCTTCTCTGGCGGGCCATCGACTTCATTCGCTCGTCCTGAGTAAGATGCCTTCGCACGACCTGTCACTGATGCAGGTGCTCACAGAGCTGCCTACACTAACCCGGCTTGTCGTACACGAGGCATCGTATAAGCTCGATGGCTACCAAGGATATATGCTGTCATACAATCTCTTGCGAGACCTGACACGCACGCCCCGACTGATTGATTATAGTCCAAGATATCCCATGTTGCCAAGGCTCAAGCACCTCGAGCTAGTGTGGACGAGTGAGTATCATTCCAGAGATGGTAAGAGACTTGAGGGCCCGCATACGGAGGAGATGTATCTAGTACGGAACATGACTGCGTATGAGGGGTTCGTCACGGATATGATTGAGTCTCGTTGCTTCCGGCCAGAAGGCGATAAGGGTCGATCGCTGCAACGTTTGGAATCTGTCGCGGTTGGGTGTCGGCAGCTCTTTGGGATTGATGAAATGGACATCATGACATCGCCCACTCGTGAATATCTGAATAACTTGCCAGCAAGGTGCCGGGAGAGTGATCAAGAATACGAGATGTCAGTGACGATTATCGTTCCAGCTTAGTGTGAATCCGTGCATATTATACCTCTTTTTCTTCCAGATAGGACCATGTATTGAAGACAAGTAGGACTTTCTAGTGTATTGTCAGTTACTTGTGGAACATTCGGTAGAGCATCAATAAAATAGGAACCTCTAACCAGGAATGAAGGCTTTTATTCAGTGCCCTGCACGACAAGCTAAGCAGTTGCGCTGGGTGAATATTGCTCGTAAGAAACCAAAAGTTCTTGAAACACTGCAAATACACGCGAGAAGACGAATATCCGATGCCACCTGGATACTATGTTAGCGTCGTCCAAGTAGACAAGAAAACGCACCCTGGCACCGCCTGTGGGGTAATTTAACAATCCAGATATGTCGGTTCATGCAACACATGCACGGCAAGCCATCTCCAGGATCCTTCAAAACGAAAGGGCAGGCAAGCCTCAGAACCAGTATGGGTGATGGGTGCATCGCATTCGAAAGATATGACGCGTTGTAGTTCCGATATCAACAAGTTTCTATGCATCATCTTTGCTGGAAATTTCCATGCATCGTCAAGATATACCGCTGACCACGAGTAAAGATTGGGCGAGTTCGTTGCTGCCGACGCTGACAGTTTCGGAAAGACGCGCATCAAGCTGAGACAATCATGACGTGCCTCTTGTTTTCTTTTCCCTTCTACCACTTTTCCCAGCTCCTGTATTTAAATCTCGCTAGTCTTTTGCCATTTAAGCTGTAGCCGCTGAAATCTGGCATGTCTTGTGTGTAGTTTCTAACTTCCACAACACGATATGCTCGCGACAATGTTTGAACAAGCTACGATGGACGCAGCGCAGTCCGGGCATTAGGGACGGAAAAAGCAACATGACTGCCGTGACTCCTGGTGAGTAAAGTCCTTTGCTTTCAAATCAGGTCTCATAGCCCTCTAGAGGCATCCCACGCGTTGGTTCCTCCGCAGTGGGTATCTCTGTCCAGGTAGATTTGTACCATTCTTCTGCAATATATCGACATCAACACTATTTGAAAGCTTTTCTACACATGCGATGTCAACTACCCAGAGGTAGCGCAGCTACATATCGTTCGGACCACGGTCAAATAACTAGACTCGCTAACGAAACCGACGCGATGACCCCAACTAGAAGATGGCGAAGAGCACGCACGTTGAAACACGGGGCTCTTCACCATTATAAAAATGCGAAGGTATGGATAACGGCGAGTTGGACAAAGATGATGCTCAAACAACCTCACAGCTGAGGGACGCAATATGACTTGAAGTACGGTTTTAGCCATCATCCCATCCCCATCATCGCCGTCACTACCATCGCCACTGCCATCATCGTCACCGTCCCCATCGTCATGACCCCGTCATTCGCGACTTGACCGCCAACACCGCTAGACAAGCAAGTCAGAATCCCACTGATCCTATCCAATACAAACGCCTGCGTATCGGCATCCACATCGCCTTTGGTTGATGCATTGAAAACGCTCACGCTGGAGAAACACCCCTGCTTCACCACGTTCGACTCGGCAGGCAAAGTTGTATTTCCACACCATTCCACATCTGTCGCGCCTTCGTCCTCATTGATCCTAGACAACACAAAGCTGAAATTTGACACATCTGGACAATTGTCCGTTGCAGGATAATTCACGTTGACACTGACATTCGGTGGGAGAATCGTTCCCTCAGCTGCCGTCAGCGCCTGCACGAAGTGGACGCTCAGAGCGGCGTATGTTAGTGCGGCGAGGGTGTCAACTGAGTCTGGATTAGATTCGAGGGTAGTGTAAGACACTTGGGAAGCTGTTGCTCCGGAGAAGGCGATAGAAGGGATACCCTCGCGTGCTGCTTCACATGCTGTGCCGCTATGCAATAGTGATCATGAGAAGAGACGACGGGAACGAGATCATATGGTTTAGCGGGGATTCATGCGCTGCGTGGGAGAAAGATATACTCACACTGTCCCAGAGATAAGGACGGTGGACCCCAAGTTATCTGCGTAAGAACGTTAGCGGATGAAACAATGTTTATATGCTCGTGTACTTCCGACATTTGGACCACTGACGACAAAATCTGGTGCACTGCCGTTGAAGAACTTGGGTGCGAGTGTCTGGATTCCATACCGGACCGAGTCGACGGGGAACGCATTGACGTAGTTCAAATGAGCTGCGTGCCAGTCAACCTCCGAGAGCCTTAGAGGAGCGGTATTAACTCACGGTCGGACGCATTGAAGCCCTCTGCGGGAGACCCAGTTGGACATGTATCATACTCGCATGGGGACGTAAGCACCGTAGCTGCTGCGGTAGAAGAGCCTGTACCCGACTCGTTTTCCGCTGGGCATGAAAGCACGACCTATTTGTTACACATTCAGCCGTTCATGGAGCTATCTCGAGAGAAAGATGACACCTACATCATGCCCTGCAGCCTTCAATGCATTGTTCTGGGCTCGGACCAATGCCACGGCCCAGCCATCGTCGTTCGTCAGGACAATATTGCTACCCTGGGCGGCCTGTAGGTAGAGGAGAGCGAAGAATGCAAATTTGAACATGGTAGAAGACGAATGGGACTGGGTGCTTTGCTGTGGCTATTGTTAGTAGTGCTTTGTCCCATGATATCATATCAAGCTGCATGTGGTTTGCTCCCGACGATAAGGTCATATGTGTTCGTTGAAAGAGCCGCTTCGATTACGATACTTGAACTTGCCACAAAGGCGCCGTCCATCTCTCCAGTTCTTTTGATAGAAGAGAAGAAGTCAATGGCTGCCTCCGGTTTTAATTTTTTTTTACCTAGTCCAATCATTTGTTCCGACTGTCGGTATTTCTGCTAGGATTACTTCGAGCGTTAGTGTCGTGCTTCATAAATTGTATCGTTTGGTCACGAACATGGGCATCAGTACTGCTAATCCTCTCCATGCAAACGACGGTTTTCATGGCGCAGTACACACGGAATGATTGAGAGGCTTCGGTACTAGAAGCTTTTGAACCCGGAGCATCTTGCTGTGTCTTCAGACTTGTTGACTCTGGCAATTTTCATCAGTTACTCCATCCTTTTGCACAAATGGATAAGCTTTGTCAGTGTATAGACAGAATGGAATATCACACATAACTGCGTCTTTTCTGCGCTGCTCCTTTCTTACTCACTTGATGCGCTTTGGAGGAAGGTCGGTCCGACATCCGACATTCTAAAAGCAGACATGGTCTGTGCTCAAAGTTCGGAGGTACAAAAGGCGCACCCTGACATGTGACAACCTCACCACTCTGGCCTTTTGGCTTAGATCAAGTGTAGTATCTGTTCTTAATAGTTTAACCACTATTACGGAGGCACCGCCTCCCGTATTGGTTATCTAATTTTTGCCGCCCTTGTCCTCTGTGCTCTGCTTGCAACATGGAGGCATGATGACCTTGCTACTGCAGTACTGGCTTGCGTTGTCGGGGGATCCCCTTTCTCTTTGCTGTTCACTTGCGAGGACTTCCGTTCGGCGGTCTTTGGGTTGCAGCAAACAAATGATCCACTTGCTACATGTTGAAAAGGAAGTTTGCTCTGTTTGTTAGTACAATTGAATTGGTTCCGTTCAATTCATGTTATGCATGTTGGATGGTGTTTCTCTGTTTTTATTTCTTCATTGGTCTAATGGCTCAATATTGGGTGAGCATTTGTAGGCCTGAAGAAGTTTCACAAACATTGAAACACTGAATTATTGCCGTGGTCATTGTTAGTGTTATGAGTTCCGCGAGTATACTATAATAAAGAACGACTTGCTTCTTGTGTGTTTGAGCATGTGTCTGCACCATCACGCGGCAGGGTTGATTGATGCAAGAAGGATGTCAGTATATGTGGTGGTTGCGAATCATCGACAACCAGGTCGTCCGGTCAAGTAAGAGTGTTTTATCAGATGGTATCACCGGCGGACCGAGTCGAGTAGCGCTGATCCGGTAATATAGGTTCACATTCAATGGTATATTAGAATGATTCTTTATAATCAAGGCACTAGCCGTAACCAACCTACGCTGGCGACAAGGTACATCGAGCTAAAGATAGAAGGGAGTCGAGGCGAAGTGTGTTCCGAAGGAAAGTGATCAATGGATGACCCTAGTCCTTGGGAAAAGAGAAGGGAAAAACAGCGGTTATGAAGACGATAATGCTATTAATGGATGAGAGATCTAGCAATATTATGTATAAGAAACAACAAGAGATGCCATTTGTACTAGAGTGGTTGGCTGGAAATCCACGCGTCCATTGTATAGAACAGCATCGAGAGAAACAAAGGATGTGAAGGAGATCGAGAAGGAGATCGAGGCAACAATCAATGCAAACATGGTACGTGCCGAGATGCCGCTCCGAAGTGCAGGGTGACCCACGCGGAGGCTTAAAGGCGAGGCACAAACGATGGAATAGTCCACTTTCTCCCTTCCCCTTCTCTTCCGCCTCGCCCAGTGCGAATACGACCGCAGACACTGGTGTTGTGCTCTTTCTCATTTTCATTTTCATTTTCTCTTTCAAGCCTGCAACCCATCCCGCTCTTTAAATTTGTATTCGCTCCCTTCTTTCTGTCGAAATGTTTTCCAAGGCTCTCTATTTTGCTTTGCTGGGACTGTATTTCTTTGCATCGGCCGTTGAGGCTGCGCCTTCCCGTAGCATTCAGTCTGATCAATCTCAATCCTGTGATGTGCGTTAAAATATTTGGTTTTTGATCATTTTCGTAGTGCTGACCTTAAATAATATAATATATATAGGTTCAGAGTGTCAGCGTCATCACTCAGACGGTGACTGTCACTGCTACCACCGCGCTCGCCACTTCGACGTCGAGTGCTGGCGGCTCTGGAAGTGGTACCTTCTCACCCTCGCTTATCAGGTTGTCGCTCACACTCAGAACAGATAATGGCTCGAACAACAATTCAGAAGGCTCTGCAGTCGGAAGCAGTGGCTCCGATGGTTCTGGTTCGACTAACAATGGAAATAGTGCGGTTGAATTTGCTCATTCTTCCCAAGATTTCACGTAATCCAACCTTTTTTTTTCAGACAACAATACTGGCAAAAACAGCTCGAGCAATAGCAGTAGCAGCGGTTCCAACAGTTCTGCAAGTAGTGCGAATGGAAGCGGTAAGATTAATTTCCTGCTTTTACCTATTGCTTCAACTAATGATAATCATCAGGTAACTCGGGAACCGCAACAACGACATCTGCTGCGTCGGTATGTCTTGCGAGCTGCATTCTAGCCCTGAAACTAATGATGTTCCCAGTCGAACACTGGCTCGTCCAATAATGGCAAGTCAAACACCGGAAAATCTGGAAATACTGCAAGCACGTCGGCAGCTTCGGTATGTTCATCTGGTGCCTCTAGCATCACCGTTAATGTTGTCTTTGATAGTCTGCTACAAGTTCCTCCGTTAAGAATAACTCCGGTAGTGGAACAGCGACCTCCAGTTCAGCTGCATCAGTCTGTCTAATTTTTGTCCAATCATCTCCCTCGCTTAGGGCTATTTTGTAGTCTAGTACAGGTTCTTCTGGTAACACCACTGCAGATAATGGTGATGCTCAAACATCTCTAAGTGCGTTTTCTTTTGTTATATTTTGATTTTTCGCTCACTTCATATTACCATCAGCGCTCGACCCTCGTGTTATTGGTTCTGGCTTTGCTAACGACGGCCAAAGTCCACCAGTCGCTGGACAGTCTCCGTCCCTCACGACCACGAACAACTTTATCAACTTTTGTCTTACAGTTGATGCTCCCATTACCAACGGCGAACAGATCCAGAATGGTTCCTGCAATCCCATCCCCATTGGCGCCATTCCTAGTACCGATAACATGCCGAGTTCCAAGTTCACTAACCCGCAGAACTTTGGCACGCTCCAGGCTAACACGGCTTTTAATATTACGATGGCTATTCAGAACATGGAGACCGGCAACTTCGTTAATGCAACAGCCAACTACTTCGCTGCGCCTCAGCACCTGAATACTCAGGGGCAGATCATTGGTCATACACATGTTGTTATCGAGGAGCTGGATTCGCTCGACCAGAAGACGCCTACTAACCCTAAGACTTTTGCATTCTTCAAGGTAGTTATCTTTCTTCTTCAGCACACGAAGACGAATGGTAACCTAAAATCGTTTACAGGGTGTGAATGGAGTAGCAGTCAACGGCGTGGTCAGCGCCAGTGTCGACAAGGGCCTCCCATCTGGTGTCTATAAGCTCAGTTCCATCAACGCAGCGGCGAACCACCAGCCCGTCATTGTTGCAATAGCCCAACATGGTTCCTTGGATGATGTCATCTTTGTATGTTGTCAAAGTGCTTCGTATATTGCTAGGTACCCTTGCTTACCACTTTGAGTAGTTCACTGTCACCGACGATGGGGAGCCTGCGAGCAACACCACTGCTTCGTCGGCGGCGGCCTCTGAGAGTGTCTCGGCTACCGTGTCGGCAACTGAGAGTGGTGCCGAGGCATCATCTTTAGCAAGTGATTCCGCCTCGGTTTCTGCTTCAGTATCAGGTTCAGCATCTACAGCTACGGCTTCCGCAGCGGCTTCTGCTTCAGTCACGGGTTCAGCATCTGAAGCTACGGTGTCCGCGACTAGTGGTGCTTCGACCAAGGGTGGAAAGAAATCTTCAGCAAGCACATCGGCTACGGGCAACGCTGGTAGTGCATCTGCTACCGCGGCAGCCACAGACGCGTCGTCATCAGTTGTCGCATCTGCTACAGACGCTGCTTCTGGGACTGATGCTGCCTCTGCTACAGAAAGCGACACAGCCGCTGCAGAAACCTCATCCGCTGTCGAGAAAGGCAAGAGCAATGGGAAAAACTGAATGATACCCCGCATTTTTCACGCATAGATACCTCACAACGGGCTTGTTGAGGTTCCGGTCGTAATTTATAGTGGGCTGGTAGACCGTATTTATTCAAGATTCCCTCATTTTTCGACTTTCTAGCAGTTGACTTGTTATACCCTTGTTTGGATGCAAATGCAATCGGCGTGGATTATCGCTCTATGTGGGCACTGAGGTGAATTGGTGGCAGTTCATCTGTCAATCACTACTAGTACATGCGTATTGTCCATTTTTCATTTCATCTGTCCATCTACTGGAAGAGTCTCGCGTTCTCCATCAAAATGCTATTCAACCCTTCCCTCTTCTCACACTGGTCAAACCTGAAACTCGCTGCGATACGATCCAGTTCTTCCTTTTCCTTCCCAATGAAGTGATCCGCCCACTCCTGGACGAGAAACTCCGCGACGAGGATGTTCCTCGCGAGCCTGCCTACGCGCGCATCGAGCTTCCAGACGGGAAAGGGGTAGAGCTCACGGTACTTGGACGGGATCTCCTTCATGATGTGGTCTACAAGCGGCTGGTAGACGTGTCGGACGGCAGAATCATCCGCGCCCCAGGCATCAACGGCAAGATGGTGTTTCTTGGTGAGGAAGTCCTTGAAAAGCGTCATATACGCTGTCTCCTGGGAGACGTAGACCATCCCTTGGTATCCGATGTCTTTGTACAGCCAGATAGTCCAGCTGAGACGGTCCTTATTGTAGATATTGAGTTGATCTTTGAGGACTTTGTAGCGCATGGTGTTGATAGCGTCGGTAGCATCGCCATCGTACTGCCTCCTCGCATAGACCGGGCCCCATTCGCCATTCCACACACAGAGCCCGTGCTGGTCCATCCACTCTCGTTTCTTCTCGTAGCTCCGCCTGAGCCTGTGAAGCTGCGACTCGCTGCCCACGTAGTCCTCCGGCGGGGCCGGGAACCCGAAGAGGGAGTAATCGTGGATCGCGTAGGCCGTGTTGTCCCAGTTCTTGTGGATATCGCCAAAGTGGCTAAAGTCGGACGCGAAGGTGTTGCCGTCGAAGAAAATGGCATGGTCTGGGTCGATGGCACGGATGGCTTTGTGGATGCGGTCGTAAAAGGAGAGGACTCGAGTATGTTTGGGGTCCGTGGGTTCGTTCATAGGGTTGTAGCCTGCGATCCATTTATTGGATTTGAAATGCTCAGCTAGACGTTCCCACAGCCATACGGTACGGTCCTGAAAATCTTTGTGGTTCCAGACTGGTAAATCTTCAGTTAGGATTGTCTGCGTACAATGCACAAAGAAGAAACGTACAATTCGCAATATGCCCTCCATGGTCAGAATGCCAGTCGGTATTCTGCCCGCCAGGGGTGGTGTGCAGATCTAAGATGGTATATATGTTGTGCTGCGCACAGAGGTCGATCACTCGATCGAGATGCTTAAATCCAGATTCCTTCAAAACGCGGGGATTCATATCGTCTGCCAAGGAAAATCAACAAAGGTGACGTATAAGTGCTGCGGAGCGTGCGTACCTTCAAAATGGCGGTAATTGAAAGGGAGTCTGATGCAGTTCAGACCGAGGCTGCTGAAGAAGGCCGCGTCGGCATCCATGAAGAAGTATTCCAAGAACTGTGTGAGGTTAGGAAAACAGCCATTCCGGAATAGATAGCCTACGGACCTTGTCAAAGAAAAAATCCGACTTTTCTTGCCCGATGGTATTGGCTAGCGCTTCGCGGATCTGGAACTCGCAACCAGGGTATCCTAGTGACGCTGAGTTGCCATTATATTGTCGTGGAAACGGATTAATGAATACCTGAAATAAAATTCTCCATACTACAGCAATTAGAAATGATATTAGCAGAGCGAGGAAGAGAAACACTCACTTCATCCAACCACCCAAGCCTGCTCCTCGCAGAATGACTTCTTTACCCTCTTCATCAACAATCTTTGTTCCAGATACCTTGAGCAGAGACATGGCAGGTGGGAATGAGGGGGTTCCATGGCGTGGGGCTCTTTAGTATCATTCTGACCGGACGAAATTCGCAAGTGAGAGAACAGCTGGTCCACGAATGCCGATGTTTTTCCGCGCCGAATGTTTAGTTACAATCGATTAGGCTCAAAATAGCTTGGTCATGAACGAAAGAACAGAGCTCGGGCCGCCGATAGCAAATAGATAAGGTACTGAATTTACATTTAGAACTTATCTGTGGCAAAACAAAACGCGGTTAAGGGATACTATGGCTCCCCATTTAGAGCAGTGTGAAGTTCCCGGCCAAAAGTTATGTTAGCTCCTTCGCAGGGTGTAGGTGGAAAGACGTTGATAGGATTTGTCTGTGAATACGCGCTGAAGCGCCGAAATCCAGCTAAGTTGAGCCAGATACTCGGGAGTAATATTATCGCGTTCCTTTCAATGGGGGGCGCTGTCCTGCTATGGTTCCGGGTTCTCGTCTGTCGTTTCAGGTAAAGACGTCCACGGTTCGCCATGAAGGGTTGTACCGCCTCGCCCTTTTTGTAAGCATGGTATGAGTGTGATGTCCGAGTGCTTTTTCCTGAACCACCAACGACAAGGGAACCGATGAACAATGCAAACTGAGGTGCAGTCGCCAAAAGCAAGACTCGGAGTGCCAGCCGCCTTCCAAAATACAACCATCATTTGGTCCGTAGCTGCTCGAAAAAGGAATCGCCTTGTGTCTGGACAAAATGAAGGCAGAGCCTTAGCGTGCAGTCACACGATTTATATTTGTTTTTGGGACATGTGGTTACGACGACATCGGGCCAGACTCTGTACTTGCATAGCACTCTTGCGTATTCTTGCTGAACTCTGAGCTAGCGCATATTCCACCAATGAACAGGTTAAATTTTTCTCGACTTGCTCTCTTGATCCAAACAATGATCTCCCATGATCAAAGAGGTGAATTCCACGCACTCGTCCATCCCCTTCACTGGAGGACAGCTGTAAACCATCAAGCCGCTATCCTACGTGATGATGCATGTCCCCAATTCAGGATGCGACCCGTCCGTTGAGGCCAACAGGGGAATCGTATCTATACTTCGGAAGATGTTCAGCCGTAGCCCTAATCCGCCTTTACATGCGACCCACGTCTACGTTGAGTATTTTGACGATCCAAAAATCCATATACCCCGCTTCTGAGTCCTCCCCCCCCCAGATTACACGGCTGACCATGATCTACCACTATCATTATTTCCTTCGTCGATGGCTTCCCTGCCTCTGCGACTGTAGCAAACCAACCATCAAACCACTAGTCCAACATCTCACTATCATGGTGGCCGCGCCTGAAATCGTGAAGCGTTTGATAGCCCTTATCGAGAGATACCCAAGTTCGTTGGCTACTGACGTCGGAATTACCACCTGTTCTTCGATTTCTGTCATTGAGGATTGATACGATTCTCCGTATCAGGGTCTTGGGCTTGATTTGTGCATCGTTGTATGTTTGGCGAACGAGAGAACTGGCCACGCCGGTACTTAGGTCCAATTTTCGGTTCGTCGTTCTCTTCCATTGCAGTTTTATGCTGATCGCTAGCTTGTTTAGGAGAAAGCACCGATTCTTATATACCAATGTTTGAACAAGTCATTCCAGTGGGCTGGGGTACATCGGTCCTCTGTCCAGAAAATTTATCATATTCTTCAATGCCATTGATCCAACATCGTCCACGGAACCACGAATTCATGGCATATTTTCCCTCCTCGAAGACGAAACAACGGAACTGATCATGGACCCAAATTATTCCCCTTTGCCGGGGTGGGATGGCAAACGTACACTTACTGATACGCTTTGAGCTTTGCTTGGTGGGGGGTCGTACGTTTGCCTTTGTTCTATAATTACTCTTGATAGACCCAGGGTGTATAACATCCTTGTTGGATGTGGCTTTTCAGCAGTCCTCTATCTTACTTTGGGACGAGCTCTTGCCCGTTGTAGGAACTCATTTCGACAGCTGGTTCCTGGAGCACAAACAGGCAATTCTAGATATGTTTGAAGACGATCATACATATATTCGAAAGGGGTTAGAACTTTGTGAATGGTTTTAACGTCAAAATCGCTCGAGGACTTTCCTCTGACTTGTCATCGTATGGCAGTCACGACTGCCATAGACCCCGCTCAGTATGCTTGGCTTGCACTTGATGTGGATTCAACTAGTTATGTACATATACTTAGTTCCTTTTTCAGAGTGTCATTAAGACCCTCCCACAGATCTATTTTCGACTCAATCTGCTGACTTCAAACATGTCGGGAACTGTTTGGAGGGAGTTCTTACCTCTTCCGAGTCGATCCTATTCTACTCCTGAAGTTATGGATTCATGGGACTACGTCTCCATCGTAGACCAGTCACCAAAAACCGTAGAAATTGATTGTCATCCTCTGACTCCCAAGTCTGAAACCAAATAATGTTTACGGGGAATAGCACATTTGTATCCGAGCTCAGGAGACACACATTTTAAATCTGTATCGGAGAATAACAATCAATCGACAGATCCTTTGACCAGGATCCCTTCGAGGAGTGAGATTCAACGCACTTTTCACAAGTCAAATTATTAAATGTTCAAGTTTTAAGGGAAGACCGACACGATCATCGATCGCGTCTTATTTACAGCAACAACCTTGAGTGAACACAAGTAGCAATGCGTATATATGATTTTGTACAAGCTGAATAGTGAATCTGAACGAAAGTACAATCAAGGTAAACAAGACAAAATCCCACTAATGCGGTTCAACACAAATGCCTGCGTATCGGCGTCTACGTCTGCCTTTGTCGAGGCATTGAAGACGCTTACGCTCACGAAACATCCTTGGGTCACAACATTGGCCTCTGCAGGGAGGTTCGTTGTCCCGCATTGTTCCACATCGGTCGCACTGGTGTCCTCGTTGATCCTGGAAAGTATGAAGCTAAAATCTGAAGGCTCCGGACACTGGGAAGTAGACGGATAGTTGACGTTGACGCTGATGCCTGTGGGAAGGATGGTTCCCTCCGCAGACGTTAGAGCTTGCACGAACTTGACGGTCAACTGGGCATATGTTAGTGCCGCAAGCGTGTCGGTGGAGTCGGGCTCAGACTCGAGGGTTGTGTAGGACACCTGCGAAGCGGTATCTGCAGAAAATGCGACCGAAGGAATGCCTTCAAGAGCAGCTTCACATGCCGCGCCTCTGGGGATGATTATGAGACAGGGTGTAGGAAGTGTTGTGAGGCAAACTCACACTGTGCCGGAACCCAAGATGACAGATCCCAGGTTGTCTGCATATAGTGTCAGGCAGCGAAATATGATGAAAGGGGATGTACTTGCTTCCCACATTTGGACCACTGACAACGAAATCAGGTGCACTGTCGAAGAATTGTGGTGCAAGTGTTTGAATCCCATACCGAACAGCGTCGACGGGGAAGGAATTGACGTAGTTCAGGCGCGCTACAATCCAATCAGCGTGGAAGGGATATCAAGAAGAGATGAGCACATACGGTCGGATGCATTGAATCCTTCGGCGGGAGAGCCGATTGGACATGTATCATACTCGCAGGGAATGAGAAGTATCGTTGCTGGGGCACTAGACGAGCCTGTGCCAGACTCGTTTTCAGCAGGACAAGAAAGGATGACCTGTTCCAGTCAGATATACATGGGCCCCAAGGAAGACGCGACACATACATCATACCCCGCCGCCTTCAAAGCATTGTTCTGCGCCCGAACTAACGCTACTGCCCAGCCATCGTCGTTGGTCAAAACGACCTTATTTCGCGTCTCGGCCAAAGAGGTATGGACGCCAAAGAGGACCAGGAAAATCACAGCGACCCCAATATTGCTGAGCATTGTTGGAGGAAGGAAAGAGGCTGGCAGTGGCGTCTTTTAATGTCCTCGTGCGTCGTGGTCTCACGAATGAAACATGTGCCACATCGTCGTCGAACGTGCATATATGTGATTCGTGGATAGTATTCAACGAGTCCGTGCTAAGTCCTCTGAGGAATGGGGCTCGTACCATGCAGGTGAGCTGATAGCGATCAGAACAGACCCTTCAGTGCCAGGTCGGAGCCTACGCTGCTGCGTGTTCATCAATAATATAGGAGAATTCAAATCTGCTGAATTCACGTTGATTTCGCCTCCGATTTCTTGGAACATAAAGTCTTTGATAACCCTGATTTCGAGGCCGAGTTCACGCTGATTCACCAAGTAATGCCAAGGTGCCGCCTGCAACCGCCGAACTCAACAAAAATCACCAATTAGCCTCACTTTACAGAGTTTAGACAGGGTCTGGTACTGTTCGCAGCTCTGGCGCGACAGCAGTGACTCCTTCAACAACAAATCAGGTTCTTTTCAGCATCTGATTGTTAGGACCAGTCAAGCGAGTAACTTCTACTGTTCCACATGGACGAATGGCAGAAATAAGAGTGTCCGTCACCGGAGGTTTGAACAGGCCATTGGTTTTTGTGCTGATGGAACTACATCAGCCTTGTGATGATCTGGTTTGTTCTTATTCCCGTTGTATGTGACAGCTGATGATTTAGCAATTCCTTTTCAGTGCACAGCATCAACGTGAAAGCCGTTGTTCATTGGCTAAGGGCATTTTTAGTCACCACCCTTCCCATCAGTCGCGGGCTGATACCCATGGTGCTGTATCAAGTCCAGATTTACGACTACTCGGTGTTTCGTGGGGTTTTCACTTTTGGATCTCTATCTTCTGGCGCCTACTCTCACGTTCGGCCACCGGTCTCAATTTCAGTCTCCTATCAATTTCGTGATTCCATTCTCCATTCAAGATCGCGTATTTCATTCTTCAGTCTTCCTTTCTCTTCCCCAGAATCTCTGCTCCTTTCCAAGCATCATCATCTACAATGGCCCCCCATACTATTGAATCGAACTATGATCTCATTTTTGCTGGAGGTGCGCCTTTCTTCCTAGCATCATTTACATGCTTACTGGATGACGCGTAGGAGGAACTGCGGCGTGTATTATCGCTGGTCGTTTGTCCAAGGCAGATCCAAACCTCAAGATCCTCATTCTCGAGGCCGGTCCTACTACCAAGGGCAAGTTAGAGCACATCCAGCCTGGTCAATACATCACCCACTTGGCTCCAACCAGCAAGACGATGCAGTTCTACGAGTCCAAGCCTAGCGAAAGTGTCGCAGGTAGGGCTGTCGTCGTACCCTCTGGTCGTTGCATTGGTGGAGGTGAGCACTTCATTTGTGATCATCACGAAGGATATGTTAAATTGGCGCGATCAAGGCTCTTCCGTCAACTTTATGTTGTACAACCGTCCCGCAGCGTCTGACTTTGACTCCTGGGAGACCGAATTCGGTAATCAAGGCTGGGGATCCAAGGATATCATCCCTCTACTCCAGAAGGTACGTTGGACATATGTCCTACATCTACTTACATGATGGATCCCTTTCTCTTGTGATAGGCCGAAACCTACGAGGTGGACCCCACTAGGAAGACCCATGGTTCCTCAGGACCAATCAAGGCATCTTTTGGAGGGAACACTGAAATGATGGAGATCCCTAAGCAATTCCTTGAGATTGGTCCCAAGTTCGAAAAGGACCGACCAGAATCTGAAGAAGGGAACAACCTCGACCCTGAATCTATCAATGTATTTTTCGTGAGTATGGTCCATTTAATTATCATTTAGATCATACTGATGTTTTTGATAGAGAATGCCAAAGTATGCGTGCTCATTATAATTGGTGGGCTTTGGTTGATCTTCGTTCAGGTACATATCGACTACGGGACGCCGATCCGATGCCGCGGTATGTTGATCACACGCATCCTCTACAGCATGCTGATCACGGCAACAGCATCATTATCTCTACAATTCTGAGAGCAAGAATCTCTCCGTGTTCGATGGAACGCGTGTGAAACGTATCATTTTTGAGTGCGTTATTGGATGCATTTATTGAAAGCCTGCTGACAAATTGTAGGGGAACTCGGGCAGTCGGCGCAGAATATGTGTTCGACAAGCAGGTGTATCCCGATGCGGAACAGACGGTGCACACGGTTCGCGCTAGTCGCCTTGTAGTTGTCTCTGCGGGTGCTATGGGTAGCTCCCTGATCCTTGAGCGGTCGGGTATTGGTGCTGCGTCAATCTTGGAAAAATTCGGCATCAAACAGATTGTAGACCTTCCTGGTGTGGGTAAGGAATACGATGGTAAGTTCATCACGCTCTACAAATAATTGTTCCTATATCAAGTCCTTAGATCATCCGTTCCACGTAACACCGTATATTGCGGATGGGAGCACAGAGACATATGACCGTCTCTTCCGTGGAGAGCCTGAGGAGTGGGGTAGTAAGTTGAACCGTTGGCGCTAAACTGCGGGAATAACGCGTGCTAATTAACATTCTTCCTAGAACTTTTGTCTCGATGGGCCGTTGATGGTTCTGGACTAATGGGAGGAAAGTAAGCGGCTTCTTTCTCTCGCGTATATCTCCAAGTATTGATTGTTCCCCTCAGTGGGGTAGACGCAGCCATCAAAATGCGTCCTCGGGAAGATGAACTTGAGGAATTAGGTCCCGATTTCCAAGAATATTGGGGAAAGAACTTCGCTAACAAACCGGACAAGCCTTTGTTCTGGCTGAGCGCCACGGCCGGGTATGTTGAATATCCTAGGACACCTCCGAGTTATATCTCATAGACTTGGCTAGCCTCCCTGCGGACCAGTCAGCGTTACCTCCTCTCAATTTCATGGCGTCGGCATGCTTCCTCGTAAGTCTCTTCTCATAGGTGGTTTTCGCCTTCCCGAATCTATTTCGCAGGGATACCCCGCTTCTCGTGGACATCTTCACATCTCTTCTGATGATATCTACGCCCATCCCGACTTTGATGCAGGATTTTTGAAGCAGTGAGTTGTGGCCGGAAAGAAGTTCTCCGTATTGTTCTGATCTTCTGCTTTCAGTCCAGCCGACGTCGCCGCCCTTCGGTGGGGCTACAAGAAAGGTAGAGAGTTGCTCCGCAGAATGGATGCATATCGTGGCCCACTTGCCCCCGCGCATCCTCAGTTTGCTGCGGGCAGTCCCGCAGCAGCCTCCCTCGCTGAGAATGGTCCTGTTGCGTTTGATGCGCCGAAAATTACTTATAGCAAGGAAGACGATGAGGCCATCTCCCTGAACGTTAGGAACTTTGGTGAGTTTTGGGTTCTAGCTCAGCAATGTCTGCCTCATTAATATCAACAAATCATGCGCTCAGTTGGAACAACTTGGCATTCCGTGGGTCTCATCATTACTTGTTCGAAGTACATTTCTGACATCGTGGGGTAGCTCGGCACTTGCCCTATGAAGCCAAGAGATCAAGGCGGAGTCGTTGACAAGGATCTCAACGTTTATGGCGTTACGGGATTAAAGATTGCTGGTCAGTAATCAGCTTCCTCTATAGACTTTCATTTAGTGTTTACGTTTCCTATAGATCTCTCTATACCACCTGCTAATGTCAATTGCGTAAGCCCGGGTAGTTTTCTCCTTAGCACCTGATTCTAACTCGGCTCAACTGTGCAGAACACTTACTCTGCCACCCTGGCGATTGGCGAAAAAGCGGCCCTTATTATTGCAAATGATCTTGGAATTGAAGGTGTTTAAGGTTTACCTCCCATGATGCCTTGGTTGTCTCGTCCCTACAATGTATTGAGTATATAGTCCTGTGTGTAAAAAGAAAGAAATCAATCATTGGCTGTTCCGTGTCCACGTTGTTTTGCCGAAGTGTCGCATGATACCTCTTAGATAAGAGACTTGCTCACAGCATAATAACCCCAAATATAACAGCAAAGCACACTCACAAAACTTGGTACTGATAATGATGGTATGCTTGGGGGTGGATGGGATGATCTGAATCAAAGAAGTTGACTGTCAATCCCATTCAGACGTTGAGCAGCCGATGATTATCGGACACCTCGGGCACTGGACATAGTCAGTACAGCACTCTCCGACCTTCTATATGTAAGTGCCACCAAATCATTTAGAACCACACCGTACAACTTTTTCTCGACTGATTGCAGCTGCAGTTGTCCATCAAAATGATATGCCTAGAGTGTTATGTCGACCGCCCCAGGAACCATAGGGATGAATAGGATTGTCAGGAGCATTGTATTCTAGGAAGGTTGTGCGCGATGTGTCGCAACAGTCCAGCTGAGGTGGTTCTCCGAAGGCGGTGTCTAGATAATGATGGCCCCGTTCTCCCGGACGCAAGCATACGTTTCCTAGAACTACGGTTCTGATGTAACCTGCTGATCGTCTCTTACAGGAACTAACTTACCAATGAAACCTTAGGACTTCGTGGTCTAGTGAATGATTGTATCATAATCAAAATTTGATGCATTGTCAATTGGGGCTTTTGCCACAATGTAGTAAAACTGCCGAGAGGAGCGCGGTGAACTGCATAAAGGCCCGAGGCGTCTGAGGATACAAGTAAGTCACATCCATCGTCACAATACATCATGGCTCCCGTAGAGATTCCCGGTGTCAACGTTCCCCTCCTGTAAGTTCTGGACTAGCAGCTTCATTGACAAAGACACTAATGGATTTGCGTAGCACCGGCCCTTTGGTATGCCGGCCAAGAGCACGGGATTCGTCAGACTCTGAATAGTTTTCTAGGTCCTGGGGTACATGTGGGGGTATGGCCTCTTTGGCGTCCTTACAGTACAGATGTGTGCGTATCATCTTCGACTGTTTCGTGCTTGAACACGAGTCCGACCGTCGTATAGATATCTATTACATCCATTTCAACTCTAAAGATGATTGGAGGATGAGACTATATGGTTCGTTCTACGGCCGACTTCCTGCTATTCATGCTAATCAAGATGCAGTCTGGTTCATATTCCTCCTCGAGATCGTATTTACAATCTTTTCAACCATTGCCGCATGGGATCAGTATGGTCCGGGATGGGGTGATGTCAACTCCATTCTGCTCATTGACTGGTCCTGGGAACCGCTTCCATCTCTGAACGGAACGAGTCAGTTTTAGTCAGATTCACTTGCGGCGATGCCAAATCTCATGCTATATCACCAGTTTCCGCCATGGTTCAGACTTTCTATGTCTGGAGAATATATAATCTGACGAAGAACATCTGGATTTCGTTGGTTATTGAAGTAGTGAGTACCAGAATGCTTTCACTCACTTTCATTGCTAATTTTTTGTCTTCTAGGTTGCCATTGTCCAATGCACTTTCGCTTGGTATTTCGGAATATCTGTATGTGTCCTTCGTATTTTTATTTACGCCCGCGGCAGCTCAATCCACACAGGTGTCGGTTGGGGGGCTTGGCGTAGACAAACTCATCGCCGACTCCCCTGAAGTCAGCGTGCGTGTTTGTCGTAATATGATTTGTGCGTTCCTCTGATTCGACCACAGACATGGCTTGCAGGAAGTGCTGCCTGCGATGTGATGATTACCGCGACGATTGTCTCTGTTGTGCGTGGTCTAATTAAGTCAATTTCTAGTTCCCATTATTGAAGTCCGCGAGCAGTTGTATCGCGCGAACAAGCAATCCAAGTTTAGTCAGACGACGAGTGCTGTTACGAAAATCATCCGTTTCTCGGTAGAAACCGGTCTGCTTACTTCCGCTGCTGCTGTAGCAGAGTTGATTCTATGGTTAACCCAATCCGAGTACAACATACATTTCATTGGGTGAGCAGTCTTTCTTGTCCTTCATTAATGAATCATCTAACCGACATATTTTGCTAGCTTCCTCGTTCTGGGAAAACTGTTCGTCGCAGTTCCGATTCATGTATCTTCAACTATTGACCATTTGCCCCTCCCAGATACTCTAACGCTCTAGTTGCTACCTTGAATTCCAGAGCGCTTATCTTTGGATCTATACATACTGGCGCGTACACCAACTCAGGCTCGTCCGGGTCCGCTGGTCCCCGCACTTCGAACCCTTTCTGGGACGAGGGAACAAAGAGTCAGACACGTTCTCTCGGTACACGATCTCAGACAGTGCATGTCACCAGGACTACCGAAATCCACGATGACGACTCTCACGAAATGATCGTGGTGTCGGTGAGCGTTTATATCTTTACTCCCGCACGGTAAGTAATCTGATACTTAATAGGATCTGAAGGGGGCAGCTGGCGATGACCTAGAAAGCGGTCCCCGTAGCCATAATAATGACGAAGCAAAATACGGCGGACGTCGTGGCGCTCTGTAAATGTGGAACGTTGAACTTCAGGTTGAGTGCCCGGCCCGGCTCATGTACTTGCGTTTAATTTATATTTGTTGTGTGTGTGTAGCTGTGATGACAATACTTTTATGCAAGTTTACTTATTTAACGGAAGGGTGAAAATCTGCTGTGACCCTCAGAGTGTCTGTGGGGAGCCTTCAAGTTAATGTCACGGGGTTCAGTTTACCCTCTCCTCTGCCAGGGTCTGTGAATAATGATTTCTTCACGTCCTTGTCCGACATCTGTCTTGAGCTACAGAAGGATTTTTGAGGAATAAATACTTCAGAGGTTACCGATGCTGGCGCTTCTCGACATCTGCGTTATGGGCCCACCTACGGATATGGGCTATAAGCCCAATTCGGGTGATGATTTCTTTTCGCTGTACGTAGCACGAGTTCAGAGGATTCAAATATGTATTATATTAGGTAGCTAATACATACACAGCAGGTAGAATATATGAAGTAGTGGGTCATCGCGTGGCGCAGCAGATCCGAGTCCTGTGCGATAAGGTAGAAAGCTCCTATAAATGGACCTAAGCACTGATGCGATGCCCAGTATACAAGTAAGACGAGCAAGCGGTAGGGCCAACTAATATTCTGACGGTTACGAGCGCGCCGCTGTCTGGGCGTTGGAGGTACGGGACTCAGTGCTGGGTAAGCTGTTGCGGGTGGGCAGAGCCACAGCGGAGCCGGGCCGATGATGATGACGGTAAGAGTAAAACAGTTGCTGAGTATCCTACTGGGGTCATTGGAGACCGTAGAGGCATTATCCATGCGCTTGAAGCATGCAATGGTAGTGACGGAGCTGGTTGGTACTGGGAAGATGGAAGGTCCATATGACAAGGCAACGGGTCAACAAAGGTGATGACAGACATAAAGCTGGCTGCTGTGCACCTTCTTGGTCTCACAGATGCTAGGTGGGTAACAACTAGCGCGCTTGAAGCACAGGACTGGATGGACGTAGGATTTGCCGGTTAGAAAGAGGCCCAGGTGCGGCGCCACAAAAACCAGCCATTTTCATACACTAGTAACACACTGGTGTTGGTGTGCGAATTTGAGAAGTGGTATTGTGCATACTGAAGCCATCGAAGCGGGTGGTGGTGGTGCAGAGAGCGAACAAATGAAGCGGGCTAGAATGGCAGCATGCAGGGTGTGCTCAGAGGCACCAATAGTGGCTGAATAAATGCTGAGCATAGATAAGAATGGAACCAAAAGGGATAAAGATACGATCTTCAAGAGATAGTCGCTAAGAAAGACCTGCCACCAACGAACGACACATTAGCATAAGTTAAAAACGCGTCGTAAATGCACAAAAGACTCACAATACATTTTAGGAGGGATAACCAAATCTTCGGTGCATCGAATTAACGGGTCCGGATTTCTAGGTGTTCAAAGAGACCACCGACAACATACTTGAAGTCCAGTCCGTTTTCGAGAGACACTTCCCAGATGGTGCATTCGATTAAGAGACGCCAAATAACACGAACGGCATCGACATCAGCAGTCGTTATCTGGAGACTAGAAGGAAACTAAGGAAGGCAGGAGACAACAAGAAATACGGAACCATCACAGACTCTTGTCGACATGTCAACCTGTATGAAAAGCCATATTCGACTCCTTACCCAAAACCGGACAAGCGTTCTCAATATTGTTCCACCGACGCATATGCCAATTCCTCGACAGTGATCCTATTCATACAGTCGAAATTTCATGGTGCCCGGGCCACAAGGACGTCGCAGGAAAGGGACGAACAGACTGCTTGGTAAAGAAAGGAGCAGAGAAAACAACAGAAGCCATGGGCAGAACGAGGGCTAACACTAGAAGGGAACACTAGAAGAGTGGAGGAAGGCATGGGAGGCCAGCCCTAAATGGGGATGCTACGCCAATGGCAAATAGAATACTGCCGTCACTGAAGCCGACATGCCACCTCATAGACCTCGCAGCGAAAAGAGAGATATTCGGCCGAGTTCTTCAGTGCAGAACAGGCCATGGACACATAGGCGAGTATTACTCACAATTCGTGCCAGGTAAGGACGTTGACTGCCCTTGTGGAGAGACGTTTCAGACACGGGAGCACATCCTGCATGAATGCCCCCTCTATGAAGAGCAACGGGGGACCCTTCGGAACGTGTCAAGGACCGTGTACCTACCGGACATCCTCGGCACCAAAGAAGGAATCACAGCACTGAGCCAGTTCATGGAAACCACAGGAGCGTTCACCCGGACGGGACAACTACGAAACGAGAGGCTCGCCCCAGAGCCAGAAGAAGAGGGAAAGTGGTGGGAAGAAGACGAGGGCGACACAGAAGACGAGCATGGATAGCTGCCGTGCACCCACCACACCATGGAACATGACCAACCCAGCCGGCACCCAAGACACGCTTGCAAAGCACCTCATGGCTTCGGCCAACCGCAGAATCAAACTGATCAATTAGCCCACCACAGGGGCGCAAAGTACCATACATGTCCATTACTCTACTCCACATTACCACTGTATCCTAGTAGTTGTTGCGGTTAATCAAATGCTGAAAACAAAAAAAAAACCTGTATGAAAAAAACTGATTGTTTTTGCGGAGTCTTATCAAACACTTGAAAGCAATTCATGTTGACTAATGTTTTGACATCACGGAACCGCGGTGCGAGCCCGATCAGTGGCTGTGCCATTCAGTTTCCTGAGACAGGGCAATCTGTTTTTGGAAGTAGTGGCCCATGGGAAATATTAGTAAATATTTTATTTATAAAAGCAACCTCAAGCCTTATGGCTCGGGGCGATTAATATACTATTACTTAAACGCATTTGACAGCCGGCCCACGTGGATGCGCTTTGTATGGACTTGCCATTCCACCGCAAACTTTTTTTCGTCTCGACAGCACAAGTGGGGTTCAGTCCCGCTTCGTGACTACTGAATTGATCAAGGCTGAGGACTAGGTTATCCTTACTCTCAGCCTGCGTCGTGCTACTACATCAACATTTTCCTGATGATACTGATCCATTGATATCGCAGGTAACCACAACCTTGAGGCCCAGACACTCATCATCAGTCATGCCATTGCCGCAGGTGCCACCCACGATCGAGTTGAACATGAGTAACCATTGAAGTACCTGTCTGTCAAGGCCATCCATTTTCGAAATGCTTCTCCCCGATGTCCACATATAGTAAACGGGTCTCCACAACTCTGATAGAAGCTGCACATTTAATTGTCCTACCCCCACCTTTTAGGAAGTCCTCTGCTATTTACATGCTTCGATTCTCCGGCTTTCTTTACTGGTGTGAACGTCAGTCTCTTGGATTCAGCGAGTCTCAGGGGTGTTTTATACGATCCATCCTGATCACGGTTAGTAGTCCGAATCGATAGTCCTGGAGAAATCATCACTGCGGGGCCTTATTTCACGTCAATTTCGGATCTAAACATTGGCGTATCCTCCATGTTGTTCTCCGTCCTTCTGATCTCAAAACGGTTCAAACAAGTGTGCTCAGTATGCTCAGTAAACGTCTATGTCATTCTCAGGCAGATAGAAGAACTTAATGCTCCCCTCAGCCACACATGCATCTCACGTATATTGCCAGTATTTGACGATGATATCGGGACGGGAGGAAGTGGCCCGCCTTCCGCACGAGTCAAACCAGAGTGTAAATGGGGACCAGAAATCCACCACCTTCTATCAGCTGAAAGAGTTTTCAATGTGCTTGAATATAGACGTGCCTCAGGTGATTACATATAACCTCACTTTCGGCCAGCCGTCTTCAAGTTTCCTTTCCTGTGATGCACGCCCGCGATGCACGTTAGGGTCAGATACATATTTGGATCATCTCGATATTTCCCTCAGACGACAAGAATCCCATCTTCTTCTCTGGTAAACCTCTGCGTTTTTACAAGATACAAAACCTTCTTCCTTTCGATTGCGGATTCGACTCATTAAGAGATTCGCGCCTTGTAAATTTTCAAAGCAAAGTGGACCGCATCATGGAGCCGTTATAACTCCCACGGGATGCTGTTGCAAAATTGTATGAAAATATACGGCGAATACAACCCGTGACTAACGGCACCGCAATGATCTTTAGGGATAAGCCCATGGGTTCACCTGGTTTTCTCCCCACACATATACTGAGCATTATATATAGGCATCAAAAAATTCTACGGGCTTTTTGTGCTCGCATCTTTAGTTGCCGTCTTCCAATTTCCATCAGCATCATATCCCGACAGTGAATCAACTGCCGGCCAGACCGGATGATCTTGTTGAAGGTTGGCTCGGGACACCCGCTATCCATGGCCGAGGTCCTTTTCGACCAAGGGTTCTCCCACAAAAACTGATGATCATGTTCACATCAACCAATCATCATTTCACCCCGAACCAGCATCAAAATCCGGATTTTTGTCCTTTTCCTCTGCGCGCGCCGTACAAGGCACCAAAATATTACGCACAATGTTCGGTTTACACACATCCGTGGTGTACAGGCTGCAGGCCCAAGCCGAATGTTCTTTTTACAGACCTCGGGCCTCGTGACCGTGAATGCTCCCGCGAAAGTTCGAATGGGAAGGCGCCGGGAAGTGGAGAGATTGGAACTAAAACATGGTCAGATCGGGGTACATCTTCACATCAAACACCGATATAACGGCATCTACGTATTTCTTCTGCAAGATATTCAGACTACAAAAGGCCAAGCCATAAGCAGTTCCCGCTGTAGGACCATGGAGACCCATCCAGCCGCTTCAGCTCTCGCCTATCCTCCTCTAGATGGGTCTCTCCTTCTCCACGAATTTCCAGATTTTCATCTTCGCCATAATCCCTCTCATCCGCTGTTTGTGTACGCTGAGAATGACGGGAAATTCCTGCATGAAATTTCTCACCTCGAGTTCTGCCGTGCTGTTCATCGAGTCGCTCATGCTGTGAATCATATTCCTCGAATGGTGCCCGTGGGGGTTCTAGCGCTGACGGATACAATTTTCTATCATGCCCTATTCCTTGGCTTGATGAAAGCAGGCCATACGGTGAGTTGCGTGCTTCTTAGACTTATTCCAACCTTTGATATGCCTTTAGCCATACCTTCTGTCACCAAGAAATTCCGCTGCCGCCACAGCCAAACTTCTCCAGGATGTCGGCAGTCGCCACCTCGTGGCGTCGCCGATATTCAAAGCACTTATCCGGGAAATTCGACTTGAGCTCGAATTGGAATCGCCGGTCAGCCTCTCGGTCTTTGAATTGCCATCTCTCGATAGCGTGTTCCCAAAACTAGGTTTTGAGACGCGCGAAGATCCCTTTACGCCCTACATGTCTACTAGGCGATCCCTGTTGACCGATGTTGCCTTCTACCTGCATTCTTCCGGTAGCACAGGATTCCCCAAGACCATTCCACAAACTCAAACTTCTATCTTGCACTGGTGTTCATTCCGTGCGTCATCTTCTATCACCACTTTTTCATCACCGAACCTTCTGAAACAGAGTCTATACGCGACTTGATCTATCATCCCAACCTTAGGATTGGTGGTTTCATGCTGCCGTCCTTCCACACGCTTGGGATATATTTCCAGATTTTGACACCTCTAGTTGGCTTACGCACTGTTGCCGTTTATCCACCGCTGTGTAAAACGCCCACCTCCCAACCCTTCACGCCTTCCCCCGGAAGTGTTCTGGAACACATCGCTCGTACGCAATCCAACTCTGTAGTCGCCATCCCTGCAATTATCGAAGTATGGGCTTCCATTCCGGCCGCAGTTGATGTTCTGCGAAAATTGCAAATCGTGGTGCGTACTGCCATTGCAATGTATGAACTGGTTCAATAAGTCTATATCTAGTGGTATTCGGGGGGTACATTATCCGCCAAGGTTGGCAACAGCCTTCACGCAAGCGGCGTAACTCTAACGTCAGTGTATGGGGCTACCGAGTTCGGAGCGCCGGTGCATACCATGCCTTTGGCTGCCGATGTGAAGGCCGGCGAATGGTCATGGATACGTTTCGACTCTCAGGCAACCATTCAGATGCTACCACACGGCGATGGTCTATTTGAGGCACATTTTATGGTTAGCTCCCGAATTCTCCGTGATTTAATTCAATGATTCATTGATATCATCAGAGCACAGAAAAACACCACGTTTCAGTACACAACTTGACCGATGGCCTTGGCTATGCGACAGCCGACTTATTTCAGAAGCACCCTACCAAAGACCTGTGGAAGATGTGAATGTTAGAACTTCAAAATGATGTTCTATTCTAACGTTTATGTTCCAGAGCAGCAAGGACAGATGAGGTTATTGTCCTTTCGTCTGGAGAGAAGGCTATTCCCGGGCCTACGGAAGACATAATTAACTCGAGCCCATTGATCTTAGGGTCGGTGATGTTTGGTCGTGAACAACCTCAAGTTGGAATCATTGTGCAGCCGAAGAGCGCGGTATCCGATGAAGGGTGCGATGCGTTTATAGACGCCATTTGGTGAATGTCCATGCTTCTAGCCTCTGATGTGAACCTGATTTTTCCGACGTTTTAGGCCGGTCATAGAAGAAGCGAATCACCAAGCTCCGGCCTTCAGCAAAATTTACAGAGATATGATCATAGTCGCACCACTATCGAAATCCCTTCCCAGGTCTTCGAAGGGATCTATTCACAGAAAATTATCCCTGGAGGCCTTCAGCACAGAAATCTCCAATTTGCGAGTATCAGGTTTATCCATCTCATGTTCCAGGCTCATGTTAGACTAGATATTCGAGTATCAAATCCAACGTTGGCCTTTCATCATCAGTGAAAGTTCCATCGGACTGGTCCTCTTCCAAAGTCTATTCCTGGTTACTGGATCAAGCTACCGACGTTATGGGGTCTCCGATTTTACCAGAAATCGATTTCTTTCAGCAGGGATTCGACAGGTACGTAGGCATCCTTTCGAGGCTGGTCTCATGGTCACCCCTTCTTCCTAGTCTCAGTGCTTCCATCTTGCGACATCACATTACTTCTGCAATGCGTGCTTCACCCATCGAGGCTGTTCGCCAGGAGGCAGAACACTTCACATTGGATTGCATATATAAATATCCTTCTGTCCGACAACTTTCCGCGTCCTTTGATGCACTCTCCAAGGGTTCGAGTCATGTATCGCATGTCTCTGAAAACATCTTGGAGTCCATGATTAGCCGATATGGTGCATTTTCAGCTGTTAGGGCTTCTCCCGTTGATAGCGCAGTGTCCATGGGCTCGGAAGAGGAAGACCAGATTCTGAAAGGCTCTGTGGTCTTGCTAACGGGCTCCACTGGTTCACTTGGATCGCATGTTTTGGCTCGGCTCATCTCTTCCTCTGACATTCAAGCAGTATATTGTCTAAACCGGACGTCAAGTCAATCAACATTGAAGCAACGACAACGGAGCATGTTCAAGAGGCAAGGACTCGATGTAACGTTACTGGATTCAACAAAGGTCTTTCTCATCGAAGGAAATATGACGGAGGAAAGATTTGGCTTGGATGATTATCTTTTCCGTAGGGTAAGTCTTCGGCCACACTATCGCGATAGATCCTTCACTGATATTCCCGTATAGATGCTCTCCTCGGTAAACGTTATCGTTCATGCAGCGTGGAGGGTCGACTTCAATTTGACGTTACCATCTTTCGAGCCCAACATCGAAGCGACTCGGAACCTCATCAACTTCGCCTTAGACAGTAAACATTCAACGGGAACTCGATTCGTCTTCGTTTCCTCAGTAACCTCCGTACAATCCTGGACCGGCCAAGCTGGTGTCGTCCCTGAATCGGCAATTGACAATTGGAAGGTGGCTGTCGGTCGGGGATACGGCGAGGCCAAATACGTCGCCGAACGAGTATGTACAATGACTATGGTATTCGGAGCGGTAGCTCACCCTGCGCAAACAGCTGCTTAGTCGAAGCGGTCTTCGAGGGTCAAGCCTTCGCGTTGGCCAGCTATGCGGTGGCTCTCATGTGGGCGCATGGTCGACTACGGAATGGTTCCCGATCCTCGTCAAGTCTAGTATAGCGATCAATGCACTGCCCTCGTTCTCTGGCGTAAGTCCCATCTAGGCGGAAGGGTGCCGGATACTGACGTTCTGGTCAGGTTGTATCTTGGATGACTGTGCAATCAGTAGCTCAGATAATTCTAGATATAGCGTTCAATCCGGAAGCGGAGCCTATGATTAATCTTGTACACCCAAAGCCTGTGCCATGGGCGTCTATCATTACCCAAGTTCAACATGCCTTGAAGGAAGATATTCCGGTGAAGCCCGCCTCAGAGTGGTTTGAGATCCTTGAGACCCGATCACAGACGGCTTCTTCGGAGGATATGCAACAGATTGTACGCTTTCCTTTGCTGCTAATTTTGTCGTGTCTGAATGAGATTAACTGCATAGCCTGCTCTGAAGCTGTTGGCCTTCTTTCGCGAGATGATACAGGGAGGCGACGGCAGTGACAGTGACCAGGAAAGTGGCGGACTACCCAGGTTTTCTACTTCGAAAGCTGAAAAATATAGTTCAACGATGTTAAATGTCAAGCCCATTGGGTCAGAAGAAGTAGAAGGATGGGTACAGTATTGGAAAGAGGTAGGATTTCTGAGGAGGTGAGGCCTTAAGGAGGCATACTGTATTATGCAAGATAGTTATGTCATCTCTCATGTATACTAATCATCGCAACACTAGAATTTTTCCTTTGGTGCTTCGTGTGCACTTACTCTACATGAAAATGCTACTTATTTTCTGAAGCGAGGGCAATAATGAAGCGTGGCGAGAAAAATAAACCACCAAGTTTTTCGGATATGTACATAATTTCTCCTGAGTGTACACTGAGAATAAGAGGGGAATGGTCATGGAGATTTAGTGAATAGTCAGGAAAGCGCATAGTTTGGGAGAGCGATGAGCAATGACTCTGAGCATCGCCCGCACATACATAACCCGGCATCCGACATTCCAAAAGCAGACATGGTCTGTGCGTCGAAAATTCGGAGGTACAAAAAAGCGTATCCCGACATCCGACAACC